ATCACTATGTTGTATACCTGAAACTAATATAATGTTGTATGTCAACTGTAATTGAAAATTTTTTAAATTAAAATTTAAAATTCTTTTTCATTAAAAATACCTCCCACCCCCCAAAGAAAAGAAATTGGACTTTCGAGTCTCAGGAGCCATCTGTTTGATCTTGGACAAGTTACTTAACTGTTCTGATGCTCGGTTTTCTCATCCATAAAGTGGGAATGATACTAGGACCTACCTCAGGATTGTTGCGAGGATTATGTGAGAACCAGCATGTGGAGTGCTTAAGCACAGTGTTTGGCACAGTGTGAGTTGTCAATACATGTCAGCTGTTGTCATGTTATTGTTGTTGTTATTATAATAAGAAAGCTCAGTTCCTGGCCTTAGAGAAGAAAGCACAAACGATGTAAACACTAATTATAATGGTAATTTAAAGAACCCTGAACTAGGGTAAGATTTCTTGTTTGCCCAACCCAAATATCAGACTGAAGGGGAAATCAGGAGACCCATCCATCCCTTCGTCTGTCCCAAAGACACCCACCAGCTCTCTTTCCTCCTGGAATAGGATATATAGGATATATAGAGTAGGGTATATAGGAACAACAGTCACTTTCAGCCCTCCTGGAACACAGTGGATGTACTTAAAGAAAATACTAGAAATCCCACCAGGGCGTATGACTCTGAATTGAATGTTTACATGCTGGACTCACCTGGAATTTTACCAGGACCCTGTGAGGAAGATGGAGGAAGGTTTCTAAATCTCCACTGCAGAAGGAGTCATGGCTGCCACCGCTGGCTGAGGATCCCATCTTGGTTTCCTGGTTTATAAATCAAGGCTTGGCTGGGACCAGTAGATAACTGACCCAGACTTGTTTCTTGCTGGCTGAAGGAAACATCTTCTAGGGTGTGACTGAGAAAAAGGAGCTACATTTTTTTTCCTGCCTGGAAGATTTATAAACCTTAAAACATGACTTTTACGTTGGGACAACTGGATATCCATATACAAAAGAATGAAGTAGAGTAGAGCCTCTGCCTCATAGTGAATACAAAAACTAACTCAAAACGGGTCATAGACCTAAATGTAAGTGCTAACACTATGAAATTCATAGAAGAAAACACAGGAATAAATCTTTAGCACTGTAGATTGAACAACAGTTTCTTAGATTTGACACCGAAAGCAGAAAAGATAAAAAAAAATTAGATAAATGGAACTTCATCAAAATTTAAAAGCATTTGTACTTCAACGGGCACCATTAAGGAAAAGACTACCCACAGAATAGGTAAAAATATTGCAAATCATACATTTATAAGGGTCTTAAATCCACAATATATAAAGAACTCTTACAACTCAACAATAAAAAGACAAATACCTCCATTTAAAAATGGCAAAGAATTTGAGTAGCTATTTACCCCAAAGACAATATACAAATGACCAATAAACAAATGGGAAGATGCTCAACATTATCAGTTATTAGGGAAATACAAATCAAAACCACAATGAGATAACCACTTCATTATAACTAGGATGACTAAAAAAAGCAGCAGACAATAACCAATTAGGGAGGAAGTGGACATACTGAAATTCATACATTGCTGGTAGAAACGTAAAATGGTGCAGCCACTTTGAAAAACAGTTTGGGAGTTTCTCAAAATGTTAAACCTGGAGTTACCATTTGACACAGTTTCACTCCTAGGAATATACTCAAGAGAAATTAAAACATGTTCACATAAAAACTTTGCACATGAATGCTCACAGCTGCTTTATTCATGATAGCGCAAAAGAGGAAACAATCCAGATATCTATCAACTGTTAAATGGATAAACAAAATGCAGTCTATTCATGCAATGGAATGTTATTTAGCCACAAAAGGAATGAAGTACTAATTCATGCAACAACATGGATGAAACTTGAAAACATTATGCATAGTGAAAGAAGCCAGCACCAAGAAACCCACACATTGTATGACTCAATGTATATGAAATGTCCAGAACAGGCAAATCTCAGCCTTCCAGCCATGTTCATCATTTGAGACTCAGATTCTAGAATAGCTTCTCCATTTCCTATGAATCAACCCAAATCCTTGGCCTTTTCAAGAACACCCCAAACCTTGTTTTTCCATGTTTGTCTCAGAAATCCTAAATTAGGAATCTAGCCAAAGGAAGTAACAAACACCTGAATACAGAACAGGGCAGAGGGGTGAGCTCTAAAAACCCGTGCACAGGGTTACTGAACTGGCATTGTTTGTAATAGTCAAAAACCGCAAACATTTTCAATGTCCAACAGCAGAGTAGTGCACATCCTGTCATATCACAAAGATGAAATAATATGCACCCATTGGAAGAATACAGTGACCTGAGAAAATGTGTGTTATCACACATTAAGTGAAAAAAAAAAGCAAGTTATAAGCTGGTGGGTAGGTTATAAAGTGATTGTTAATTAAAAACAATTAAAAAATTAAAAACAGGGAAAAAATCTCACACCAGAACGATTTGAGAGGTTTCCTTTTTGTGGTGGGACTATGGGTGTCTTCCTCATTTCTTTTCTTAAATGTATCTGGGTGTTCTACAATGAACATATATGACTTTTATAACCAGAGGGGTAAAATACCCCAATTCTCTCACTCTTTCCCCTGCTTTTTCTTGGGGAATTCACTCTCCACCTGCTTTGTTCTGTTAACCCGCACTCAACCCCAAATCCTCATCCCAACCTGCACTCTCAGCCTACAAGGAGCAGCAACCGTCCAGGCGCCCGCTCCGGCCACTCAGGCAGCTCTTGAAGGCACACACTTCTAGGAAGCCTTTCCTGAACACAAGAGGGAGAAATAGCTGGCTCACCCCACAGTGCCTCCACATCTCTCTTTGCTTGCCTTGTCCAAGGAAATCTCCACCTTCTTGGCTGGTGTTTGACTTCAAGAGACTGTTTCCCGATGCAGCCCTGCAGCTGGTGCTGTGGGGCCCATGTGCATCTGCACCTGGTTGCTGAGTCTAAACTCTCAGAAGGAAGCTGGCGTTGAGGCCACAGAGCTCACCATTGTTGGATGATGAGGAAGGTGATGATAACTTTTCCTTATGCATGTCCTGATTTGCCATGGGAAAGACTTCTCATTTAAAAACCACCCAAACATTCTTAAAACAACTTAAGAAGTAATCAAAGGTGTTTATTTAACCTGGAGCAGCAACCCTCCTAATGGAGTCAGCCCAATGCTCGGTAATATTGGTTGGGAGGAAATGGATATGAACCAATAATGCTGATGTAGCTCGAATGCACTTAGATTTTTTTGTGAGTTGATTTGTCCAGGTATATAGATCTAGCTTATTGATGAATTGGAATCAACTTAGGGAAACCCTTGAAGGAAAAAGGTAGTGTGTCAGCAAACATTTGAGAGCTTACCGTGGACCTAACCCTCACATCTCAGAGCACTTGTGAAATGCTGTGGCTTTTATCAAAGAAGTAAACAAACCTAGAGTGATCTTTCCTGCGGAACTTCCCTGTCACGTATTCCACCCACATGAAGCATAACAAGGAGGGAACAAGGATAGGATGGACCTCTTGTGGTGCCTTCAAGAAAGGAGCATGCGTCTTAGATCCTGTGGCATTTTTAGCTAATTACCCTGGTCTGTGTATGAAATAAGATGGAATTAAGGACCAAGATATATCAGGTATCATGGCATTGACCTTCGGTGTTTTTGAAACTGAGAAAAAAAGATTTGATGTGCCAAGTTTGCTCATCAGCCTGGTATTTCACCTCTCATCTTAAACAAAGTAAACAAACCATGGACATATTTTTCTTCCCTGCAGAACTGCACCCTTTTTCATGATTAGGTCTTTGTATTGTTTGGCAATTGGAATTGAGTAGAATGGAAGTGGGGAAGGATTTTTTCATTCCACCCTCTTCTCAAATAGTTAAATACTGAGTGAGTGACTGTCGCATTTGTCACAACTCTTTTTCCATTTCTGTCACCTGAATGCAGACCTCGACCATGCTTTTCTTAGGCCACCATCATTGACATTTCCTCCTGATGCACCCCACCAAGGCTGGAGTTGCTGAGACCTCTGAAGGAAAGTCTGAGGGAGTGTGGATGATCTTCATTCTGCCATTTTAGGGTTCAGGTTCTTGCTTAATGGGCCCTATAAGCCAAGGGTGAAATAGAAATTCTGAGAGGACAGAAGAGGTTTTGAGGGACCAAGGAGGGAAGAGAGAGAATAGAGGTCAGGGATGGCAGGTGAGAGGAACCTTGTGGGAATTTTGTGTGTCATCATTGGGTTCCACATGAACTGTCTTCCTCATCTTCCCAGGAGAGCCTCAGGAAAATATCCATTTCTCGTTGGTACACTATTGAGTTGGATATGCTATTTGAGGAAATTCATTCATTCAACAAATATTTATTGAGAATCTGAACCTGCCTGGCAGTGTTCTGGATGCTGAGAATAAAGTAATGAATAAAACATACCCAACAAAACAAATTGGATCAATCTCCAAGGGATTCTGCTGTATGAAAAAATCCAATCCCCAAAGGGTAATACTTTGTGATTCCATCTATATAACATTTTTTGAATGATAAAGTTTTAGAAATGGTGGTTGGCCAGGGGTGAGGGATGGGAGGTGGTGTTGGGAGGGTGGAAGAGAGGTAGGTGTGGTGATAAAAAAGCAACACAAGACACCCTTGTGCCCATGTACCATTCAGCATCTTGACTGTAGTGGTGGATACAGGAACTTGCACACGTGTTAAAATTTTATAAGCCCCCCGCCACACACACACAAAGTACACATAAAACCAGAAAAAAGAACTCCCCATGTGAGCACTGGACTGGGATTCGATCCTGGATTCTAGCCCCTCGGCCATGGCCATGCGCTCCAGTGTCCCTTGAGCCCCTCTTGTAAAAGGCGGATTCCCACACCCACCTGTAGAACCTTTGGTTGCACAATGAGCCACCTAGCTTGCTAAAACCATCTAGCTTTGTCACCTTATTTTATTACCTTAGAAGAACTTCAGACAAAAGAAGCCATGTAAAAGTAAAATAAGGTCTGAACAGACTTTAAAGTTTTTATTATTTTATATCACGTCATGCCTTGCATGGAATGACCACAAAGCTGGCCACATAATTTACTGACAGGGCATGGTTGAGAAAGCTGGAACGCCCAGGTGCACAGTCTGGCCTATTGGAAAGAACAGAGAGAGGGAAGGGGGAAAAGGGGAGGGAGGAAGGAGCAATGATAAATGTTTATCTGCCTCTCCCCTGTCAGTGGTTGCTCATTCTAAGAATGATGAATATGTGACAACATAATTTCTGATTCAGGATCATGGTCTTTATAGGAGAAGGGCTTTCTTAGAAATGCTAGAGCTGATTAGTAACATTTGATCAACTCGCAAACAAGGTTTTTATGAGGGATCACACCTGTGTGCTGTGAGAGCCTGCCAGCGGGACTGTTCAAGCCTGTCAGGTCGGTGAGGCCCCATGGTGGTCTGAGGCCCTGTCCTGGACTTCCTGGGAAGGGGCCTGCCTCCTCCGGTCCCAGTCTGCATCTGGGATGAATAACCCATGGAGATCCAGGTGCATGTCTACATCAACATATGCACGAGCCAGTTCTGCAAAACTTTTGGCATCCAGAATAAGCAGGAAAGGTGGCTTTTGGGGATCAGAAGAGATGACGGCTGATAAGATAATTCCTTTGGGGAAACAAAAAGAGACACTTTGTAAAAGTGCAGCTTTGAACTTCCTTCACCTGGAAGGATATGTTTCTCAGCTATGTCTCTGTCCTCATTAAACGGCAGTGTCTAATCTAAACAGAAGAGAAGTGAATTTGATATTCTGTGAGAGCAGAAGAGAAAGGCCAGGAAACTAGGAATCAGCAGACCAGACCTGCTTCCAACCAGGGCTGGGCCAGTCCCTTTACCTCTCTGAACCTCAGTCTCTTCATTTGTAGAGTGGGGATAATGTTCTCTACCTTCATAGGCTTGCTGAGAGGATCTCTTGCATGGTGAACTGTAAAAGTACTTTGCAAATTACTGCATGCACTGAAGAATGGCTATTTCCCTACTATTTAGAAACTCTGATGACAGAGAATCAGTTTTGATGCTGCATTAGGCTAATGTACATCACTCGACTAAACTCAAGACTAGTTACACTCAAATGGCATATGAATGAACCCAATTCACCTCATGCGCCTGCAGCGCAAGCAGCCTCAGCTTTCCTCTCTGTAAAATGGAAACATTCTAAGCACTCACTCTCAAGCAATAGAGTTACACAAAATAGTGCACATAAACTTCCAGCAAACATTCGTGCTTCTTCCCAAAGCCTCTCAGTTTTCAAAGTGGCCGAGCATAATTGAAGTCAGATCAGCTTGGTGCTCACACCCTACCTCTGTAGGCACTGGGCGTATGACCTTAGGCAAGTTACTTCATTCTTTGAACCTCTCCTTTGGTGAAATGAACACAGTGCTACTCCCTGCCCATGGAGAGAATACACAGGACACGCTCACGCAGCCCAGTGGAAGGCCGGCCTCAGCAGGTGGTGGTACCAACAACCCCCATCCTCAGAAATGACAGTGACATGGGGTCCCCCGCCTGGCGCCTTGTCGTGAATAATCAGTATGTAGAAAACCACTCCCTTCTCCCCTGAGGGAAGCAGCTGGCAGGCTCAGTGGCACAGCCCCACCCATGGTTCTTGTTACCCTCCTTAGCACCCTCATGGGTGTGGGCAGGGCATTTCTGGGTCAAAGGCAGAATCAAGGAGGGAAAAGACCATTTTCATATGGAAACCCAGAAAAGCGAAGTGGGCCTTGAACACACATTTCTAGGTGCTCCAAAAAAAGGTGCATGCTTTGATAATGAAGAACTCTGACCCAGCCATGAAAATGAATTTTAAAACCAAGATTCTACACTGCGGGAAAGGGTAGTGTTGCTCAGTGGAAGGGAAGTGAGCCTATGTGTAGTAAACATTTTAATGTCCTTAAAGGGAGATCTGACCTCTGCTGCCAGGTGGTGACTTCTACCTGGGGCCAGCCCAATAACCTATCCTTATCAAGTGACTTAGATGGGAATTTTAAACCACAGAGTGGTTAGCCTGACCTCCTGAGGGGCTGAAGACTAAAGGTCAACCACGGCTACGTGACCAAGGCCTGCCATAGCCTCTGACTTGAAGGCTCAGGGGAGTTTCCAGGGTTGGCCATACTCCACGGAGAGCATTGGGAGAAGGTTGTGTCCATGCTTTCCCCGGGAGAGGACAACTGGAAGCTCTACCAAACTCACAGATGACGTCAAAGGTATGGGTGTTCTTGGGGGCTCCCTAACGCTATAGCTTTGGATTCATACAGACGTGGCTTTCAAAGCATGACTCCATCAGCTGTGTGATGTGGGCAGGGCCACTGACCCCCACCAATGTCTCTGAAAATTTGATCAGAGCAGAGTGCTATGGGCGGCCTCCCCTGCCCGGGGTCTTACCATCATCCTCATCTTTGGCGCCTGGCGTGGGCACAAACAAGGGTTCCGCCGGCCAGCAGTGCTCCTCCTCCCATGTTAAGGATGACTTCGTGAGAATGTCGTATTTCATCATCTGTACACCCGAAGAGGAGAAACATGAGGATGATTTGTGGGAAAGCATGCTTATTTCCTGCAAATAGGAAGGCAGTAAGGCCCACAGGGAAAGGGGATGGATTAAGCCCCTCATGTGAAGACTCCAAAATGGCACCCCCTCCGGTCAGGATAACAACAGAAACGAAAGCAGTGAGCTTCTCCTCCAACTTGAAGCAAAGGTCCTCCTGCCACCACATAGCTTACACTACGCACTGAATTCTTTTCAAAACAAAAGTCCTGAACTTATCTGGTATTTGGCCCTACAGTGCAACTTGTTTATAGTTAATAAACTAATGTATTCAATGCAAACATTTAAAATATAATACAATTCTTTTGTTGTTTGAAAAGTATAGATCACTGGACTTGTAATCACTAAGAGGCCTGTTTCCTCCTAGGATGTGGGAGGGACTTGTGGTGTGTATGTGTGTGTGGAAAACTTAATTTTCTTACTTTGTACTTTCTGCATTGCATGATTTAAAAAAAAAAAAAACAGACTTTATTTTATTGTTAAAAAATGAAGATATTAGCCCTGGCTGGTGTGGCTCAGTGGATTGAGTGCTGGCCTGTGAACCGAAGTGTTGCTGGTTCAATTCCCAGTCAAGGCACATGACTGGGTTGTGGGCCAGGTCCCCATGGGGAGCGTGCAAGAGACAACCACACATTGATGTTTCTCTCCCTCTCTCCTTCCCTGCCCCTCTCTCTAAAGATAAACAAAATAGTTTTTAAAATGAAGGTATTTAGGAAAAGTGGTATCTGCACAGCAGTTAGCATAGTTCCTGGGGTATAGCAAGTGTTCCACAAATAGCAGTTTAAAAAACAAAATAAATCTTTCAAGTTTCAGCTGTACCCTCCCTGCTTGAGAGAGCAAGGCAGGGATTTGGATCCCCCCCTACACTTCCTTATCCTCATTGCCTACCACTGCCTAGCACATCGTTGGTGCTCAAAAAACATGTGTGGAATAAAGAAATCAGCCAAACTCTAGCCACAACCTCCTTCCTGAGCTTCGGCCCATTAGGTGGGGCTGCCTCTCGTGGTTCATCATTCCTTCAAATGTATTTTGTCCCAAACTGACCTTACTCTCTAACCTACCTCCTGTCCCCCAGGGAACCTCCCTCTTACCCTCCCTTTTCTAATCAAGGTCACCCAGTCGGAGAATCTGAGAAGTCAGCTTTGTAGACAGAACTGTTGTAGACCATGATCACCCAGGGCTCAGTACCTTGTTTGGGACGGGACTCCTTTGAATTTCAGCAGCAAAGACATATCGATATTGCTTCCCGTTGCAAGCGTAATTGATCTGAGGCAGTTCTAAGTCTAGAGAGAATGACACAGCTGATGAAACCTTCATCACCAAGGGCTGAGGGCATCCACCCTTTGTTCCTGGCTGGGCCCCCTTTCTACAAAAACCACTCCCAGGCTAGGACCCCTGAACTTGATTCAGGCTCTGGATTGGATCAGGGTAGTCACAGGGCAGGGGGAAAGAATCTCTGATTATTATCCTCACTCTACTAGAAGGTTCAGGAGCAAGGTTTTTAAGTATATAAAATTCTTTAATTATCCAAGATAGAAATCAAAAATAATTGCCTGATTAAAATCAGAGGCTACTGCAATTTTTAAAAGCTCTTTTTAAAAAAGTACTCATGTGCACACAAGTGTGTGTGGGTGTGAAGAGAAACTTCTGAATTTGTGGAAAGGAGTGTCAATGGGGAATAGTAAAATAAATCTGGTGAATTCATATAACATTATGTTAAAATAATATTTACAAAGAATTTTAATAATATGGGAAAATGTCCATATCATAAGATTAACTACAAAAGGCTGACTATAGAATTATCTCCACTGTGTTAAAAATGAAGAGAAAAAAAAGCTTGCAAGCACTGCTGGGGTGGTAACTTCTTTATATTCAATAGTTTATATTTTGTATTGTACATCCTAAGTTTCTTATTGTGAGAAATTGTCATTATACTTATTACTTCTGTAATCTAAAAAACCTTAAAATTTTGTACATGTAAATGCATATATATTTATATATGTCTGTTGTGTCAAATTCAATTTCTAAGTCTGAATACCAAAATGAACGTCCCCCTCTTATGAAATATGCCAGGTAGTTGGAGCCAACTACTGGTGAAAACAATGTCCAAGAAGAGAGGACTCAGGGATGGACACATCTGCCATATCAAGGCCCGCTGAGAAGGACCCAAAGCACAAATGGTTATTGGACTCAGTGAGGAGTGAAGGGGAATGGATTATTGAGATGGGAAGATGTATAATCTCACAGGTGAGTAATCATGAAACTTCCAAGAGCCAGGTCAAGATGAACGAGAGGAGCAGAGACCGCCCACATACTTAAGTCAAAAAAAGATGCCCATAGTTGGCCCTAATGCAAGCCTGAGACTTCCTATGATGCTCCTGGGCCCCTCAAACCTGGTCTGGGAAGCCCTTCCCCCACACTGTAAATGGCTGACCATAGGCCCTTGATTAAGTAAAGTATGATGCATCCCAGCAAATTCTGCTTGACTATTAAAGCCACGTTCTTGAAGAATTTTCAGATGCGGGAAAGTCTCAGACTACATTCATTAGGTGCAAGAAGCCATTTCAGATCATTCTACATGGTACAGTACATATTCATAAAAGTATAAATGCAGAGGCTGAGGGGTTTTGAGTCAGAGAAACCTGGGTGCATGTCCTGGCTTTGCTGCCTGTCTTAAGCCAAGTTACCATTTTGTTCTCAGCTTTGCCGTCCTCAGTTCTAAAAGAAGAATAACACATGCCAACACCTGCCCCTTAAAGTTGTTCTAACAATAACGGCTCCCTTTTGCTGGACTGTAACTGCAGGCCAGGGCCTGCGCTCAGCCCCTCACATGTGAGCCCATCTAATGTGGATGACAACAGGATGAGTACTGGGACCCAAGGAGAGGAAGTCTGAGCAGCTCCTAGCCGAGGGCCCGCATATGCCACGCAATCCATGCACAACAGAAAAGACTGGATGGGCATTTCCAAAGGTTATCGTGGGTGGAGGGGACTATGAGGAATTTATCTATTGCCATACTTTTCAGTATTGCCCAAGATTGCTACAATAAACAGGAATTCTCCTCTCAGAAACAAAAAGACTATAATGTTTTAAGCCTCCATCTGTCCTCACCGCATGGTATGGTGGGTGAGAGGAAATGGAAGTTGATGCCTTAAGAATTAGAAACAAGATCTGTATTTTCACTTTTAAAACTCCGAGACTCTCGGTGCTGCACAGAACAGGTTGTTAGATCCATGGGACGCTGTTTACAGAAATGGTTCTCAGTGGGTAAATCCGAGGTCATCCTAGGAGAGTTCCCAGGATGGCACCCTTCCTGATGCCTGAACCTGGCATGAGGCTGCAAGGTGTGAGTTTAGAGCCACGCCCTGTCAGTCTCTGAGGATTCTGGGCAAGCCTGTTCACTCTGAATTTAAGTGTTGAACTCAGACCTGGGTAAGCCAGACTTTTGTCACAGACTTATGTCGTGATAACACTGAACACAAAAACATGGTCCCCACCCATTGGGCTTATTATATTCTAGGGCTGTGGTTCTCAGTCAGGGTGATGGTGCCCCCCACGGGACACTGGGAATGTGTGGACATGTTTCTGGTTATTCCAGTTCAGGGTGGGGGTGCTGTTGGTATCTGGTAGGTGAAGGCTCAGGGTGCTGCTCAACGCTGCACAATGCCCAGGATGGACCCACCACAGAGAATGACCGGCCCAAGGTATCAGTAGTGCCAGGCTGAGAAGCCCTGCTCTGCTAGGTGTGGCTTCTAGTCAAGGAGGTTTACATTGTGTAACTCAAACTTTCTGAGGCCCAGTTATCTCCTCTGTAAAGTGGGACTGCTGGCACCTATTATGCAGGGAATGGTGAATGTGTAGAGGTGGAGATTCCCAACATGCTGTGTCTGTAAGTCAGCATCGCAGCCTTTGAAGAGGGCAGCTGTGTAAGTCATCGGGGCCAATGACCATCCCAGTGCCTTCCTGGGGGGTGTTTGAAGATACACCAGGGACAACTGTCTTCAAATGCTTTTCACTGGGGTATCCTAGAGAGCCCTCCTCTTTGTCTATGCATAGCATCTCTGAATCAGAAGGAGGTATTACATAAAGAGGCCTGGGGGTCTTCATGAAATTCTGCCCTTCCCTAAGCTCAGGGATAGAGGATGTGTTTACCTTCACAAAGCAACTCCGGCTGGCAGTAGACTTGGTCATCTTTTTCCTTCAGGGCTCTTGCTGTTGTAGATGTCAGTTTGATTAAATTTGAGCCTAATTCTGCATTCTGAAAGAATCCATTTTCCAAAAATAAAGACTTGTTATGCAGAGAAAGTATTTGTTTTACTGTGTACATTTTTAAAAAATGCTTTTGTACATGTCATCTTGCCTAACATTACTCACAGGAGGCAGCTATTATATTATTGGCATTATCAGTTAAAAATGAGGATTGGCGATTTGAAGTGGTTCCCCCAAGACTGCCTAGCTGGTAGGTGGTAGGATGCGGGCCTCTAAAACCATGGCTCTTTTTTTTCTACTATGAGCTGCCTTATCCCTCACAGGTGAAATTAAGGTACTTTTTAAATGCTGGATGATTCATCTGTAAAAGGCTGCATCAGTCATTAAAAGAATGTTTATAAAGAGTTCATAATAACATGGGAAATGCTTATGATAGAATACTGAGTGAAAAAAGCAGCAGAGTAAATTGCATATACAGTCTGAGCTCAACCAGCTAAAAAAATTACATTGGAAAGAGCCTGGACAAAATATACCATATAGTAACAATATAATGGGCAGTGGCATTATGGGGACTTTAATTTCTTTTTCTGTTCTTATCTGTATCTTCAATATTTTCTCCTATGATAATATATCAATGTTGAAAAGAAAATAAACACGTAATAAAAATTACTTGGGAGAAATATACCTATCAAGGGTATTCCCTGGTCTCAGTTACAATCAGGCGTTGCTGTATTCAGTACCTTACTGCCATCATTGTAACCCAGGAGAGGGATTTAACACAATTGATTAAATATTTATCGAGCATCTAATACTCCCTATTTCTCCACATACTAGTTACAGGGCCTTGAGTAAGTTACTTAGCATCTCTAAAATTCAATGTTTTCATCTGTATAATGAGGTGCAGTATATGCATTGTATAAATTGTATATATGTCTCTGAATTATTGTTCCGATTAAATAAAATAATCCATGCAAATGATTTAAAGAAGGCCTGGTTAGCAGAAAGTGCCAGATAAATGCTAGGTGCTGTTGATGGTATCGTTGTTGTATTATTACTACTATTACCTTCTACTGCTACATTACTGCCACTACCAGTGAAGGTGAGTTGAAATGAGGGACTGGAAGAGAATGAGAAACAAGACCACAAGTCCCTGACTTCACAGAGTTTACAGAGGAGAATTACTGTTATGGCTGACTTCTCATTTAAACTTTTTTCTACTTTCTAAATTTTCCAAAATGGGCTTTCATCATTAAAACAAACCTATTTGAACAATAGCTGCTTTTTGCTGGGAAAGGGAGACAATTTATCGTGTCCTAGCTATTGAACCACAGGGGACTCAAGATTTGTTTTAGTTTAATCCCTCAATTTACAGAAGATGAAATTGAGGCCCAGAGAAGGAAAGTGGCTTGTCCAAGGTCACACAGAGAGAAGCAGAGTATGGGCCCAGACCTTCACATGGCAATTCTACACAGAAGCGAGAGCACTGCGGGCAGAGGACAGCGCAGGTGCGAGGCCCAGAGGCCGGCCCGCTCCCATCCTGCGGGTCTCCACTCAAACACCTGCTTCCCTAACAACTCAATATGCAGTGTCTGCGAGGTGTTTGTCCCACTGTAATTATTTCCCTTATGGAGCTGCTTCCTTCTTTTATGCTGCATTTTCCTGTGAACACAGGGTCCAGATTTTGTTCAGTGCATGGCACATACTTCCCAGGGAGTAAGTGCTGAGCAAATGAGTAAATGCGTGACACAGTAAGCTTTTCATCGAACTGTCAAGGGGAAAAACGTGTTTTGCAGAGTGGTTATAAAAATTAAATTGAGATGAGTGCATTAAAAAAGTCGCCTAGTGCTCAGCACATGTGTGGTTTCTTACAAAGAAAAGCTCTGGATGCCTCCACCTGCGCAGCACCCCAAGTTGGTGGGAGGCCCCTACTGGTGACTTGCTAGTCACATGAACAGCAACAGGTCTCTTGTGCATGTCCTGGGCTTGATTCTTAGGGAGTCGGTGGATCTGCAGCCTGAAACTGGTCAGACTGGTTGAGGGATAAACTGAATTTTTCCACACGCAACAGCAATGAACATGACTCTGCTGCTTTCAGTTACCAACATCCTCAGCTCTGGGAAGAGACTGCTTTCTAGCCAGACTTCAACAAAATTCTGTGGGCTTACTTTGAAATCCCTAAATTCCAGGGGAGAAGAAGTAATCTCAGTAATTCCCCGAAACACTTGCTGGCTTTGGAGTTCAGTAGCCCTGGCTGTGAAATCCAACTCACAGCTTTCTCTGTGAACTTGCTCAGCCTCCCTGAGCCCAATTCCTTGTTTCTAAAACAGGGGACAATTCGTAACTTTTGGATGGGTGGTGAGTATAAACGAGCTTCCTTTGACTTGTGTTTGAGGAAATAATGGTTAGGATTAAGTTAAATAATGGTTATGAAAGCACCTGATCCAGGGCCAGACCCATCATAATTAGTAACCTGGAGCCAGGCAGACATGCATCCAAATCACAACTCAAATCCCACTGATAATTCTGTGATGCTGGGCAAGTGACTTTTTCTCTCATCTGTATTCATGGGATAATAAATCACTCAGAGGGCTGTCATAAAGACTAGGCGAGAAGCGTGCAAAACATGTAACCACCCCTAAAATTGCAGGACCCAGGATGAGAGTGAGCCCCACCAACCCCAGGTCTAAATACAGCGAATTGTCAAGTAAAAGACCATTCTCTCCTCTTCCTTGCCACAGAGACCTTCATAACGTGGAATGGCACTGATAGGGCAACCACTAGCCACATGTGGCTATTTAAATTTAATTTTTAATTAAAATTAAGTAAAATTTAAAAGTTTCTCAGTTGCTATGGCCACTTTTCAATAGCACATGTGGCTAGTGGCTACTGCATTGGATGGACAGATAGATAATATTCCTTCATCCCATCAGGTCCCATTGCATAGTGCTGATCTGGAAGGACAAGTGTGAATTTGGAATTCTAGGACCCCTTGATATTCAGATCTGGCCTAGGGTAGCAAAACGAGAGCCAGCCTCTCGACCTGGGCTCTCTGTCCCTGCCCCTTTCCTTCCCACCGCATGGATGGCCCCGCCAATACGACCAAGCCAACAGCCAGCTCTGGACACCTCGTGGGCCCCGAAGAGGACAGAAGGAGGCTTGGGCTGTTTGGGCAGGAAATCCTGGGACCCCAGGTAGCCACTTCATGGTTGGGGTTCGGGAGGTTGTCCCTCCAGGTGGGCATGACCCCATAGCCCTTTGAACTCCTGACCCTGGGGAGAAGGGACGCTGCTGGAGAAAGGCCAGATCAGGGTCCCCAAAGTGCCACGGTCAGAGCAGGGGCCCCTCTAGCTGGGGTCTAAAGCAGAAAAGGCATCTTAACACAGGGCCTGGCACACAGTGAGTTTTCATGGTGGCTGCTCTTATAATATTTGGTCATTTTTGCATTTGGTGAAAAGACAAAAACCAAATCTACTGAGCTGGGAGTTGAAGCTGCCACTTCTAAGTCCAAGATGTCTACCCTCCTCCACACCCTGCCCATGATAGCCCCTTATGTATGGATGGCTGTCTGGAGGGAAGTCAGTGCTTACGAACCCACCTGCAGGACAAGGGCAGGGCGCCAGCAGGGACTGTGTGCACATGCCCACACCCCTCCCAGCCCAGCTCTGCCTTCAACAATCCCCATGCCACTCTACATAAACAGGCCGAGGGTGCCAAGAAGCCCCTCCTTCCTTTGTCCCCAGCTGGCCCGAACACAAGAGAATATGGGGCAGCTGGGAGGTCCCAGACTTTTCAATAGACTTCACCATTGCCCATTCTACATGGAAAACAATTTCTACTTGGGAGATATTGCAAATGCTAAAGACGTTGTGCCCTTTTGGAGACCTTGTTTCACGTTTTTCATTCATTCATTCATTCATCATTCATTCATTTAAAATGCTTAAGAACTTAATGAGAACCCTCTGAGTGCCAGATGCTGTGATGGGTGCAGGGGATAAACTGCTGACGAGACAGAGTTGGGGCCCTCTCAGAGCTTCAACAGGAAGAGGTGACCGAACGAGTTCATTATACTTGAGATAAATGTCGGGTAAAGAGCTGCTAGTGCCATTAGAGTGCACGAACTTGTCTGAGGGGAATGATGACCCTGATATGTTAGGGATGACCAGGAATTTGCTACCTGGCTGCAAATTAGAACCCACTCGGGGCTCTGGCACCATGCCCATACTGGGACCCCGGCCCTGGGGTTCTGCCTTCACTGTTCTGGGCTGAGGCCCAGCGGGAGCCCTCAGGTAAGTCTCACCTGCAGCCAGGACTGGAGTGGAGGTCTGATAGGAAAAGAATAGGGTTGCAGGCAGGACAGGGATGCACAAAGGCCCCAGACCAAAGGGCATTTGACAGGGTGGCATCTCCTGCGGTTCTTCTCTAATAGGTGTCTGGATAGGATGAAATTAGAGCTGCCGATCCGGACAGATAGGCCATGTCCTCCTGCTTGACTTTCTGATTTCACTATGCAGGCGGGACGACTTGAAAGTGAAGCAAGAAGACATTTTTAAGGGACAATAAATAGCAATTAGAAAGCGTGGCCAGAGCTACCCTTCCCAGGGCTCACTCTTCTTTGCTAGTTTCAAAGCAGCAGATGGCTCACACGGCGCCTTTTAAAAATATACGTGCTAAACTTCTTAGCTTGGTTTGAAGGAAGCAAATCATTTTCAAGCGTGATAAAAGGTTATAAAATCCTGCGGTGTGTGGGCAGTGGGAGGGAGTCTTTCCTCTCTGTGTATCATCCTTGGGCTGAGATCGACATGAGGTGGGGGCTGGGCCTTGGGGCTTTGCTGCCTGTGTGCTCTGTGACACCCTCATTGCTTCCTGGAACCGGGAGATGTGGTCCAAGGCCCTGCACTGAGGCACTGCCCAGAGCGAGGGCTGCGGAGGTAGTGGCTCACATGATGATTATGTGGGACACGGGGCCGTTCATTCAATAGTCCTGAATCACCTGGGGAGAAAGTTAATTCCTTTTTCTCTTCCAAGTTTTCTGCCAAGGTCAAGGAGCAAGTCTCAGTTAGGTGCCACTATGTCTTTAACAGCTAATACATTTTAGAAATTTCTTATTAACAAAGAGATTAAGTCTTGGCAAGCAACAGTATCTGGCTAGACCTTAAGACATTTGCTTTATTTCCATTTTTTTAATGCTCATGCTTGCCTTTTATTTGCAGCAAGAAAGACTGGCTTTCCACTGGGTAATGATAGTTCACTTTCAACAGTGAGTTGATTTAAACAAAAACATGACTTTGTAAGTGCTAAATAGAGGTGATAAGAAATACGGTGAAAATCATGGCAGAGATACACAGATGACTTCAGACGGGTAGGTGCTGGAGAGATGGGAACCACAAACGGACCTGGAGTTTGGAGATTTCTGGAGCCCAGCAGCAAGGGTGGGGTGCTCCCTAGTCCCCAGGCCCACAGAGCCCCGAGAATTCTTCCCAGGAGCTAGGCCCGCTGGGGAGGACAGCAGAGTTATACCCCTTCCCAGCTGCAAGGATGGGTTCAGGGAGAGGCGGGTGCAGATAACAATCCTGGCTCTGCAGTTCTGGGCTGTGTGACCGTGGGCACATTTTTTAACCTCTCTGAGCCTCAGTTTTTTCATCTGTGAAATGAGTCTAATATAAGAACCTCTCCCACATGTTGTTTGGATTGTTAAGTGAAGTAAGGAAAATAAAACGCTTAGCAAAGTACCTGGCACATAGACTACATTTAGTAAATATGAGCCATCAAAATTGAATTGAATTAAATTTGGTTTCATTTAAGTTAATTAAGTCATGAAGTCAGTGAGTTCTGGAGCCAGAAGGCTCTGTAGCCTCCAAAATCAAGCCCAGAGCCTTGGCAGCATCACCCTAATTGAGGATAACATCTGACCTAGTGGCCATTTTTAATGCAAGAACAGGACTATTCAACAGCAGGGCATTGGGTAAGCAAATGGCGCTGAATCCCTGCCATGGGCTGTCAGGAAACTATTGTATCAAAATGATGTTGTAGAAGAACATTTAATGTCGTGGAAAGATGTTTGGGTATACAACTAGGTGGAAAAAAAAGCTGTACACAAGAGTATGTACACATTCAGCCAAGAAAAGGAATGAAGTACTGATTCACGCTACAACACAGATGAACCTTGAAAACATGATGCTTAGTGAAAGGCACCAGACACATGCAACCACATACCGTATGGTCCGCTCCTATGAAATGCCCCAAGGAGGCAGATCCTCAGAGACAGAAAGCAGAGTAGTGGTTGCCTAGGCCCGGGCGATGGAGAGACTGGGGTGGAGGGGTGATAGTTAAAAGGTACAGGATTTCTTTTGGGGGTAATAATAATGTTTTAAAATTGATTGTCGTGATAGCTGTATGACTTTGCACATATACTAAAAGCCATTGAATTATACAGTTTAAATGAGTAAAAATGGGTGAATGATATGGCATGTGAATTATATCTCAATAAAGCAGTTAAAAATTATGCACAGTGTGATCTAGAACAGCAAATCACATTGTATATAATTTTAACTGCTTTTTTGAGATGTATGTCAATATATGTATATATAATATACATATACTGTATATATATATTAATTATGTGCATGTATGTACATCAATGTGTCTATCCATCTTGCTAGCTAGTTATCTATGGAGAGAGACTTGGAGGGTATTACAAATACTTCCATGATGGGTTGATGGGGGATTTCTTTCCTTTCCACTTAATCTATATTTTCTAAAGTTTCTACTATGACTACTACTTTTGGGAAAATAATGAAAATGTTTTCTCTCTTTAAGAACAGCTCATTTTAGATTTCAGTGTCAATCAAGTCAGAGCCACAGCCATTTCCTGCCTGGGCTCCTGTCTCTCCAGGAACAAAATGCGCTTTCCTTCAAGCCATTACCTTGTCCACACAGAGGGGCACAGCGAACCTCTTGAGGGTGGGGACACAGATGACCCTGGAATTTTCTTTGAAGTTTTGCTTTAAGTGGGCCAAGTAGAAACACTGGTAGAGGCTGCTGTCCTCATAGGCGATGACATCAAACAGAAGGCAGCCATCCTCTTCATAGGCATTGACGTGATGAAAGACCACCATAGGGTCCGTGTAAAACTTGGTGGACACAGGCTTTCTAGTCTTTTGGTCGATGATGTGAATATAAGTCTGAAAGAAGATGTGCATCCAGTGGTCAGCTGTTCCTCCGCTGGCCCAGCACTGGGGCATCAGGTACAGGACAAGACCCTGCCCTGCCATGTACTGGCTCATGGCCCTGCAGCATCCGCCCCCTCTTCCTACCCTGTGTCCCACCTCCAGAGTGCCAGCCACTCAGAAGTACTAAGTAGGGGCTGTCAGTTTTGCGTGTCTGTGCTCATCTCTTTCCGATGGAGAGGAAGGAAGCGTGCGGGTCAGGGCCTCTGCGTCACCAGGAGGACAGTGTTTGGGGAAGGCCCCAGAGGGTGCACTGTTTCCCCTACTTCACCTGCTTGATTCTGGGTGGGCGGCAACATGCCACCTCCCTGGAAGTGGCCAAGTTGGGGAGAACTGGCCAGGTGCCAGACCTCTAGGCTGCCCCAGGCTCCATCCACACCCAGAGCCCCTAAAACTCAAAAGCCACACCTGCCCTTTTGAGTCCCCCTCTCCAATCTCCAGTGCAGAACCTGCTACAGGGACGTGGTTGTCACGGCAACGCCCCTGCCCTGGAGGGTTGAGTGACCTGGTTCTAGTTAAGGAGCCCGCATAGGTATCAGCTCATGAGGCTGCTGCACACATTCTGGGTGTCAGGAGGCGGTATCACTCTGGGTGGTAATTAGCCATATCTGTAGCCCAGTTGCCTAACCCAAAGGAAGGGAGTTGTTTCTATCTTTTGGCAGCTCTGGCCCAACCACCCTCCTCCCTGCTTGTTTGCTTCTTTCTCACCTTCCCCGGAAACAAGCTCTGAATGTTAAGCAGGGTGCAGAGGAGGAAAGCTTTGATAGCTTGGTGGTGGGAGTCATTATGGGAGGTGAGTACAGGGGTAATTATTTTAGGCCTTTTCTTTCCCAGGATTCCAATCCCTGGGTCAGCCACAGGGACTTTCAGAAAGATCTCCCTGAGATGCATTCCAAAGCCCTTCCCAGCACTCTCCGACCTGCCCTCCAGGGTCAGGGAATACCCAGGAGCCTCAGACTGGAGGCCCCAAGGGCCCAGTAGCTCCCGCCAATAGGATGCTCCTCAGCGTGTTTGGGGGATTTGGCTGCGGAGCAAACCCAACTTCAACTGTCCTCCCTGCTGCTCTCTTTCCCCTGCTCCTTAATTCCACAAATATGTATAGAGGGCCTACGACACATCAGGCACTTTTTCAGGAACTAGAGAGGCAAAATAAAGCCAAGCCTCTGCTTTCCTGGAGATTACATTCCAGTGGGGGTGAGGCCAACAGCCAATGATCAAATATACACGAAGTCGAGGATGATGAGCACTATTGAGAAAAATGAAGGGGGACAAGGATGGAGGGAGCCTGGGGAAGGGCCTGTAATAGATGCCTCTGGGAGACTGGATGGTAGCTTACTTCCTCCTTTCCAGAGAAAGCTCCTCCAGGCTGACCTGCATCTCAGTGTTTGCTCCCCAGGGACACCTTGCTCTGGCAGTCCTGGTGTTGTGGGTCCTCAGTCCCAGCAGGGCCAGAGGTCCCAGCCAGGGCTTACCTTGTCCTCCTTGTGGAAAGTTAGGCAAGAAGCCCAGTTCACTCCCCGGATGTACGCAGTTGCCAACTTGAGAATATCCAACTTGAAGGGCTGCTCAAGAAAAACGATGTAGTTCTCAGTGATCCCAAAGCTGTGGTAGTAGCTTGGGTTGAGGAGGGAGCGGGAGTGGATGGAGCAGAGCACCTCCGTGTGCTTCAGCGGGTTTGTTCCCTCTGTCCTGTCTGGAGAAAAGCAAGCCTCAGGCACAGCGAGGGCCTGGCTGCCCCAGCCTGACCGTACCACCATCCCCTGCAGCTGAGCCTCTCAAACTGACCTGGTCACTAAGAACCTTTGAATAAGACCTGACAGGTAAAGCAGATGAAGGGGTTGCTGCCTGACAGAGGGACAGAGGCTCAGAGCCCTCCCTGCTCGGGTCCACCCTCCTCTGAGACCTGGTTCTACAATCTGAAAACACAGTCGGGCCTCTGGGCCAGGGGTCCTCAACCCCAGCCCGGGGGCTAACCCAGCCTCCGACTGCTTTTGGATAAAGGTATATGAGAAACACAGGCAAACTCTCTCCTTTGTGCAGGGTCCACAGCTGCTTCTGCTTTCGAACTACACAACCCTGTTGAGTAGTTGCAACAGAGACCACGTGTCTGCAAAGCCTCAAATATCAACTCTCATATCCTTTACAGAAAGTTTGTCGACTCCTGCTCTGGAGCAATGCTTCTCAAACTTTAACGTGCATGCGGAGCATCTGAGCTTCATGATAAAATGTAGAGTTGAACTCAGCATGTGGACCGGGGCCTGAGGTTCTATCAAGCTGGCCCAGGCTTATGCTTTGACATTTTGTTTAGGACCATCATCTGACATTGTGAGTTAATAGAAAAAAAAATCAATACATATCAGCCTCTGCCTCAGTTCCTGCCACAGAACTCCTAAAACCTTACAATTTCCTAAGTGATAAGAGCTCTAGGAGCATCTCTTGTTCTAATATTGACCCCGTCCTTGACACAGGGCTCTTAAAACCTTTGTAAACTCCTGAGTGATGAGAGCACTAGGAGCATCTTTTGTTCTAATCAGGTGACTGTGAACGTTTCCTGGATGGGGGCTGGTCACCAGAAAGACCAAGTCATGATCACAAGCTTGGGATTTTTCAGCCCCGCCCTGCCATCCTCCAGATTGGAGAGGAGGGCTGGAAATGGAGTTAATAATTGCTCGTGCCTCCATGAGAAAGCCTCCATAAAATCCCAATGGTATGGGGTTCAGAGAGCTAACAGGTGGGCAAACACATCCACACTGGGAGGGTGGTCCACCCCACCTCCACGGGGACAGAGCTCCTGAGCTCCAGAACCTGCCAGACCCTGCCCTCTGCATCTCTCTATCTGGCTGTCATCTGTATCCTTTATCGCATCCTTTAATAAGCTGGTAAATGCGTTTCCCTGAGTTCTGTGAGCTGCTATAGCAAATTAATTGAAACTGAGGAGGGGGTAGTGGCCACCCCTGATTTGGAGCCAAGTTGGACCAAAATGGTGAGTTACCTGGGGACCTATGACTTGCATCTGAATTGGCATCTGAAGTGGGGTAGGAGCAGTCTTGTGAGATCGAGCCCTTAACCTGTGGGGTTTGACACTACCAAGCGGAGTGATAGCCTTAGAATTTAGATTAATTATAGGACACCAGCAGGTGTCACAGAGAACGGCTTGGTGTAGGTAACCTCCCCACCCCTGCCCCGAATCTGGTGTCAGAAGCGTGTTGAGAGTGTAGTAGAGTATGAAGGAGACACTCAGGAGAGAAACGCAGGAGGGAAAACTGGAGTTTTTCTGATATAGACCTGAATTCCAGAGGGTTTCCATGAATTCTCCTGGCATCGCCCATTCCGAAACACCTGAGACTGAGACTAAGCACCTCTGATGGTGACAGCCTTTTACATAAATTGTGACCATCAAGGGAGGCCGTACGATTCCCATTTTACAGAGGAGGCTCGGTGGAATGACCTATCGTTATGGCCTAAGTTACAGGGTTAAGCCAAGGAGACATAGCCCCTTATCCTGGCTATCTCCTCTGTTATGTGTTAGGGGTCACGACATTCATAGCGTGAAGGAAGAGAACAGAATGAAATAATGGAGGAGTCCAACTACCTCGCCCAGTGCCCAAACACAGACGGTGCTCAGTGCACGTTCGGTTTTCTTATTCCTCTGCAAGGATGAGTCATGCATAGGCCGAAAGGCCTCCCCTCCCAAGCCTGGGGCTGATTTTTAATGAGTTGTCTGTAAGCATCTCTACCTTCCTGTGGCCACCTGTGCATATTGTGAACAGCTGGCTGGTGGGTGGGAGGCTGTGGGTTGTGGGTTAGTTCTTTTTTCATAAAACAAATGGAGCACAAAGCAAATTGAAATGAAAAGCACCCTGGTCTGGCAGGCAGGAGATGGGCGTGATCCCAGGGATGCCACCAGCATAGAGCAGGCGCTGAGGGTAGGTAGCTACTTGCATGATGTTGGTGGGTCCTGTAAACTATGTGACCTTGGGCATTCATCCCCTGGGCCTCACAGTCCTTCTCTGTAATATGAGGTGGTAAACTCAAACACCCAGACCATCCCCAGGTCTGACATTCTAAGATCCTAAGCTGAACACTCTATCCCTTTATTCACTTTAACAAGAATATTCAATGCACCTTCTGACCTCATGGGTTTGCACACATCTGCCAGCAGAGCTGGGTAATTTGCTCAGGAGGTTCTACAGGACTGTGGGGGAGGGGAAGGAGCAGGGATCACAGTTGGAAACCAGTTTTCCTAAACCAGGAGGTCAAGCCAGGCACCCTTAGAGTTGTGCCCTGTTTCCAGCCACCATCACAGGCCTGGTCTCCTGGGTGTGCTTTCAACAAGAGACCTGGACAAAGGCTAGGAACCCCACCCTCCTTCCCCACAGTTGGCCTGGGCTTCCCTCCAGGATCCCAGTGCTACGTGGAGAAGGTCCAGAAGGCCTGGAGAATAGGGTGGGGATCTGGAGTTGATCCCAGCAGGGCTGAGCTCTGTGAACCACCCTAGGAACCTAGCTTCCAGGGGCTGGAATGAGAGTGGGAGGCATAGCCCTAACATGAAAAGGTTTGTCAGAAGACTGAAAAAATGACAGGAAGGAAGGAGGGAGGGAGGGAGAGAAGGAAGGAAGGAAGGAAAGAAGGAAAGAAGGAAGGAAGGAAGGGAGGGAGGGAGGGAGGGAGGCAGGGGGGAGGTGGACGATAAATAAATGGATGGATAGATGGATGAACAATGGATGAATAATTAATAAATTCATGAATTAATGAACTGTAATGTCCAGAAAAGGAGATTAGAATAGCAAAGGGATTTACTGCTTCCAAAAGGAAGCCCAGCAACAGCTCTTTCCTCCTAAAGAAGAAAAATGAATTCAGGGCCACCTGAATCATCTGGCAGGGAAAGTATCAGAATGAGCCTGTGTCATCAACAAAAGTCAGAACTCTTCAGAAGGAGCCACTCTTGGTGTCTGTGCCTCATCGTATCCGCAGAATGACCTACCCAGTGCTGTGGCAGGGATCTTAAAGATCACATATTTTGTCTTCCCCTTGTCCACAATGGATGTGCCCATGTTGAGAACATTTCCAGCCGAATCATAATGAGGGTGTGCTGTTGCCAGATTTACAGCCACATATTTGCGATAATCAATCTGCAAAATATAATAGGCACCGGGTTTTAAAAAGGGGAGAAGTTGAAGTTGAAACCCTGTGGAAGCTGACTGATTCTAGATTCAGAGAGATGATGGCTATTTTTGCACATTTTCTGATATGAAAATAAGGCAGACTTCACCTTTAAAGAGAACATTTACTCTTGAGACCTGGTCTAACCTCCTGGGGGACCTCCTATAGCAAATAGGTTGCAGGGAGGTTAGTGAGCCATGTGTGTACTCTGGGGCAGTTTTTCACATCCTGCCGCTGGCCCTGCTGGAGGTCCTCAGAGTGGAGATAGGACACCTCCCCACAGAGAGCTGTAAGCAATGACCTGTGCAGAGAGGCAGCCATAGTGCTAATCTTGGCCACTGCTCTGTGTCATTCTGCTTAAGTCATTTAAATCCTCCCCTTTTGCATTCCACATAGGCGGAATTCTCCAGGCCTCTCTCATAGGATCATTCTGGGAATGGACAGGTTACAAAAACATTTGGTCAAAGTAAATCTCAACCAGGAAGCTCAATAATGACCTCACTCTGAACAAGCCACAACTGTAGAGCAATGGGGTGGCCTGGGCACCAGCTGTCCACCCTTCCTCCCCCAGAATAGCACAACCTCCAGCCAAAAGTCAGGCAGTACTCCGCTCTCTTCTAGTATTTCCTCTCTGCAACTTTGTGGAATGTGTACATCAGTCGGACCTATGCCGTTTAGCTTAAAAGGAGCTGTACATAATTTCACAGCTAAGAAAAGCACTCCTTTTAACAGATCATTAAAATGTATTATGGAGACACTAAGACTTTGAACAGCCAGCTAGGGAAAACTGAAAGTGGGCCTATTGATTTTCACGAAAATGTTGACTTGATTCTGCCCAGGAAAGGTATGTGCTTGGGCATTTATTTCTGAACTCTTGCTCTCTGCCGCATGCCTCCCTCTTCAGGTCAATTCAGGGTAGGGCCACTGGGAGTCCTGAGTGGCCCAGCACAGCCATTCAGGCTCTCATTGAGCTACCACTCAGAGCCGAGGACTATGGACTCTCTTGTGGGTTATATTGTATCTCCTCAAAAGATATGTTGAAGTCTTAACTCCTGGTACCTGTATTTGGATATAGGGTCTTTATAGGTATCATTAAGTTAGAATAAAGTCAGACTAGATTAGGGTGATCCTTAATCCAAAGATTGATATCTTTAGGAGAGATGGGAGTGATGTGTCCATCTACTGATTAAGGAACACGAAGAATGGCTGGCAAGCACCAGAAGGTAGAAGCAGCAAGGAATGATCCTCCACTAGAGACCACTGTCCTCCTTCAGAGGGAACACAGCCCTACTGACACCTTGATTTCAGACCGTTAGCCCCCAGAACTGCGAGAGAACAAATTTCTGTTGTTTTAAGCCACCTAGTTCGTGGTACTTGTTACAGTCGCCTTAGGAGGGAATATAGGCACAAGATGAAGACAGTCCCAGACCTAAGGGAGCCCAGGACCTGGTGTAACTGCTACACTGAGGAAGCACAGGAGCCAGTGGCACTAGAGAAGGGGGCTCCTGCAGGCCACAGGCCCTCAGGCAGGGGTTCCTGTCTTGAGTCAGACACTGCTGCTGGTTGTAGATTTGCTGATACCTTTTCCAGAGTATCCAGAGTCTGTGGGTCGATTTTCCTGATGTAATTGGTCTCCGTGGTTGCATAGAAGTCTTTCCCACACTTCATGATGTTAATCAGGCAGTTGTCTGTGAAATCTGGGATGGTGTGGGACAGGTAGGAGAAAGCTCTGGGGAAGAGAGCAAACCAGGGGGTCAACAGTTGTGTCTGCCCAACTCAAAAATTTGGTTTGAGGTGGTTTTAGTTTTCCTACCATTTAAAATGCTCTGCTTTCACTAAAGGAGGGAAAAGTACCGGATCCCAATGGGTTACTTGACAACTCAGACATCAAGTGTCCAAAGGTACCGCCATATTGAATCAACTAAGGAGTGACAGTCAGCTGGGACAACACAACCAACAACTAACTGAGCCCTCGTGGCCTCTCAAAAATCCAAAGGGCTCCCACACTAAAGCCAGAAAGAGCTGGTGGGTTGTTCTGAAGAGTTTTAATAAGCTCTACAGAAATCATACATTTATCCATAATGGCCCCCAAAGACTAGTAAAACACCAAATGCTTGCTTTTGGCAGGAATGTGAGTCCACACTGGTTACCTCAGCTTTGTCCATGAAATGAGTTTTTGAAAAGAGAAAAGCAAACTAATTTTGAGCTAAGAACTCATAACTAATTTGATCAGAAGGTAAATTTAAATCAGGAAAAAAAAAAATGCTGGGTCTGTGTATTGGTTAGTGCTCCCCTTACTGGCAAGTGATGTAACAGCAATAATGCCTCAAACATTGTGGTTTTAAATTCATTCCCTCCCCTCCCCCTTTCCTCACTGGCTCTTCCTCAATCTGCAAATATGAGTTTAGAGCAGTTCCTGGAAAAGCAGAAGCAATCTTCCATCTCTGGCTAGTCCTCCCCTAACACACTTCCTAACTCTTCTATATCTAAAGAGTATCAGGAAGGAGATACTGAAAGCAGGCCCGATTCTGTGGCCAACAATTTAATGTGTCAAATGTGTAATACACTCACATGCATCATAACCCAGATGACTTTAAACGTATACTACTAAAAATCTTCCCCTATCCTTTCTCCCAAAAAAGGAAATTTGTCAGTTTCCTACCTCCTTTGTAATTCCTTCCAGAGTTCTTTATGCACGTACCAGCGCAAATCAATCTAGATTTCCTCATGCCTTTTTACACAAAATATAGCACATTATTTGTTCTTTTTATACCCTGATTTTTTAAACTTAATATGTCTTGGAAATTCTTCCATTTGTTACATAGAAAACATCCTCTTTCCTTTTTACTTCTGCCTGGTATTTTCTTGTGTAGTTTTACTGTTATTTATTTAACTACTCCCCTGTTGATGAACACTGGGTTATTTTCAATTCTTCATGATAACAAATAATGCAGCTATGGATAACCTTGTATGTTTGTCATTTCAGCATGAACAAGTATACGTCTAGGCTGAAGGGAATGCACATTTGTAATTTTGATAGATAATTCCAAATTGCTCCCACCAGTCACATGGGAAAATACCTAATAACCTGTCAGATGCTCTTTGCCTCTCTTGCTATTAGTGATTAAGAAATGCATAGGGTATATAGACAGAGGCCAGTCACATGAACTTTTCATTCACCCTAAAGACGATTGTCAGGGGAGCAAACACTGCTTGTTTTGACCATCAAGGATATCAAAAACCATGACCAAATTCAAAATGGTCAGTTACTTGGAAAATATGTTTTTGCAGGGGTCTGGATAAGCCATTGTTCCAAACTCTGACACCACAATCCTGTTTGCCTCGATATTGGCGTTGTAGGTGTCACTCCTCAGGTATTTGCTCCTGTAATAGACTTCACCTGGAAGAGAAGAAGCAGAGTCATCCCAGGCTGACACCCTTACAGGCCTGATCATCAGTTTCAGCCATTCCAGGGATCTTACTGGGAGATATTAGGGAGAGCAGGACAGGTATGAGCTCTCTCAGTAAGGAGATTCAAGTTTCCACATGGATATGAACCCTTCACCATCTACCAGCCATGCACTTGACCTTGCGCCACATGCAGGATCAGTCCCCTCCACTGTGACGTGAACACCATGATACCTTTCTTTCTTTAAAGGTTTTATTTATTTATTTTTAGAGAAAGGGGAAGAGAGGGAGAAAGAGAGGGAGAGAAACATCAATGTGTGGTTGTCTCTTGAGTGCCCCCAACGGGGGACCTGGCCCACAACCCAGGCCTATACCCTGACTGGGAGTCAAACCGGACACCCTTTGGTTCGCAGATTGGCACTCAGTCTGTTAAGCCATACCATGGTACCTTTCTTACAGAGTTGCTGTGGCATCCAAGGCCTGCAAAGCACTTAGCACATAGTAGATGCTCAACAACAGCTACATATGCTATTGAGATGCAGGATAGAGTGGTCAAGGCTTTGGGCCTTCATCACACATTGATAACTGATAGTTGTTGCAATTCTGGATTGTCCAACAAAATCCTGCAGGCAGGAAAAATCAAGTAGGGGTTGGTGAGGCTATACACACTGGTTTTCACATACAGAAGCTGCTCTAGGGATACCTTGGCACCCCCTTGAGCTGGCTTGCTCCTTTCTGGCCACTCTCTCTGAGGACCACCACCCACAGGCACTGGCTAAGGTCCTTTGGGCCCTGTGGTGCTTTACTTAAAATGTTGAATTCTGTTCACTTGAAATGTAAACACTCAGCCCAAGCTGGTTGTAGACAGGCGGCCCATTTCCTATAAACAACCAGCCCCAGAGCACGGAGCACTTGGGGCCACAACAAAATGTGTCTCTGGAATTACTCAAGGCTGACACTCCACTTTGAGGCTGCAATGAAAGAAGGAGCCACTCCACATTCCCTACCACCCTACTCCTGGGAGAGTACAATTAGCCGCATTCCTTCTAAAGGAACACAAGTAAACAGACTAAACAGACTCCTGCCTGGAATCTTCTAGAACTGAGTCTGGTTTGGGGGGATAGGGACAGCTATATATAGGTATATACAGACATAAACACATATACACATATACTTAGGTATATATGAATATACATGTGTGTGCATACACACACGCGCACGCACTTGCTTTTAAAGCTAACTTTCCAAAAGGCTATTTTGGAGCTGTACCAACTGAAAAAGCTTTGGAAAGGCTAAATTCTCAAGAGGTCTCTTCTGTAAATCTTGGCAACTCTGGTTCTTGGAATTCACATGTTCAAATTCTCATGGGACAACAGCTTTTCCTTTTATTAGAAAATTATTGCATATATTTCTGAGGTTCATGCACCTCTAGGCCTGCTTTATAAAAATGTTTTATTTTGAAATCATTTGAGACTTACAGAAAAGAGTGCTCTCCTGCATACCCTTCACCTGGCTTCCCCTGCTACACTCTGCCTCTTTTATTCAAATCTTTGCAAGTTTTTTAAAGCACCAATTTTCTGGCCTCTGCTGAAGACCACCAGCCTTTTTTCTGCCTCTTTGCTTTCTTGCCCCAAAGTCTTACTGGCTTGGCACTATGCAGGTTCTCCATGCCGGCCGTATACTACAGCCACCTGGTGGTTTTATTACAGGAGCCTGAGGCCCAGCTCACAGGGTTCTGATAAGCTTGGCCTTGGGTGGGACGGGGCAGCCAGGCTGGAGGTCCTCCATGGGGGTTTTCCAAACCTCCATGTGCTCAGGGTCATATAGGAAATGTGTTAGAGACACAGATGCTCTGTCTTTACTTTTCAGGGTTATGATTCTTTTAGGCTGTGCGCGCGCGAGAGAGAGAGAGAGAGAGAGAGAGAGAGAGTGTGTGTGTGTGTGTGTGTGTGTATTTGCAGCTTTGATTAGCATTTAAGGGGATTCCAATGCAGGAGGTTCACAAACCGCCTTTTGAGAAATAGTTTGTGTTCTCTGCAAACCCAACACCGTGTTTGCCCTGTGCATGCCCTCTTGAATCATTGTATAGTAGTACTTAACATTTTTGGTTTCTGGTGTTAGACAATGGGGAGCCATTGAGAGTTCTAGAGAGAAGAGATGAGGCCAGGCAGTACCACGCCAATATTGACAACCTGGCAGCCTCAGGAGGATTGGGCTGGGGAGATGGGGACAGATGGTAGCTGGCAGGATGAAGGAATGGGGACAGAAGTGCATAATGATTAGAACTTGGAATTCTGGATTTGGAGAGTATTGGGTTTATATATGACCACCACCACTCCTTAGCTGTGTGCGTTTGGACAAGTACCTCAGCCTCTCTGGGCCTTAGACTCTCATCCGTAGAAACCAAGATAGCAACAGTGGTTCCTACTCCAAGAACTATGGCGAGGGCTGATGTGTGAATGGGCATGAGGCCAATGGCCAGCAAACACTTCCTGCAGTGAGTATTGAAGACATGGGTTGGGAAAATACTGCTTCCTCCTACCAAAACAATCTTTACTTCACTCATGTCATCTCAGCTCCATAAAGAGTTTCAGGGTGCCCCTCTGGGCCAGGCTCCATGCTAATTGATGAGGATACAACATTTTGAACATGAACCCTGAACTCTGGGGCCCCCCACCCTATGCTGGAGAATGGCAAACTGATTATTGCAAAGCAGGGTGGGGCTTGCACCCTCAACTCATGACCAAAGTCAAGAGCAGGACAAGGGAAGGGTAGGTAGTTGGGTATACTCTCCATACTTCCCACCTTCCAGCCAGTTCCAGATTATGAATAGAACTGAGTTTTTCATGCTACTGTACCGTTTGTGTGTATATATAATATATATTATATAATTTTATATATATATATAAATAAATAAAATTTTCTGTGTATTAGGGAATATTCTTTTGCTTTAACCATCCCAAGGCAAGGTGCCAGGCAACTAAAGACCACCACTATCGTCCAAAGTCCACTGAAGTTATTTGCACGAGCCAATCCTAAGCAGTTGACCCTGACCTGTCTTGTCTTTCCCTCAAAACCTCAATGAAGGCCACAGCCTAAGCATTCCCCTTGCCCCTGACTGCTGCCTCCTGACCACCTGGTGTTTCCCATGTGGCCTTGCATGGTGTGCTGTGCCTCCCATTCCTAGGATCTGTAAGTATAATAGCCTTTGTTTTCCTGAGCCTCTCTGTGTCTCTTCTTGTAGCCACACCTGTCTGACCACCACATAAAAGGACACAACGTAGCTACTCACCTTTGACAATGAATTTTTAGTTTGAAAACCTATTAGGCGCTTTGAGAAATTCTAAACAGCATGCAATAACTTTGGTCATTTGCCTGTCTATCCCTGGCTTCCATACAGCAGCCATGGCTCAGTCATTTCCTGCTGGTTCCCTTGTCCCTGGGGCTCTCTATGGAAGGATGCCAGAGCTACTACTTGGTAAGCTGTGAGGGGATCACTTAAGTAACCTACTATTTCTTAGGCAGTGGGGGTGGGGGGGTATGCATGCACATATGCGCACAGGCTAAGAATGGGGGTGAAGGCTGCAAACTTAAACCCCAGGCAATGCAGATTGAGATCTCAGCCCTACCTTGGTGACCACTCAACCGCTCTAAGGTTTCCATTCCTGCATCTGCAAAGATGAGACCAGAACACCTCCCACACAGCTTTCACATGAGCACCAGAAATGGCTGCAAAGGACCTGGCAGCCCCGTGAGGCAGGGCCTCACAGAAAGGAAGCCACCTTTCACACAGCTCATCCAAAACAACGATTATTTCCCCCAGAATCATTGGCAATCTCTGTCTAGAAAAGGAGTAGATTGTTAAGACTTAAGGCTGTCAGGGAATATGAAGCCACAAACTCTACAGCTGAGTCTCAGTAAAATTTGTAAGTTTTTTAAAACATGATACCTCCATTCCTGATATGTTTGAGCAAGTTGCTGGCATAGAGTCTGCGCTAAAAAAATAATTGCTGACTGGCTTGAAAGAGATAATAAATATGCAAAAATAATAGTTAATGCTTACTGAGCGCATAATAGTTAATGCCAGGCATTATACAAAGCTCCTTACACATAGTAATTCCTTTAAATTCCACAGCAACTCTATGAGATATGCTACTGACATATCTCCATTCTAAGGATGGGAGACTGAGACAGAGAGGGGGTAACTTAGCCAAGGTCACACAGCTTCCATTAGCTGGGATTCAAACCCAGCAACAGTGATGGTGTTTTTTAATCCACTAGTGTCTGCCATGTGTCAGGCCCTTGTCAGACATTCATTCTTCTAATCATCACAACGGCTCTGCAGGGAGGATGATAAAGCCCTTTTCACTGAGGAGGCCAAGGGTAGTGAAGTGACCATAGATTGCCCATGCTATCCCAGGAGTTAAAGAAAAATTTCACTCTGCTCAAGTTCTTGGATATGAATTTGCCCACTCTTTGCCCCTGAGCCTGCTCAAGCCTCATGCAACCCATCCTGGACCTCTTTGAGAACTCAGCTTACACTGCTGTGACATAAACCAGCCCAATGGTCAACAGCAAAGAGTTTGTTTACAATCCACTTCTTGAGCCAGTACCCTGCACTCAGGATTTCGCCTTATTTGTGGTGCTTCCTACTCTCTGCTCTATTTCAGTGTCCACTCTGGGCTAGCTACTGAACATATCGCTTGCGCGATATGGCCCTCCTCTGCCTGGTGAGTAATACGTTCAGCTTTGTTCTTTACAGCTTTGTACTTACCCTGTTTTGATTTGGTGTGTGTTTGATTCCAAAGCCTGAAACCTTCTGCCTGCTGTTACCCACTTTATTGAGAATACATATTATTTTGCAAGTTGGACTCTTTGAAAAAGAAGCTTGGCCACCTTTCCAGGGAGGTTTACTCTTATCCTGGGCTGAACAATCACCTCCCCAAGATGTCCGTGTCCTAATCCCTGGGACCTGTGAATGTGTTACCTGACAGGGCAAAAGAGACTTTATAGGTATGATTAAGATAAAGGATCTTGAGAAGGAAGATTATTCCGGATTATCTGGGTGGGCCTAATGTAATTACAAAGGTCCTTGTAAGAGGGAGATAGGAAGGTTAGAGTCAGAGAAAGAGATGTGATTATAGAAGCAGAGAGAGGCAGACAGAGAAAGAAAGAGACAGAGAGAGACGGAGAGAGAGCAAGCTGGCTGTGACGATGGAGACGGAGCTATAACCTGAGGAGTGCAGGCAGCTTCTAGAAGCTACATAAGCCAGAAACCTCCTAGAACCCTCAGAGAGAAGGCAGCCCTGCCAATATGAGACTCCTTTTAGACTCCTGACTTCCAGAACTGTAAAAAAAGTAATTTGTATTGTTTTAATTCCACTTGTATCTTTTTATTTTTATGAATGTGGCTGTCAGTAAATTTTAAATGGTACATGTGGCACGCGTTATATTTCTATTGGTCATTTGTTACAGCACAATAGCAAACTAATAGAGTGCTTTTACCATCTCTAATGGTGAAGCTGTGGAGCAAAGCCAGGCCATCAAACCAATGGTTGTAGCTGGTCTCCCCCACTGTATGCATCCCAGGCCCATTGCGAAGCAGGGTTCCCTGAAGCCATGTTGGAATCTTGCCTGTTAAGAGAAAGAATGTTTAATTTCCACCTTCCGTGTCTGAACCGAAAAGCTAGAAGAAATGGCCATGGAAAAGAATTGAGGCCATAGTCTCAACACCAGTCACGACATTCACTCATTTACCGAGCAGTCATTTCCAGAAAGCATACTGCGTGCCTGGCATTGGGCAAGCCTGAGGATACCAAGATAGATAGGCATCGTCCGTGTCCTTACATTGCTCACCATCCATAGAGAGACAGGGACAGAAGAATCAACAGACACTCAAAATAATCTGTGACAAAGGCAGCGCAACAGACTCAGCTGGGGCTGTGTGGAACGGCCTCACCCTGAGGTGAGGGGCATGCAGCAGGGTGAGGACTGCTTCCTGGAGGAAGCAGCTTGGAGAAGTCTTGAGGGAGAATAGGTACCTGTCTCACAAAGGTATGAAGAAAGAACATTCTAGAGCTGTGCTGTTCAATGTGGTAGCCATCAGCCCCATGTGGCGATTGAACACTTAAAATGTGGGTAGTCCAAACTGAGATGTGCTGTAAGTAAAAAATACACACTGGCTTTCAAAGACTATGGAAAAAAAAATGTAAAATATTTCACTAGTAATTTAAAAATATTGATTACATGGTAAAACTGATCATATTTTGGTTTTGTTTGGTGTGTTAAGTAAAATATACTACTAAAGTTAATTTCATCTATATCTTTTTACTTTTATGAATGTGGCTGTTAGTAAATTTAAAATTGCACATGTGGCATGTGTTACATTTCTACTGGACAGCACGGCCCTAAAGACTGTGCACTGTAGCAGATGCTGGGGGTACCACCTCCCCTTGCATCCACCTCTCCATGAAGGCTGCTTTCTGCAAATGCCTGCAGCTCACTGCCTGAGGGCTTTGTTCTCACCCCGGAAGCTGCTCTGCCCACATTCCAGACTAGCTGGAAGTGCCTTGGAGAGTTAATACCCCTGGAAGCAGCTCTCACACAACAATGCATGGGAATCTGGGGTTCAAATGCCACCAATTCCTTGCCCTGAGCTGGGACAATGTGAGGCAAGTTTTATACTATGTCCAGAGGAGTCAGCTCTCATGGCTCCCAGTGCTCAGTGTCTTGACAATGCCCCCTTTTCGGGCTTCCCTTCCAGTGTTTCTTACGATCGAGTCCCAGAAAAACTATTTACACTTGAATGCTTATCTCTGAAGGAACCCAAACCAGGAGACCAAAGACCAGTTCAAAGACCAAGAGGTGTGCAGCTGTTTAGTGAAACTGGACTGGAATTTTTGAGTGAGGACATTATAAATATTGAGGCTGGAGAGTTGGGCAGGGTCCAAGTGACAGGCCAACAAGACCACACCCCAAGGGCTTTCATTGTTTATTTAGAAGAATGGGACACCTTTGATGGCTATAACAGGGATCAATAGGATCAGGCTTTTTTTTTCTTTTTGGCAATATTTTTTAATTGAAAATATTTGCATAACATAAAATCCACCATTTTAAAGTGTACAATGCAGGGGATTTTAGTATATCCACAATGTTGTGCAACTATCGCCACTATCTAATTCCAGAACATTTCCATCATCCCCCAACACAGCTCTGTCCCCATCCGTTAGCAGTCGCTCGCCATTCCCCAGCCTCAGCACCTGCCAACCACTAATCTACTTGTTCTAAGGATCTGCCTCTTCTGGACATCTCATATCAATGAAATATGCTCAGATTTGGAGTTTCAGCAGTTGCCTTTGACTGTGATGTGAAGAATGGGCAGGAGGAAGAGCCAGGGAGGCAGGGAGACCAGAGAGACAACCTGGGTGGCAGCAGTGGAGACAAAGAGAAACAAGGGAGCAAATAGACTTGGAAGACATAGAACTGCTAGGACTCAGTTGGACTACATATGGGGAGTGGGGGAGAAGAGGGGAGCATTAAAAAAAATACCATCCAAGTTTCTTGCCTCAGGCAACTAAAGTGAATGGGAGGACTATTCATAGACACCCAGGACATAGGAGAAGGAGCAGGTGATGCAGAGCAGGGCGAGGTGAATCAGGGCATATAGTTAATGCCACAGATATATAGTAAGAACATTTATTGAGCACTATGCAACTTCCAAGGCAAATTCTCAGCTGAAAAGCTCCAATCTGACTTTCCTCACAAAGAATGTTCACTGTTGTCCTCTCCCCGTGGAAAAGCATCCAGTCCATCTCTCCCAGGATGAACCTGCCTGTGAATCTGAGCTGACCCACTCGCTGTTCTCAGGACATTGAACAAGTTCCAAGCTGGGGACCCAAGAGTTCAGACCCAGTCGTTGCCCTGTAGACTCTAAACAAGATGGTACCAGAAAGTCAAGTTGCAGCTCAGAAGAGGAAAAAGCCAGAGAAATAAGTGAGACACAAAGCCCGCAGGAGGAATGTTCCTGCGAGGCTCCCCCTCTGGGGCTCTTGCACCGGCTCTGCAGGTGCTCACGTGCCCCAGTGGCCCCCGTGGTACCTGAGAGGAAATCACAGCAGGCCCTGCATACCCTCTAGTGAGCCCTTACAGGAGTGCGAGCTTACCCCCACTGCTCATACCATTTTGAAATTAATTCGGGATACGCACTCATTTGCTCAAACACAGCACCCAGTTGGAAGGGGCCACATTTTGCAGGATAACCCCATCGCCAAATGCAGGACTTTTCTCCTGGGAATAGTGAGAATGACTCTCCCTCCTTGGAAACTGAGTTATGATATATAAAAGCACACCTAGATTTTCACAGAGAATGTGTCTGGATTATGGATCATTTTCTCCCAGATAATGTTTTCCAGATTTTCCAAAAATGATTTACAATGAGCAGGAAAAAAGCATACATCTAAACATGAAAGGAGAGCCAATCATTTATACAAACGCTCACCTGTCACTCTGGCCCTCACAGGCTCCAGTTGTTCTTTCTTATTTCTGCCAAATAGTACATCCATCACATGGGGTGCTGCGCGAGAGCAATACTGACAGTGAACAGACACTCCTCTGTCTTCAAGGCAACTGCTCCTCGGCTCCTCCTCTCTTTCCCTTCATGCTCTCCCGCAGCTTCCCTCCTGGTGCCCCTGTTTTTTTCCCCCTCTGAGGGCTTGGTATTTCTTCACATTCCACGGGGAAGCTGCACTAGGATTGTTTGTTTGGTTAAAGTTCAATTTCCCAACTGCATGTTCTTGTTAAACTTTAATCCTCTTATTGTCTCTCCCTTTTCCAGCGTTAGCCAAGAAAAGCAACATAAAACCTACTGGGTTTAGGTCAGAGAGAGAATTTAGCAGTGCGTTCTGCTTCGGCAGGCTGTCAGTAATAGTCCAACTTGGAGGTGGAGGTGGTTTATAACCAAAAGAGGGACTGTCAGGACCATCAAAGACACCTGAAGTCAATGAGAGTACTCGTATTGCCTTGAAGAAGAAAGAAAAAGACACCTGGGATCGGGGGTGCCACGAGCACGTTGATCACGTGAATTCCTGCTGAACATCATGGAAAGTTATTCTGCAGAGACAGGAAAGGCTTTTTTGTTTTGTTTTAAACAACGTTCCCTGAGTCTCCTACCCCACACCTCCCCCCCAAAATTGTACATAAAGAGCAACTTAATTCTTATTTCTCTTTTGAAGAAGTAAATATAGAAGATTTCATGTACTCATTTAAACAATAAATGTAGGTTCAACTTCCTGGCCCATCAAGAGGCAGAAACGATGCCTGAATTTGATTTTAGGGTCTCCCTATATTTGTGCATCTTGATGTGATGCCATTGCCTGAAGTCCACATTCAGTTGCTATGGATGTTGGGTGATGAATTCGTGAACTCATCTTAACTCATGCTGCTTAAAGAAAGAACCAGTCATTCCCTCTCTGGGGAGAGCAAGAAAAGGGGGTGGTGCTGCTGCTGAGTGTAATTATTGTCAGGGCTGGGTCGAGCCAGTGTTCCAGTAGCTCAGAGCTCAGCCCTGACAGCAGCTGGCTGTACTTGCATCCTGGCTGCACATTCCATTCACCTGGCTGGGCTCCACTCCAGACTCACTGATTCAGAATCCCTAAAGATGGAGCCCAGCCATACAATGTCCTTAACATGCCTCTGGTGATTCTCTTTGTGCAGCAGACATTGATTGAGAAGCCCAGGTGCAGGGGAAGATGTTACATGTTTGTGTTGATACTAAATCACATCCCTCCCTTTTCTGCATGTCTAATCCTCATTGAACTTCTATTTCTTTAACTGTAAAATGAGGCAAAATTTCAAGGCTATTATCGGTCAAGGGTCTAGCAAAAGTACCTGGTCCCAAACAGCTATCAATCAATGTTATTGCCCTATCCTTCCCCATTCTCTCAGAAGGCACTTCTCTTTGAACTACATTTCCCATTAAGTCTCGTAATAACTTGCCAGTTTATTCAGCTATCTGGTTTAAACATGTGTATCCACGTCAGGGTTACTATTTATTCCTAGGTTGTGAAAGCTGCGCCCTTGTGAGGATTAAGTGAGAATGTCTGGCATACACGAGGCCTCAGGGAAAAAATCACACCATCAGGGGCAGCAACCCTGGTGCAGAAAACAAGAGCTTGGGGCTTAGAGATCAGAAGACCTGGGTTGGGATCTCAGCCCTGCAATTTAAAAACACTGTGACCATTGTCACAAGGTTCCTCTGAATGGCACTTTATATGCAAAACAGGATGGCAATAGCTATGTTGCAGGATTATATTGAAATTATAAGTGAAAACATGACCATGTTCTCCTTTCTTGCTCATTTTGTGTCATATTCAGAAAAGCCACAGCCCCCAACCATTGAGCTCATTCTCTGAGTCAAGTGCTTTGCAAAGCACTCTGCGTGTACCAGCTCGCTCTGGCCTTATGTAATCCTATGATATGGGTATTCTTAGCATTATTCTGGAAATGAGAAAACTCAGGGAAGGTAACCAACTTGCCTTAGGATACACAACTACCATGATCGAATTAGGAAGCCGAGCCGGGCAGCCTGATTTCAAGGTGTATACTCTTGAATAAAATAAAAAGAAATTTATTTATTTATTTATTTACTTACTTACTTACTTACCCTAAAAAGAGGCTGGAAGTCCAAGATTAAGACATTGGCAGGAATGGTTTCTTCTGAGGCCTTTCTCCTTGGGGGGGCAGATGGCTGTCTTCTCACTGTGTCCTCACATGGTCTTCCCTCAGAGGGTGTGCATCCCTGGTCTATCTTTGTGCGCCCAGATTTCCTCTCCTTATAAGGATACCAGTCAGATTGGATTAGAGCCCACCCCAATGGACGCATTTTTAACTTACATCTTTAAAAGTGCTATCAATCACATTCTGAGGCGCTCGGGGTTAGGGATTTAACGTGTGAATCTTGGGGGAATACAATTCAGCCCGTAACAGTATCATGAAGGCTCAACAAGTTAACAGAAGATGCTTTGGCTGAAAGGAACAGAGTATCAGCTGAAACCCTAAAGAGGGGCGTTCATCTTGGACATCAAGCCATTTGGGGCCCTGGGTAGCTCAGGAGCTCATCTGAGTCATCTCACCAGGCTCCATTCCATCGACCGCAGCGCCATCTTCAGAGGGCTGGTTTCTCATCCTTGGGCTTGTCCAGTTTTGTTTATGAATGGTTCCCTTCATTCCAGGAATCGTCCCGGCAAAAGCAGGGGCATAAGGTGAGGACAAAGGAGTCATTTTCTTTTCACGTTTCTCTCCTTTTAAGCTGGAGGAAAATCTTTTCCAGAATCCGATTTTTTCTTAGTCTTCTTAGCTGAAATGTGTTCACATGCCCACCCCAGACCAATCCCTGGCAAGGAGGAACAGGAGTGCCCTGATTTCCTTACATCCTGAGACGCTTCCGGGGGCAGTGTGCTGTCGCCTGAATCACATCAGGGTTTCGTTACCAAGAAAAGGCGGAGGGAATGGCTCGGGATGGGCAGCCTGCAGCTCGCACAGCATTCATGCATTCCCACAACGATTCATTCATCAACATATACCTACTGAGTGTCTACTGCATGCTGGGAATATAGCCGTGAACAAAACAAGAAAATAAAATGTGCCTTCTTAGAATTCATACCAACTACATGCCAAGTTCTGGGGATACAGAGGTGATTAATAAGACTCAGTTTCTGCCTTCTTGGGCTCCTGTTATTTTCTTTTTGTTCGGGGGCCAAGTCTGCATATCCCAAAGGACATGAATTTCCCAAAGGGGTCAGGGGCCCTGCAGTGGTTCATGGGACTGTTTTCATGTTGGACCTCCATCCTCCCTCTTTATAAACAGAGATAACAAGCAGTAGCCGCTCTTCCCCAAGAGGCTCTGGCGTTGCTCTGAACCCACGGAAGCCTGACCACTGCCTTCTAGGCCTTTACTAACATGGGAGGAGTGGGACAAGGGACTTGTCACCGGTAGCAGCTGTCTCCTGACCCATCCTTCAGCCTCTGATAAATGCCATTCACGAGACACTTGACCTGTGCCAAGTACATGTTAAGTGCCTTATTTGAAGACTTTTATTTAATCCCTATACAGCCCTCCAAGGGAATCATTAGCAATCTTATTTTTATAGACTCAGAGATGTAGAGGGACTTGATCAAGGTCAATAGCTACTTAGTGGATATTCTTCCCCGCTAGGCAGTAATGCCTCCTACCTTTTGAAGTTGCTGGTTAAGTAGATATGAGAGCAAAATTTGGTGTTGCACAATTTCACAATTTTTATAATGCATTCGCTGCCTTAAAATGGATGAAAACCAGCCAGTGCACAAGAGAACAGGGCAACAGGAATGTGAAAGGAAGTCGTCTTATACAGAGTTTCAGTCTGCCTTTGGAGGGCCTGAGATGCTCGTGGGGTGAGTAGGAAGGCTTTGCCCCCTCCCTTCAGGAGGGAGAAGGAAGGGCGTTCACAGGTGGGTGTCCCCTGCTCTGGACTGGTACATACCGTATCTTCTAATCCCGGCACAGACCTGACAAGTACTATTATTACCCCTTGTTATCAAGGGAGCAGCTGGAGTTTGGTGAGGTTGCACCCCTGGGCCAGAGACCCTACAGCCTGTGGCAGGGGTGGAAGATTTGAACTGGGGGATCCTCTCACTTCCTAATTTTGGGGAAGGATTCAGGAAGCGGAGGCTACCTTCCCCTGAGGCCACTAATTCCACGAAATGTGTTGCGCCCATAAAACAGGCATGTGGTAAAGAAGTATTGTAAAAGCTGAATTCAAAAAGAAACATTTTTGTGCTATAAAAAACCAACGGCCTTATTTTGCAATTCAGTATCTTCTATTACAAAGGTATTGAGTAAAGTGAGTTAATATTTCCCTTTCGGAGATATTGTTATCATATCTAAATTACTTTGGAATTTTCCAATTAAGTTAACTTCTAAATGGTACCTTTAATTAGTCAGAGTGATAAACTGAGCAGATAAGGTGGAAATCTTGGATAGCAAGGTTCAAGGTGACAGGTAAAGTCCCGGCAAAGGTAGCAGCTGCCTCCCTGAGGGAGAAGCATTGGTTGATGAGCTCCAGAAAACGCTCTCCATCGGCATGTTCTGGAAGCAGGATGTAGGGGGTGGTGGGAGAGCTGCCCTAGGCCTTCTGGAGTGAATGCTTCACCACTAAATGAAAGACTACACAATAGGCAATTCACATTTCAGGGCATTCATCAATTCCACAAAGTCCTACTGGACTGCAGAGACTAGTGCCATATTGGGTATTAGAGATTAAAAAAAAGAAAAAGAAAAAGGGAAATCATAGCTCCTGACCTCCATGAGCTCAGAGACTAGCAAGGGAGAAAGGAATGCAAATAATAACAGCAGTAGTAATAGTAATAGTAATAATAACAGACCACACTTGGGAGGCAGAATGGGTGAGGTTGAAATATTATTGTTAGAAAAGGAAGTACCTTCTGATGAATGAGCTGGAAGACTTCAGTCTTCCATGTGCTCAGGTTGTGATCAGTGAGGCTGGACCAAAAGTTCAATTTAAATAATAACTATACTAGGTTATAGCCTGGACTGTAGTTCTCACATTTCTACTTCCTAAGTAATCTTTCAGATTCTTCCTTTCTCCTCCAGCCCCCCGGCCACTGTCCCTACTACTGTTTACCTCTTGGGAGCAGCCTCCTCATGGGTCTTTCTGACTTCAGACCCAACCCCTCCAATCTACCTTCCCTGCTGCCACCAGGTGACATGGCTGAAATGCAAACCCGATCATGTCACTCTCCTGTTTAAAATGCAGAGTTGAGCACAGTGCCTGGCATTTGGCCTCCTTGTGCTACGTCCTCTTGTATGAGTTTCCTCCCGTAACGAAGAACCGCAGGCTCAGTGGGAACAGACCTGTCTAAGTTTGGGCTCTCCCAGAAACAGACCCCAAGACAAGGATTCAAATGCAAGTGGTTTACTTGGGAAGTGAACCCAGGAAAGGCCAGTAGCACAGTGGGGACGTAAAACAGGCAGGGAAGACACGAGGTACATTGTCAAGGCCATTATCATCACAGACAGCTGAAGCCGGCTGGCTGGGGAACTCCAGAGAGCATGCTGCGGAGTTATTTTGAGGGAACTGGGGGATTGGTCCACCCACTCTGGTCAGTCAAAGGTGAGAGTTCCTCCTGCGAGGAATTAACTTCCAGGCACTTCCATCCTGTCCCTTGTATACAGAGGAAGGCAAAGAGCCCCAGGTGCTTGCACTTAGAAGCCCTACATGGTAAGGTTAAGGTGGGACATTGAAAGTGGCTATGACAACCCTGAGGAGATGATTCGGCCCAGTCTAAAGGGTAAGTGCAGGAAGATATCATTGTCAACTAGAATAGCAAAACTGAACACATGACAAACAGATGACAAAAACCACACGAAATATCTAGCAACATAACATGGGGATGGTTTAGTAATGTCCATTTACAGAGAGGAGGCACAGCTGCCACCATGCCAACTTCAAAGCCCTTGAGCAACACAGAAAAGGCTTACCATTGACTGTTGAGTGGCAAAAGGAAGGATGTAGTATAAATTGATTGTACATACACTATGGTCGTGCCTGGGTAAACATCTATCTTCAAGGCAAGTTTACAGTGCTTCATTTTGTGGACGTACTGCCATTATCCTGCTGAAAGAAAACCTTGTGGTGACCATTTTCGATTTTGCCTTCCTGAGGGTGATGTCATGTTGGACTGACATGGACAATTCTGAAAAAAAAGAAAAAAAGGCAAGAAGCATTCAGCGGAACCACAAAGAAATGAAAATGTATTAGGGTGATAAGACCATGAGAATTCTTTTGCTATGTTGTCTTTTCATTTGAATGGGGACAAAGATTTACTGTGACTAATTGAAAACATCAATTCATATAAAGTGATGGACTCCCCCCTCACATGCCACTGTTTCCTGCATCTTCTCCCAAATAAAATGCCGGCCCTTGAGTTCGTGTCTCAGTTAGCTTTGGGGGAAAGCCGAACTCCAATGGGTCTATGTGCAGGACGGGGATGTCTGGGCCACAAGGTGTGACCATCTTTATAGTTCTTCTCATGGTTCTATTTAAACCAAACTCCTCTCTTTCTGTTTTCATTTGCTGATCCTGAAAATCAGAATTTGGCGGTTCAGGCAGCTGCATCCAATCATTGGAAACACACACGCATCCAGCCGTGCCCTGCTTCCTTCCTTTGCTACACAGAGGTTAAGGCACTTTGGGAGCTGACATCATCAAGGCAGATTCCATGCCCAGAGTCTGCAATTTATCAAAATGTAAAGAATGTGAGAATGGAATTTAGCCTGCAGATTTGTGTTCCTTATCAAATGTCTCCAAGCATGTTCCATGAGTGACATAAATTAAGCCTTTACCCAGAAGATACATTATCTCTGTGTGAGGCCTTACACATTGTTTTCTGATGGAAGTCATTAGAAGCTTGGGTCCCACAGTTAAGAGACCAGTTCTGCCCTGCCTGTGAGTCAGCAATCACATCGAATCCTGCCCTGGGCTCTGTCTGGCAGGCCTATGCCAGAGGGCTTGGAGGGGCTTCTGGGAAAGAGAAGGTGGGCAAGAGTTAGCCCCAGGGACCTGGGCAATGGGACCACACTGGCAAATGTTCATTTAATCCTACTATGTGCCAGCCATTGGATAGATGGAGATCTTGAGATGTTATTTCTTCCCCTCAAGAAATTCACAGAATAAGACAACCCAAATGTCCATCGATGGATGAATGGATGAACAAAATGTGGTTTATTCAAAGCATACAATGGGATATTATCTAGCCATAAAAAGGAATGAAGTCTGATACGTGCTCCAACACATGTGGACCTTGAAAATATGCTGAGTGACAAAAATTAGACACAAAGGTCACATAATTATATGATTCCATTTATTTGAAATAATATCCAGAACAGGTAAATCCACAGAGGTAGAGAGTAGAGATTGCCAGGGGCTGAGAGGAGATAGGGATGGGAAACAAAACAAAAACAGAAACAAAAACAAAACGGGTCAGACCAAAGTAACGTCTTAAAATCAAATATTATACAATTGTGTTCTCTAAACTCTGTGGTCACCCTGCCATAAGAAACTGTTTACCTGACACCTTTTTTGAAGGTCATAGTGTCCCACCACATTGTAAAGCTCCTTTCTCCAACCTTGAATTATTGACTTCTTGTGTAGACTTTTCATCCAGTGCTATTTTTGTTTTCATAGTATAAACTACGACCTTGGTGTCTCCCCTATCCCAACTGCAATGGCCCATGTAGGTATTTTCCTAAAAAAAGGTGTCCAGAAGAACTCTGGTACTAGCAGTTAAAACAACTGACCCCCCACTAAAGTAACATAGTAATTTTGGCAACTTTAATAAATGGTGAAAGTTACCATGAACAATAAACGTTATTCAGGAAGGCAAACAAAGATGGGGGTTTATTAATCCTGGAAACCTTTCATTTAATTATTACTCTATAAACTTTTATTGAGTGCCAAAAAATAAAAAGGAATGAATCACTCACTGATATGTGCTATAAGATGGATGAAATTTAAAGACACTATGCTACAGTGAGAGAGCCACAAAAAAGTCATCATATTATATGATTCCATTCACACAAAGTATCTGGAATAGACAAACCCATACAGATAGAGACATAAAGTCAATCAGTGGTTGTCTGGTGCTGGGGGAGGAAGAAATAGGGTGTGAATGTAACTGAACGCAGGTCTGGCTGCCTGCTGCTACAAATGTCGAACTCAAGAGACAAGTGCTGATGTGAAGGAAAGCGGTTTGTTTTCAGGTGCTGGCCACCTGGAAGATGGGAGATGTCTCAAAGCCCATTTTCACATCTCAGTGCAGGCAGAGGTTTTTATAAGGAGAGAGAGGGAAAGCAGAACAAAGAGATCAAGGGAGGGGGTTGAAAAGTTCTGAACATGCAGACCAGTGCAGTCTGTTCTGATAAGGTAAGTGATGGTCTGGCTGTGTGTCATCCTGGCCCCATGGATGAAGGTTAGCAATTTCCCAAAGCTGGGACGCCTGAAGGTTGAAATCTATATCTTTTGAAGTTAGTTCCTAGGATTCCTATAGAGACATGCTATTTATTCTACAAGCTACATATTAGAGACAGCATTCACAGAAGCAATGTCAAAAGAATGGTGGGGTGGGTTACAATGTCCCACTGTTACAGTTCTCCAGTGCTACATGAATGCTAATGGATTTCCTTTTGGTGTGATGAAAATGTTCTAAAATTGATCATCGTGATGGTTATACAGCCTCATGAATATACTAAAAGGTATTGATTTGTATACTTTAAATGGGTGAATTGTATGGCATATGAATTATATCTTAGTAAAGTTTTATTAAAAAATAAAAAAAAATTCAGAGGGGATAAGCATATTATACAAGGCAAATTCTACAAAGTTCTCAAAGGAAATGAGATTTGAGCTGAATGTTGAAGATGATCAGGGAAGGACTAGGGAGAAAGTGGTTCCTGGCAGAGAGGACAACACAGGAGTACAAAGAAGTGTGAGGAAAGGTCTGCAGCAATTAATTAAGATATTTAGGAAGAGCTATGGCTTTGAGGTTGGCAGGGGGAAAGGGATGAAAAGCCCATGATGTTTTTAAAAAATAATTTATTATTTTTGAACAGGTCATACATTCAAGTGGCACAAAATAGAAAGCTTTAGACAGGTGGCCAATAAAACAAAACTTTGTTCCCTTCTGTGCCTCCCACTCACCTAGTCCCCCCTCCTTGGCAATCACTATTGCCAGTCTCTGTATGTCCTTCACGGGATCTGTTACACACACATGAATAAATACTCATATATGTTTTTATGTAAAAGGCACTATACCATCAACAATGTCTCATAATTTGCTTTTAATATGAACAAAAATCTTAAAGATCCTTCCAAATTTGTATACAAAGAATTTGTTCATTTTTTATTGGGTATAAAGATGAACCACATTTCATTAACCAATTTCCTATCAATGGCCGCGTAGGTTGTTTCTAATTTTTCCTTCCCACAAAATTCTCCAGTAAATAACCTTATACATGTGACATTTCACATATGTATGAATTTGCCTGTAGGCGAAATTCCTAGAAGTAGAATTGCTAATTACAGAGCTTGTGCTTCAGAATTTTTTTTTCAGAATTTTTTATTGAATGTGTTACAAAAGAGGTTTAGTCAAACAGGCCAAAACCTATGTCATCATCAGACTCCTCAGATTCTTCTTCCTTTGCTTTCACATTCTCCTCCCCAGAGGGGGCAGCAGTGGTGGGGCTTACGTCGCAGACGAGGCTATCGATGTTGACCCGGGCCAGCGCCTTTGCAGCAGGCTTGGCCAGCAAGGTTCAACATTTATACCGGCTGCGTTAATGAGGGCACTGATCTCATCCTCTATGACCGCTACCTCACCGTTGTGCAGGAGGGGGTCTGAGTAGACACAGGGGAGCTCTGAGATGGAGGCCGTGGTGTGGGTGGGCGCTGAGCGAGCAGTGCTAGGCACAGTGCTACTCACTGGGTGAAGTGAGAGCCTCGCCCCACGTGGCCTTAGCTTCCAAGGAAGGAATCCGCACCTTACTAGTAGCTGGGGAGTTACATTTATCAAAATGGAATAAATTTTGATAGATACTGTCATACTGCCCACAACAGAGGCTGTACCAATTTATTCTTCTATTGGGCAAGAGAGTCTGGTTCTCCATATTTTGAGAGATGTGTTTGGAAAAATTGTCCTGGGCCAGTTCACACAGAGCATTACATGAAAGCTAAGAAATTTGAACTTGATCCACAGACCATGGACACTCCCTGGAGGGTTAGGACACCGGATGAGGATAGGCAGGTTTGAAGTTTTTAAAGCTTATTTCCATGATAATATCAAATAAATTTTGTAGGACATTTTTATTCTCTAACAGGCATGAGTGGTAAGGTGATGAATCAGAGAGGGGGAAAAATATCTCCTGTTGGGTTTAAGCCACGCTGAAGAGAATGTGATTATCATGTAGGCACAGCAGCCACTCTAAACAGTAAGATTGGATATGAGTGCAACCTGTTCTTTGTTTTGTGTTTTTTTTACAACCCCATAACTCTAACTTACCTGCCATTTTTCTTTTATCACACACTGTCCACATGCTGATGGCTTCTAATGAAGCATTTAGCCTTCAAGAGTAATGACATAAAACCAACAGCCAGGATTTTTTTTATCAGAAGCTAACAGTTGACCGAATGACAGAAGGAGAGGTAGTAGAGCAGCTTTAGCTTTCTCTTCAAGACCGTTCTGCAAATTAATTGTATTTGGAACTGGCATTTAACAAAGAGCTGGGGGAAGCAACACTGCAGACACATTCATCCTGAGTCTTTATTTCTTCAGCAAGAGGCAGTCGCTATTATTTGATGCAAAGAGAGAAGGAAAGATGGATGGCAGATGGTTGTGGAGGCAACAGCATATGAAGGACTGAGAGCCAGCTCCATCCAGAATCTCCAGTGGTGGTTCAAGGATGAGCACGGCAGGCCGGGTCCTCCTGGGGCTTGCTCTGAGTTTCTGGCCACTACTGCTAAGCCAGAGGAGGGCAGCTTTTGCTCGAAGAGCCAAGTGGCTTTCAGAGACTCTTGCTATGAGTTTGTGCCTTTGGGTTGCTCTTTCTATGGTGCCCAGAGCTGGCGTGAGAGGCAAGGAAGCCATCTGGTCTTTATCCATGAGGAAGGCACCCAGCAGTTTCTACAGAAGCACATCTCTCAGGACAGGGAATGGTGGATTGCGCTCACAGGGAACTCAGCTCAGAATGGAAACACAGGAGGTAGGTGGTGCTGTGATAAGTATGTTTTACGGGAGTTTGTGGCTGCAATTTTCATCATTGCTTCCCACCCAAAGCTCCATAGGACAAATTAATATGCCCCATTCTCATGGTAAGCAAACCTCCTTTGACTGTTTTGTGAATCAAATAAAATAGTTCATGCACAGTATTTAGCACAGAGCCTGGCACATAGCTAACACTCCAGAAACTTGCATTTCTTTGCATATGCCTAATAATGTTAGCTATGAAATATTTGGTCCTTGCTAAAATAATGTATAGCACTATCCTGAGTACTTCATGTTCATTATCAAGTTGAATTCTGACAATAACTGATAATATAATTATTATTGCTGTCTGTTTTACAGGTGAGAAAACTGAGTCTCAGGAAATAATTACTAAGCTGTTTTCAAAGCACTTCCATGTGTCTTCCACACCCAACCCCACCCCACCCCACCCCTTTGCTATGAGATTGAAGAAGGTCAAGTGCTTAGCAAGGCTCCATTCATATTAGATAGACTCATTTTAATGGTTCTCCTGGGAACTCCCACTTATCTTTTACTCTGAAAGGGCTCCACCTGGTGAGTCCTCTATGCACCTGTAGGACCTTGTCCACATCTCTGTGAGAACCCTTTTGGCATGACTTTAGTTATGTAGGTGTCTACCCCCTAGACAATAAGCTCTTCAAGGGAAGGAACCATATCCTGGCCCAAATTTTCCCCCAGTGCCCCCACATATCAAAGAATGGACAAATAAATCTTTATATTTAACCCTTACACCTGCCCCATGAGGTAGGCATTGCTACTCTTATTTTATGGGTGAGGAAAATGAAGTCCAGAGAGAGGGACTGTCTTGCTCAAGATGACACATCTAGGGAAAGGCAGTGTCCTGCCATCTCATACTGCTCGGTGGACGCTATGGGATTTTAGAAACAAGAAACTTGGTCTGGGCTAAGCACCTAGGAATATCTACCAGAGTGGATGGAAATGCTTTGATAAAGGAGCAGATGGGCAAGCTCATTTTGGGATACTCACAGCCCACAGATACAAATTCTGCAATGGGTCTTCAGGCAATATCTCTTGAATGGTTTCTTGCTTTGTTGATTCAGCAATATGTGGGTTTCTGCATTTTGAACATCCATTCATATGCACTTAAAGGATATTAGCCTATTTAAAATCTACAGGGGATAGGCCTGAGTGGGCTGATATGTAATAATCTTCAATATGTAATGTTATTTAAGAAGCAAGGGACGGGATGCTGTGTGCAATATGGCAGCATTTGAGTAAAGATTTCAGGCACTCATGGGTGCTGATACGTGGATAAGATTCAGCCTAGACCAACTCATAAGAAACATAATGATAATGGGAATGTTGCACAGCTTGGGAAAGGGAAGATGCTTTCCTTTTATGCCTTTTTCACTCTTAAAATTCTTTTTACCATTTGTATGAATTTCTTTTAAAAATTAATAAATACATTTTGAGTCTTCACAGTAAATGTTTTATATCTACTGTTTTCTAGATCTCTAGTGTCCTTGAAATGCCTCTGTATCTCGTACACACACATACGACACTTCTTTGAGTAACATCATTGGCTTCAAGGCTCTGAAGAGTCCTGAAGTAAGGAAAACTGCTTCCATTTTACCTCAGCAGTGCCCAAATATATTTGACAAGGGTCTTTTTCCTGTGTGAAACACCTTTTGACACCCAAGGCTGCAAGCATCATTTACTCAGTCAAACCACTCTGTACAGGCCCTCCAACTTGGGGTCCCAGTGTTTAGGTTGAGTTCTTATGTTTGAGTGCTGGGAGATAACAGCTAGGAAATTGCCCCTTTGCCGGCATGGGAAAAAGAGGACTTCAGCCTGTCAGCATTGATCGAGCACATCCTGCATACAAAGAGTTGAACTGGGGCAAGTCTTGTACGTAAAAACTACTGGAAGAACATTTCCAAGTCCTGGTGCTCATGTTCCCATCCCAGGGCCGGGGATCTGGCTGGACACCTCCAATGTGAACCATAGCCACTGGCATGAAGGGCAGGCCTCTCCTGCTCCCCAAACCTGCAGCTCCATTGGGAGAGACCCTTCTTCCAGGTGGGCTGCCTAAGACAACTACACACAGTCATTCGCCTTCATCTGCAAGTTTGGTGAGCTGGCCTCTGTTGTGGGGTCTACTTCCTTCATCCTGTCTCTTTATGTCTCTCTGCCTCTGTTCCTTTGTCTCTCTCTGTGTCTCTCTGCTTCCTTCTCTGTCTCTCTAAATGCCCACCTGTCTCTGCGTGATCATACGTGTCTGTCTCTATCTCTGTGTGTTTCTCTCCATGTATCTCTATTTCTCTGCTTCTATTTCTGTGTCTCTGTTTCTCTCTGAGTGTCTCTCTAAATACTCACATCTCTCTGTCTGTGTGATGCTCTGTGCCTCTCTGTCTCTCCATCTTTCTCTGTCTCTCTCTAAATGCCTGCCCCTCTCTGTCTATGTGATGCTCAGTCTCTCTGTGTCTCACTCCATCTTTCTAGCTTACATCTTCTCTCTCCATGGCCACTTATCTCCCTACTAGTCTCGCTGGTCTCTCTTTCTTCTTCCTATACCTGTGTCTAGGGGGGAGTGCTCACTCACCCTTGACTCCTGCTCCCTGGTCAGCCTGGGTCTGAGCCCCCCAAGCCTACAACCCACCGACTCCCAACTTCTCTTGTGCCCTTTCTAGCTGTTGCCCATGCCTGACCCCCAACATAGACCCTGGGGGCTGTGTATAAGAGACCCTGCGGGATTGGGCCGTGGCCACACACCAGGTCCTGCCCACCAGGTGGTGACTGCAGTGGGGCCTGATCTTAGAGCTCAGTCCCTCCTGGTCCCCTGACCCATAATCCAGACTTGATGGAAGCTTCTGGGCTTCCTGGGTCCAGCCCCTGGTTCTAAGCTCCTGGCTCCCAAGCCCTGTTCTGGGTTTGGACACTCACAGGAGCCCTTGCTGAATTCTTCCCTCCCCCAGCTTTAAATAGGTGCACGTAGGCTTAACTCCTTCTGCCTAACTAGGTCCGAAAACATGGAAGCTCCTAGGAAGTCCTTCCTGGTCGGTGCATTAGGCAAGTTCCCCCTGCCTTTTTTAAATCACAGCCCCCTTAAGTCCCTGTTCCCCTTGCCACCTCAGCTTCAAGCCAGTCTCTCAGATGCTGTCAGCCACCATGGTCTTGGAGCCCTTGCATGAGGTCACACTATGAAGAACTAATGAGTATCAAGCAGAAGTTCCAGCGTTGAGCTAGGCACTCCATGTACATTTATTCATCATAATAGAAGTCCCTCCACCATTCTATTGTAGGCCCAGTATAAAGCTAAGAAAAGTGAGGCTCAGAAAGGGTAAGTTCTTTGTCCAAGGCCATACAGCTGAGAAGTGACAGAGATGAGACCTGAACTAGATTTGCCTATGGTCAGAGAGAGACTGGAAGATGCTACAATGGTGGCTTTGAAGATTGAGGAAGGGGCCACAGTCCAAGGAATGCTGGTGGCCTCTGGAAGCTGGACAAGGCAGGAAACATATTGTCCCCTGTAGACTCCAGAAGGAGTGCCCACACCTTGATAGTATCCCAGTAAGACCCATTTTTGGACTTCTGACCTTCATAACTGTAATACGATAAATCTGTGCTGTGTTAAGCTACTAACTTTATAGTAATTTGTTACAGCAGCCACAGAAAATAAACACAGATTTTTGGTCTCAACCCCTACTCTGTGGCATTCCCACCAGGCGGACAGGCCTGAGTTTGAATTCAGCACTTCCCACTTTCTGGCTCTTCACACCTGAGCCAGGTCATTCTTTTTCAAGAAATGTTTATTGGGCATGGGCCAGGTGCCAGGAGCAAGGCTGGTGTGGGTTCTTTGCACAGTGACCCACTGAGCCCTATGTTCCTAATGGGGAGAATAAGAGCTCAGCTCATAGGATCAGTATGAAGACATATTGAAATCACTCATTCACTCAACAAATGCTTGTTTAGCATCTATCATGTACTGGGCATTGTTTTCAGATAAGGCTCAAGGAAGGTACTTGAAATAGGTGGAATAAATGGTTGCCACTTGAAGAGCCCATACTCTGAATGTACAAACTTATTTAATCCTCTTAATATCCCTACCGAGTCCCATACAGAGGAAGCAGAGAGGAGCTAAGTTACTTGCAGAGGGTCACACAGCCACTGGGTGGCTGCACTGGAGCCACATGTGGGCAGCCTGCCTCCAGGGCACACTCTCACCCCTGCTGGGGTGGCTTCCACTCTGCCCTTGCATCCCACAGTCCTGACCCCTGAGACTCTTCCACTTCCCATTAACCAGGCACTTGCCCATCCATGACCATAAGTCACCTTACCTCTTATAAGTGTTGACCAGAGCCTGGCCTGCGAGGGCCTCAATGCCATCATGCAGTGTGGCTTGGGAGAGGTCATCCGGATCCAGGATGCCTTCTGTGGGTGCCAGACTCCTTTATTGCACCCGGGACGCTGGGCGCCCCTTGGACCTGGAGGAGGAATGCAGCTGGCTCAGCGTCAAGGACGAAGTGGCAGGTAGGGCCAACAGCTTCCCAGCTCTGGCTGTGAGCACAGGGAAGTTCCTACTGTCCTGTGCCCAGCAAAGGTTTTTAGAAGACTTGAACAATCCCCAAACATGACCTTGAGCTTCCAACACTGAAAAAACTAGCCAGTCTCTGCCCACACCACCAAGCTGGTAAGCAATGGAGCAATAGCTCACCCACTGGGTCAGGTGGGCATTTCGTTTCCCACCCAACCTGGGTACAAGGAGCATCATTTGTGTTTTAACTTAATTTTTAAAAAACTTTGAAATACTTGAAATATATAGATAAGAATAAAAAATATTGCAATGAACTCCCAAAGATCCACTACCCAACTTTGTCAAACCTTAACATTATGCCCTCCCTGCTCTGCTCCTGGTCATGAATGCACTGTTTATTAATCACATGTGTGGTTTTTTACTGCTGCCTTCTATGTATGCAACTGTAAACATTATCTAGTATTGCTTTGCAGGTCTTTAATTTATAAAAATGGTATCATATGGTATGTCATTCTGCAGTGTACTTTTTTTCCTCTTTTCCTTCTTTATTTTATTTTATTTTTTTGCTCAAAGCACTATCAACCATGATATATGTTGTGCTAGTTTATCTATTTCATCTATTGTGTGACTATGCCACAATTCGTCTCTTCCTCTGTTGAGAGCTGTATGAGTTCGGTCTTAATCCGTGCTGCTATGAATAATGTTGAACAATGTTCCTGGTGGCAGCTCTTGTTCAAATGGGAAAATTTCTCTAGGACCTGTTTTTCTAAATTAGATTAAATCTGCCTCTAAGCTGCCTTGCCCCATGGCAATGACTCACTTTCAGGGAATATGGGGGCTCTTTGCACCCTCCTGAGGGGTGCAAAGGCCTCAGAAACCTATGTCACCCAGGACGGAGGGGAGTCCTCTCCTCTGCTGCAGTGACGGCTATTGGGCCAGCAGGGCCCCGTGAAAGCAGGTCGCCTGCTCTAAGCCAAGGAGAAAATCAGGGCCATTGTACCTGCCTGTCCTCTCTCCCAGGCTTCTCCATAAGTATTTAATTCACCTGCATAAGCAGGAGGGAGAGGTATCGGTGTTGGCAGGGCCCTGAAGCTCTGGCCTGGGCTCTCCACAGTCCGCCCTCCTACAGGCATTTGGTGCCCTGGTAACCACAGGTTTCCTTTACTTGTCCTCTCTTTGCCAGTTCTTAGGGTGAAGGTTTCAACTTTAGGCGATTTGACTAGATGCCACTGGATCAGTGGTTCTCAAAGTGGGGTCCCTGGGCCAGCAGTGTAAACATGAGCTGGGAGCTTGTAAGAAAAGCAAATCCTCAAGGTGCCCTCCACATCTGCTGGATCCTAAGCCCGCCAGGGAATTCTGGTGCAATCTAAAGTTGGAGAACCACTGGGCTGGACCCCGAACTACTGGAGGACAGGAATCTACTTCCCGCTCCCCCAGTGCCTAGAACAGGGCCTAGTCTTCAGTAGACACCAATTGGTATTTGTCGGACAGATGGTGGGTGAATGAATGAACACAAGCCCATTCATCTCTGTCTGAACCTATCCCTTTATGCCCCTCACATTGCTCTTGCTTTTGCTGGGATGCGGGCGCTTCCCAGGACAGTGCCAGGGGTTGCAGGCATGCCAAGTGGCAGCAAATGGGACCTTCTTTGGAGACCTGTGCCCCACTCGGGGCAGCTCCTACGGATGCAATACCAGTGTCAGGAAGGTGAGTCCCCAGCTGGCCTGGGTGTGGGAATTCCCTCCTCATTTCCATGCCAGGGCCAGTCCCCATCAGAGCAGAGGGAGCATCCACCCGTGGGGGCTAGTCTACTGTGTGCTAAGAGACTTCCTAACCTAAAACTGCTGTCCTAGGCATGGCCTGGCCTAGCCCAGCCTGGGGATAAAGCATTTAAGGTCCTGTTGCAGAAATGAGCTGTCAAGCCAGAAGTTTAAAAAAAATTTCTTTTTTTAGTTCTAGGATCCTTCCATTTAAATCCCCTGGGGTGACCCAATACACATAGCAGACAAATCCAGGCTGACTTGGTTGAAAACAGTCAAAATATCTCTCCCACACGCCACAGCCATTCAACCACTGCCCCTCCCCTAGGCTGCCTTTTTAGTACATGCAGAGACTTTTTAAAAATACAAGTCTTGAAAGCCACAAAAATAACTAACCCACATTACCACAATTTAGAAAAGTTTTATAAATCAAGCAGGAAGAATCCCTCCCTTTGGTCCTATCCCATAACCAAACCACTGTTAACTGTGTAGAATAAATTCTTTACTGCGTTTAAACATATTTTCGTAGACATGGCTGGATATGAATTTATATATGTATATTTTTATGAAAATGTAATTATGAAAAATATATTAGTCAACAACGCATTTTTTTCATATAATAATATATCCTGGACATCTCACAAGTCCCTAGCTTATTCTTTTAATAACTGCATAGTATCCCATCATAAGATTATGTCAAAATGTATTTAACCTTTTCCCCTATTGATAAATACTTAGTTGCTTCCGATCTTTCGTTGTTGTGTATCATTCTCTGGTGCCCGCTTGCACATTCTTGTGCATATATCTTGACATGTGCTTAAGATTATTTTTAGAGGAGAAATCCCTAGTAGTGGAAATGCTGGGTCACAGGGTATGTGCATTTTAAATGTTAATAGATATTGCCAAATTACCCTCCAAAATCGCTGTATTGATTTATACTGCAACTAACAGAGTATAAGAGCGCCAGTTTCCCCTCCGGCTGTGAAACCACATTATGCCATTTTCCAACACATTAAATCGGTCAGAACAGCAGCTTCTATTTGAAGGCGTGTGTAATGGTGCAAGGAGCTCTGAAGGGAAAGGATGAGTCAGGGAACGTTGGGGTCCCCAGGGGCCATCCAAGAGAGCAGAGTCGATGAGTACAGGAGAAGGGAGGATCACACAGAAGAGGGGGTACAGGAAGGGGAAGGTGGCATGCAAGACAAGTTTTACCAGGGATATTAATTTGCTGAACATACTTGGGTGAAATAAAAATGAGCAAGATGGCCCTGGCCAGGTGGCCTAATTAGTTGGAGCACTGTCCTATACACCAAAAGGTTGAGGACTTGATCCCAAGTCAGGGCACATACCTAAGTTGCAGATTTGATCCCTGGTTGGGGCACATACGGGAGGCAATCAATTAATATTTCTCTGTCTTTCTCTAAAATCAATAAACATATTCTCAGATAAAGATTTATTTTATTTTATTTTTTTAAATATAGTGAGCAAGGTGTCTCAATTCTATTTTCTGGGAAGAGGAGGCTAGAGGCCCCGTGTTTTGGCAGCACCTTCCATTTGGCAGCTTTGCTAATGGGCAAAGTACCCTTTGGCGATCTGCCTGCCCCAGTGTTGTTGTCATTGGGCAAATGCATAGCTTGGGGGAGAGCGGGGAGGTGTGTTTGGCACCACATAGTCCAGATTGTCTGCCCCAACTTTGTTTCAAATATCCTGTCTGCTTGTGAATCAGTATGTTCTGCTCACAATCAAGTTCTGATTTGTGAAGGGAGGGACTTTATCCAGAAGTCCCCACCCCCAACTGTGCCCAGAAGGGCCTAATTGCATGTGACTTTTCCTCAGGTAGTTGACGAAAGTCCTTTAATTTGCATTCAGCTTCTTTTACTTTTTCTCTTCTCATTTGTGCTCACAAAGGAAAGATTATGCTGCACAAATTAGCCCAAGGGTATGTTAAAACCCAGCAAATTCTACTGTTCACCCCTTCCTCCATGCTAACTTTTGAAGCTCAAGGATCTGTTAAATTTGATGTGCACTAAATGGCTTACAATGAATCATCGGCCACCTTAGCCAAGTAGATTTTCTTAAAGGTGCTTTCTTTGCCTTTTGTCTTTTAAACACTATAAAATACATTTGGACAATCAATAAATCCTTGTTAAATAAATTATGGTACATTGTGCAACTATTAAAAAGAACAGGGCAGCTCTAACTGAATTTATATAGAACGTCCAAGATACATTAAGGGGGGAAAAAAAGAAGGTGTCAAATAATGAATATAGCAAGAACCATTTGTATAAATAGAAAAGTACATGCTTTTGAATATGTAGATATTTCTGGAAGGTGGCCTGGGATACTGATAACCGTGGTTGCCTCCGGAGATCAGAACAGAGGGCCTGACGTATGGCAGTTGAGGGGGTGGGGCGTTTTACACATTTCAAATTCTGTATTATGGTTATGTACTACCTATGAACAAAATGTAAAACTCAAAAGACCTTTAAAAAGTAAAACTAAATATTTAAAAACTTTAAAAGCCCCACCTAAAGATGCAGGACAGGTGGTTAAAAGAGTTAGGGTTCTTTAATTAATTAATTAATTTTTATTTATGAGAGAGAGAGAGAGAAACATCGACTTGTTGTTTCACTTAGTTATGTATTCACTGGTTGACTCTTGTAGGTGCCGACTGAGGATCAAACCCTCAACCTTGCTGTATCAGGACGATACTCTAACTAACTGAGCTACCTGGCCAGGATGAGAGTCAGTTTTAAACGTGCAGTTTTGCTCTGCAGTGGCACACAGCCTTTTGTGTTTTCATCTGCAGACCTGCAGCTTACAGTGTCCAGTGAGAGTTTCATCTTTGACAGTGGCACCATCTCCCTGCGGTGGCTCCCCTCTCCTTAGGTTGGAAACCTGGCCTGTATCATTAGTACCAGGGACAGCCACACATTTGATCCTTACTGCCCCCCCACCCGCCAGGTAAGAGGACTCTCTGAGCCTTGAGTCAGCATGTTTCAGTCAATTTTTGCTGCATAAAAAAAATCCCACAACTTACAATAATACTTATAATTTGTCATGGTTCTTTAAATGAGCCAGGTAGATTTTCTTGTTTGGACTAGCTCAGCTGGGGATGGATGGCCTAGAAGGGCCTCACGCGTCAGCTGAATGCCAGCTCGGTGCGTTGGTTGCTGAACACCCAACAGGCTAGCCTAGGCTTACTCCCATGGCGGCAGAAGAGTTCTTGTTGGTAGTGAAAGCAAGGTCCAATGTGCAAGCATATTTCAAATCTCTACTTGTGTCACATTTTTTTTCATACCTGAGGACATGCTTATTGGTTTTAGAGAGAGGGGAAGGGTGCGAGAGGGAGAGAAACATTGACATGAGAAAGAAACATTGATCAGTTGCTTCTCGCACATGTCCTGACCAGGAACCGAACCCACAATCTACGCATGTGCCCTGATTGGGAATCAAACCTGTGACCCTTCTGTCTACGCGATGATGCTCCAACCAACTAAGCCACAGCAGCCAGGGCTACTTGTGTCACATTTTTTTAAATGACCCATTGGCCAAAGCAAGTTTCATTGCCAAGGCCAGATTCAACAGGTGGAGAAACAGACTACACCTGTTGATAGAAGAAATGGCAGAACCACAGAACAAAGGGCCATACATGTGGGAATGGGAGAAACTGGTGCTCACCAGTTTCTCATTATGGAGGCCACCTGAACAGTCACGGCGCGCTGGATCCTTTCGCCTTGGCTGTGTGTAGAGTCTCTCCCGGGTCACTGTCCAAGGAGTTGGTAATGGGGTAAAGAAGTTACTCACCTGGGTATGGGAATGTATTTTATTGGTAAGGATAATAAATATAATAGTAGCAACATTAATAATAGTCCAGCCAAGCAGTTTTCACACATAACCCCACTAGTGCTGTGCTAATATAACCACTTGCCACGTGAGCCACTGAGTCCTTGAAGTAGAGCTGTTGTCAATTAAGATACTCTGTACATGTAAAATACACATGGCATTTTCAAGATTTAGTCCCCTCGCCCCCCAAAAAGAATGTAAAATATCTTACTAATAATTTGTATATTTATTACACATTGAAATGATAGTACTTTGAATATTTTGGGTTAAAGAAAATAAATTACGAAAATTAATTTAAACTGTTTCTTACTTTTTCCAGTGTGGCCTTTAGAAAACTTAAAATTACACATGTGGCTCATACTATTTGCTTTGGATGGTGCTGAGCTAGATAATTATTATCTTGTTTTTACAAAGGCACAGTGGTGTTGCCCAAGCTTCATGGCTAGTGAATGGCAGCGCCACGATGCTGTCCAAGCAGGAGTGTCCGGCCTTGAATGGCGCTCAGGCTCTGAGGCCCCTGACGGATTATACAGCACACAGCATCAGGGCCTGAGGGCACTGTTCCCCCTTCCCCTGCATTCTCCAGGAAACAGTTACCTCCCCCACCTGACGGTAGCTAAACCCAATTCATAACGTTTCAAAGTCCTACCTGGCCTGTGTAAGCTCCATTCTGCCTTGCTGGGTGCCCCAGCAGGAGGGGTGCCCCAGACTGTTTCAGAAAACCCAGGTCCTCTTTGGATTCTGGGGCTCCTTACAGGGACCCCCAGTTCAATATGGATCCCCTCGGAAGTCATGGAGACCCATAAGCCTTTCTTCTAACCCCCAAGTATCTCCAGTTCTATCCTGTGGGATCAAGAGGTTCAAGCTCATGGGTACAGTCATTCCCAAAAGCACTGTGTGGGGTGAGGCAAACAGGAGGAGGGGGAAGCCCTGTGCACAGCCCATCTGTTCCTGTGAGTGCAGGTCTCAGATTCAGCAGTGCTCCGAGGTCTCAGGCACTGTGCAAAGAAAATGGTGTCCAGAGGCTGGGGTTCCAATCCCAGGCACTGCTAGTATATTGGACCCAGAAATAAACCCTTGTGTTTCTGTTTCCTTCACTGTCACATTTATATTGACGGTTGCTTTGACTGGAGTAAAATAAGAAATTACATGGGAAGATGCTTTGAGAAGTAAATGTCTAAGGAATACAAATACCTATGGCATTGTTCTGCAGATTTCTTCCCATTTTTTACCATTTCATCAATAAAACGACAAATGATAAATTACACAATCCTTAACCCCCGAATTTAATAGAACTAGAATTTTGCCTAAGTCAAAATTCACTGTCTTTAGCCCTGCTAAGACTTTCAGTTACCCAAGGACTTTTTAATTTTTAAAAATTTATTTATTGATTTGAGAGAGAGAGAGACATTGATTTGTTGTTCTATTTATTTATGCATTCATTGCATGTGCCCTGACCAAAGATCGAACCCACAACTTTGATATACTAGGATGACACTCTAACCAACTGAGCTACCTGGCCAGGGCTACACAGGGACTTTATAGTAATAAACAAACAGTAGTTAAAAACTAGAGCAAATGGAACAAAATGGAAATATTTGTCAACTCTAGGCAGTGAGTCCAAAGGTGTTTCCATATTACTCTCTGCAATTTGTTGTGTGATTAAATTTTTTCATAATCTAAGACAAACAATAGTAAGCAATGCTTTACATTGCAATCTCTCTGGGCATTAGCTTTAAGTGAAAGTGACTTGCACTTTTTTCTTCTCTTTCAAAACACATAGATGTTGATACCCTCCACCATCACCCCATCTAAATAGTCCATTTCCTCTCCTTTAAAGACTTGTTAGACCTTGAAACGACCCACCCACCTTCTTTTATCATTTTTATTGATATTGGGAAATATATATTTCTGACACTTTCTAATTAGTATTAATAGTCTCATCAATTTACAATATGAAAAATGGCATGAGTTTAAAGTATACAGAAGTCCCATGTTTTGTGTGGATGTCATTGTGCTCTTCTTTTATGTGTGTGTAGAGACTCCTACTTCTGCTTAACTCCTTCTTAGACTAAGACCCAAAGCTCTATGTCTATTGTAGATAAATAACATGAGCTGATGAGGAGAATCCAACCTCCAATAGAAACGATGTAATAAAAGTTAAACAATTGCTCCTTTAGAAGCTCCTTCTCGCTCTGCATTCCTCATGTCTTGTGTACATTTGCATGGCAGGTTGTTTTGTTTCTACAGTTCTGAAACTGTATTATGTGGCTTACGGAACAATTTGCATAAGGTGAAATTTGCCCAGGTCCAACGTTAGGTAACTCAGCGCCACCTACTGACAAATCCGGGGATTGCCGTTATTCTTCAGACCACTCAGTCACCTCCGCACAAAACCAAATCTGGCAGGGTGGTGGTGGCGGGGGTACTTCCGTAAAAACCCATCATTCACAAGTCAACGTAAGCCTTAGAGTGACTTAGACGTACACAGGCTGTTGGAAGGCACAGAAGTGAGAACTCTGTGGAAGATGTCGGTCAGAAAGGACTGTAGAGCTGAAGTCTTTGGTGGGGGACCAGAAGTAGGGGACAAGAGGAGAGCATGTAGAGAAAGCAGTCGTGGATGTGGAGGAGCACCGTCTCCCCGGGTAACTCTGAGCACCTCACTGTACCCGGAGTTCAGGGGCAAGTGGAAAAAATGAAAGATGGTGCTGGAAATCTCCAAAAGGGGACTGGTGGTGAAGAGCCTTGATACCTGCTAATTTAAAGAGATTGTTTTTAGGAGTGTATGCAGGTCAAGCACCAGGAAACAAGCTCTGATTTGGGGTGCAGGAGGTTTCCTGGGGGTACTAAGATGGGGCCGGGGGAGAAGTTGGACTGAGATGCAGTAGCAGCACAGGCATTGCTGACAGTGGATGCAGGACATGCCTGGGCAGGGGCTGCCCCCTTCGGAGAGGTGGCTCCCTGTGGCTAAGGAGAATTCCTGGAGATGTGAGCCCTCAGCTTCTGTCATGCCAGGATGCTGAGGGGAGGGGTGCAGGCCTTAGTCTTAAAGGGTGGACTCCGGGTGACACATCACCACATTCACTACAAAGGATATATAAGAACCTTTAGGCCACAGAGTTACATGATCTGTGATTATTAGTATTGTCAGGGTTAACTAATACTCACTGGGTAACTTTCAAAAGTAAATGGGACTACAAAGAATAACTGGTACAGAGTTGATTCTGGCAAACGAATAATTGTTACTATTAATATTTCATAAAAGTATATGCTACTTTTAATAGGCTAAGTGCATAAATATCATCCTGTTATATAAAAAGCTACAATATTTGAGTCTATTACATGCCAGATATCTATCCAGCCATGGTATCATTTAAACCTTACAACCCAGCCAGGAATAGCTCTCACTGCATTTTACGGACAAGGGCATGGAGACCCACTCAGGGAGGTTAATTGAGTCATTAGGTTATCCAGGGAACCCGAGGAGTCCTCAGAGATCTCATTTCTAGTCTCCTACCTTTTCTACTCCTTCACACTGCCCCATTTGGTCAGATGGCTTCATCCACAAGCTGGCTGGCAATTTCTGAGCAATGAACAAAATGAAACAGACTATGTTCTTAATAATTGGACATTATAAACAAAGACCAAAAATGTGAGCTTTCTTCTCCACTTCCTTTTTAAGTTACATCCCATTAACATCAAATATCAAAGCAGCATATACAAATCAGTGAGTAAAAGAGTCTTGAACCAATTATTGAACTTTTTATTTAAGCATAATACATGTACAGGAAAGTGCACAAAAAGATACAGATCAATTAATTTTTACACAGTGAACACACCCATGTAACCAGCACCCAGACCAAGAAACAAAATATGACTAGTTTCCCAGAAATCCCTCTGTGTCCTCCAAGAATTCTAACATCACCAAATAGTGTGACCTGTATTTGAAACTTATATAAATGAAATTGCATGAAGTATATACTCTTCTGTGTCTGATTTCAGTTCAATAGTGCATTTAAAAATTTTTTTCTTTAGACTTCAGAGAGAGGAAGAGAGAGAGAAACATCAATGATTATCCCACTTATTTATGCATTCTTTGGTTGATTCTTGTATGTGTCCTGACCAGGAATCAAACCTGCCAACACTGGTGTTTTGGGATGACGCTCTAACCAACTGAGCTACCTAGCCAGGGCCGATAGAGCATTTTTTTTAGATTTATGCATACCATTGTGTATAATTTTGATTTCTTTTTTCTTATTGCTATATAACATCTCATTATGGAACATACCTCAATTTACCTATCCATTCTAGCATTGATAGACATTTTGAATGGTTTCCAATTTGGGGTATTATAAATAGTGAACCCATAAACACTGTAGTACATGTCTTTTGGTGCACATATGTACACATTTCTGATGGGTTTATATCTTGGAGTGGAATTGCACAAATCCATAGGATCATAGCACAAATTTTTAAGTTGTTGTCTTCCTCTCTTTGTACTCTGAGCACATCTTCCCTTTGCTGGCAGCATTTTCTAAAACCACTTTGTAGTCTTCTCCCTTGGGTGAGATCACTGGGAGATAAATCAGAAAAAAAAAATCCATTTTTCTGATCTTTAGTCCTGGACAATTTCAGCTGGCACCAGAGTTTAAAGAACATAACAAATTGCTTTTTCCAGACAGATCACTTAAAAAACGGGCTGGGTTTTGCTATTCAAAACCATTGTTTATATATCCATAAAGAGTTAGCATTTTCTTGTTCTAAAATTTACATTCTTTGATATTCACAATGGCCACTCCAGAATTCTTCTGATTAGGGTTGGTTGATAGATCTTTCTTCTATCTTATTAACTTATCTATATCATTTTTTTAAAAGGGGCTTTCTTTTAAACAGTATATGCTTGAGTCTTGGTTTTTTAATATCTCTGTGGCACAATAACTGGTGTGTTTAAAGCATTTACAATTAATGTAATTATTGATATAGTTAAATTTAGATCTACTGTTTTGTTGTTTTCTGTTTGCCCCCCTCCGTTTACCCCCTGCTCCTGGTTCCTCTTCTTTCTTGACTTCTTTTTCGATTACTAAATATTTTTAGTATTTCATCTTAACTTAGCTACTGGCTTTTTTTTCCTTGTTATGTCTCTTTGTATTACTTTTTTAGTAGTTGCTTTGGGAATTTCAGTATACATGTCTAACCTTTCACAGTCTACTTAGAGTTACTATGATACCACTTCAAGTAAAATGTTGAAGTCTTACTAGCATATAGGTCCCTTTTCCCTGCCTACCTTTATATTTTATTGTCATATGTAGGACATCTATATACACTGAAACCCCTTTCAACAATCATACATATTTTAAAGAACTGAAGAGAAAAAGAAGTCTATACAGTTACCAAGATATTTACTACTGCTTGTGTTCTCTCTTCATTCCTGAAGTTCCAAGTTCCTCCTAGTATCATTTCCCTTCAGATGCAAAAACTTCCTTCAGCATTTCTTTTAGAGTCAATTTTCTGGCAATAAATTCTCTTAGAGAATTTCTTTATTCCTGAGAATGTCTTTATTTTTCTTTAATTCCTGGTGGATATTTTTTCTGGATATAGAATTATATGTTGACAATTCTTTTAACACTTTCAAGGTGTCATTCACTGTCTTCTGACCACATGGTTTCTGAGGAGAAATCTGTAGTCATCCAAATCATAATTTCATTTATATGTAATGTGTAGTTTTTTTCAGGCTGATTTCAAGATTTTTTATCTTTGATTTTTCAGCATTTGATGATTATGTGTGTGGGTATGGTTTTCTTTAAGGTTTTTTTTTTTCTCTTTTGGGGGTTCACAGAGCTTCATGAATCTTTATGTGTTTTGCCAAATTTTGGAAGTGTTCAGTTCTTACTTCTTCAAATAAATTTTTCTACACCAATCTCTTTCTTCTCACTGGTGCTCTAATGACACAAATATTTTCCACTCTGATATTATTACACAGATTGCTGATACTCTGCTCATTTTTAAAAATTTAATATTTTTTCTCTTTGTTCTTCAGATTGGATAATTTTCCTTACTCTATCTGTTTTAAGTTCATAGATTTTTTTCTTTCTTTATTTTGCTATTGTACTCATCCAGTGAATTTTTAAATTTCAGATATAGTTTTTCATTTCTAAAATTTCCATTTGATTCTTTTTTATAGTTTCTGTTTCTCTGCTGAGAATGTCTATCTTTGTAACCATTTGAACAGCATTTACTTAAACCTCATACAGTATGGTTATAATAGCTGATTAAAAGTCTTTGTGTGATAATCCCTACATCTGGGTCATCTCAGAACTGACATTATTGATTATGTTTTCCCTTGAAATCTGACCTTATTTTCCTGATTTTCTTGTATATCAAGTAATTTTGGATTGTATTCTAGACATTTTGAATAGTAGGTACTGAGCCTCTGGGTCCTGTTAAAATCCTCTGGAAAATGTTAATTTTGTGTGTTTTGGTTTAGTAGGCAACAAACCCAGGTGGGTTCAGACCACACATTCTGACTTGCCTTCTATGAAAACCAAACATCAGTTCGGTTTTCAAAGTTGTTTGGGTCTGTCCCATTCACGTGCCACTCGGGGTGATGGTTTATGTTCTAGTTTAGTTCACAAAGTCTTTGCTATGTTTCTTTGGGTTTGTTCCACACGTGTAATTTGTGAATGAGCTCATGATTTTTTTTCTGGGTCCTACACAAAATTAGGGGATTCTCATCTCTAGATCTGTCCTTTTCAGGATTTCCTCCACAGTCTCCAGCTCCCACAGGTCCCTTTTCATGGTTCCTCTGAATAGAAAAATGAATTTTTGATTGGGGATTTAGACATCTGCATCACCCAGTGTGGTGGGCGTAGCTTCAAGAGAGGAGAGCCTGGCACAGGGCCAGAATAAAAAAGGAAAAAAGCACAAATCAAAAATTAGTATTTTCTCTGCACTCTCAGGCTCATTGACTGAATCCCTTTTCCTGGTTCTCTGGCTAAACAGAGGGGACTTCTCTTGGGGTTGTTTTATGCACTCACTGTGCATTTCCACGGCTCAGGCTACTCTGGGGCTAACGCCAAAAGATAAAGGATGGGTGATTCTTTAAGTTTTGACCTTCCTCCCCAATCTGCTTCTTTTTTTTTTTCCCCCTCCTAAGTGCTCAGGTAGTTTCTTTGTAATCAACGGGAGAAACAGGTTATGGTGGGCTCATTCCATCTTGGCCGGCACCAAGAATCAGGTTACTGTTTTCTAAGCTTTTTCACAAATATGTTCATTTGTCGACTATTTCTTAAGCACAAACTATGTGCTAGGCTCTGTGCTAGGTGCAAGGCATACAGCAAAGAACTAGACAGGCACTGGGCTAACAGCACAGCAGGAAAGAACGACAGTGAATAAGCAAGGGATGTGTGTCACCTAGGAGAAGCGGCAAAGCTACGGCAGTAAAGGGCACCTAAGGAAGTCTTCCATGAGAAAGCGATGTTTAAGCTGAGAACCAGAGCAGGGGCATGAATATGAGCAAAGAGACAGTCAAGAGCCTTCCCAGCAAAGATCAGCATACCTGCAGGCCTTGAGGTTAGTAAGAGGTGGCATGTTCTGGGAACTGAAAAAAAGTCTCAATGAACATATAGTCAGAGGAGTGTGTCAAAAGATGGGGAGGAGGTCAGGAGGGAAGGTCATGTGCATCTTTGTAGATGATCTTAGAGATTTTTAATTAGTCCCCTTGGGAAAATGAGAAACAAAACAAACCCATAACTTTGTTATGTTTGGAATTTGATCCATTTTACAGATGGGGAAAATAAGGTTCTGAAAGGTAGGCCAGGGCATAGTATTTTACAGATGAAGCAAGAAAACCCAGAGGCTTTATGTGAGTTACAGAGGGAACAAATGGTAGAAAATGGACCTGCAGCCAAATCCCTGGTTGGTCAGTGCTATTGCTTCTGCTCTTACCTGCTCCAGGATGTTTCACTATCACCTTTACAAACAATAAGAGCTTGGTTGGCAGCATCTTTTCCTTCCTCTCTTTATCTTTGCAGAGTAGAAAAGGTGTGAGGTGGGTGACTGCATTTGTGCACGCATGTGTATCCACGTTCCCAATGCTGGTGACATTTCTGTTTTTGGCAGTTTGTATAGCACCGTGATCCACCAATTTACAACACCTGGGAAATTCACAATATTTGCTGAGTGCACAACTAGTGAGTGGCATGTGACGGCTCAGAAGCAAGTGACAATTCAAGACAAGATGGAGAAATTCTCTGTGACTGGGTGCTCTGGCCTGTCCAAGTCAGGAGCCAGCCCTTTCTGCCAGGCTGTCTTCGGGGACCCTGTGTGGATTCAGGTGGAGCTCAATGGAGGTGAGTCTACAGAAATGGTCAATGTCAAGGCAATCACGATCTCCCCAAATTTATCCATTCAACTGCCAGGCCTTAATAAATACTAACAGCAATCACTTACCAAGTTAGCTTTTAGCTATTCACTTGTTTAGCACCTTGCTTGTGCCAGAAACTGATCTAAGTGCTTTACATATACTAGCCCACCCAGCGTATACTATTCATATCTCCATTTTACAGATGAAGAAACAGAGGAAACGTTCAGAGTCAAAGGTTCAAAGTCACAGGCTACTAAGCTAGTGAGAACTCCTAGACTTCCAAAGGCACTTCTTTGTGTGCTCATAGTCCCATCTCAAGAACTGAACTTAAAAGACACTCTTTGTTGGGGAGGAGGGGGATCTGAATAGGACTCGGTGTGCTACCAGCTGGGTGCAGCCAGCATTGACCAACTTGGCACAATTACGTTGCCCCAAGTTAGGGCTGATATTAAGCTGCACACACTACTACATCCACAGCAAATGTGATGGCTGGTGTCCATTCTCATTGGTCACAGTTTCTTTTCTGATTGGTCACAGAGGCCATTCTAATTGGTCATCATGTCCATTTTGATTAGTCAAAGTGTCTATTCTGATTGGTCATAGTAACATTTCATATTGGTCCCAATGTCCATTCTGATTGGTCATAGTGTCCATTCTGATTGTGCACAATGTCCATTCTGATTTATCAGAACACCCATTCTAATTAGTTGGTGCCCATGCAGTTTCAGTTGTTAAATATTTTGAATTCCATCCCTCCTCTCAGAAGAGACCCTCACAACTAAGTCCCATCATCACCTAAGGCTGCATCTTTCCTCAAGGCACAGGTCCAGTTTGAGATCTAGATAGAGGCTTGTTAATGTAAACTGTGCAGCCCAGAGCTGCAGAGGTGAGGGCATGACCTCACATGACCTCACACCACCCGAAGCCTCATTCAGAGCAGTGCCTTGAATACAGACCTTGGGGCTTCTTTCTGTCTGGTGTGCTTGTTGGCTGAAGATGGTGGGTATGTATACCTGGAGAAGCTTAAAATAGTCCTTCATGTATTTATTCATTCTACAAATATAACTGAGTGCATACTTTTTGCCAGGTGTGGGGAATGCACCAGTAAACCTGAAAGTCAGGATTCCTGCTCTCTCTCGGACTTAATATTATCATCATCCTCATCATCATCACTCAAACAAGAAACACACTACCTTAATTTCTATCAGAAAGAATCCTAATTTGTTGGTTTATATCATATTTTAAGAGTCAACCACAATATTTAGCATTCAGCTAGGACAACTAACCCCAACCTGTGAGGGAGCACCACAGCGATGTGAGCAGGCTGAGTCCTGCTGGGCAGGGTTTCAGCCAGGCAGCTGTGGAAGTAGAAGGAAATGGCTTCAAGTCTTGTTCTTACCTGAAACAAGACTCAGGCTAATTCTTGTGCATAAACATCAGCCTTACACTTAAGAGGTGTTCCCTTTTTAGCCTTTCTCCCCACAAAAATATATGTCAACAAAATGGTCAAAAATTTTTATTACAAACTTTTAAGTTTATGGGTAACACATGCATAGTATAAATAAATTAGAATATTCAAATGAGCAGAGAGGACCCAATACTCAGGTACATAATACTCAGAGATAATCACCGTTACTATTCAGGGTCAGGGTATATCCTAACTAAAGTCTTTATAGCTATATCCATATCCATATCTATATCCAGAATCTCATGTCAGAGCTTGAGTCTGAACTATCTCAGTATAATCAACTACAGGGTTATTACCAACATTCTTAAATGTTTCTTACCCCACCTAGAAACAGGGGTGACTTACAATGTGCTGTCAGATAACACAACCCCAGCTGAGGCCACCACACAGAGGGGACTGCCTCCCTGTAATCTGATCCTGGACAGAGCAGCACAGCAACAGATGGGCCCAGGGATGCACCACCTGGAGATCCGAGCCACCAGCAACACCGCCACCTCTGCACCTTCCACTAACATCACAGTCCACTTCATGGAGCCTCTGTCAGGGCTGCGGGCCTCCTGGGCTTCTGACCACTTGGAGCTTGGACAGGACCAATTGGTCAATGTCTCAGTGGCTCATGTCATCCCAGAAGAGTTGGCTTTTGAGGTAGCAGGACTCAATGCATCCTTCTCCCATGAGGAAAAGAGCTTTGGATGGCCCTCTGGGTTTTATCATGTGACAGGTCCTCTTGAAGGTACGTGGGGTTGGGGGCTCCCTTTCCAAACCTCCCTCCTCTTCCCCTCCCAACTTAGAGTCCGGGGCCCTGCCAGTCAGTTTTCAGGGTGTCCCAGTCACAAACATGGTTAAGAGCATCCAACCTGAGTCACAAAATAAGGAGGAGAGAGATATTATCTGCCTTCATGGAGCTTCTTGTCACAGGCGTTCTCAACTCTGGGATGTTTGACATTTGGACTGGATCATTCTTTGTTGTGGGGCTGTTCTGTGCATTACAGGGTGCTTAGCAGCATCTCTGGCTTTTATTCTTTAGATGCCAGTAGCACCAACCTCCTAAGTCATGACAACCAAAAATGTCTCCAGACAATGCCAACTGTCTCCTGGGGAGCAAAATCACCCTAACTGAGAACCACTGAAGGACAGCAGGAGTATTCTGATTTCTGCCATCATTTCTAGTTTGGGAAATTGCAGTCCATGCCCTTGGGAGAGAGAGAGACAAAAACTAAAGTGTGGGAAGAGAAGAGGGAGGGACAAGAGATTCTGTCATGATTCTGGCTGGAATAGAGATAAGGCAACTAACTGGCTGGGGGACAGACTGGCTGGCACCAGCCAAGGGAGGAGACAACAGCATACATTTGCATTTAATCGGAAAAGAACAGTCCCTGAGGGCAGTGTGGTGAGGTCAGCAGGCAGGAATGTGAAGAGGATACAGGTCTCCAGCCCACCCAGGACCCTGCCCACAGGATCCTGTGCCCTGGATCTCAGAGGTGTGCAAGAAAGAGGGTAATACTGTGCAGGCGTGGAGCTCCCATGCTCTCAGCAAGGGGCCTGGAGAAAGAGAAGGCAGAAAGGACAATAGATTTAAGGAGGAAAACACTGGTACTTTGCCAGATACCAAAGGTCCAGCTTGGAACAGGAAAAAGCCAAAATGAAATGAAATGATGATGGAAAATATACATAATATATATGCTGTAATTTAAATGCAAAATAATCTTTGTCTCCTGTAAAAGTTACTCAGTAGGGGCAATAGATAAAATTTCAGCATGCTCCATGACTTTGTGGCTTGCTCTTAAATGGTAAGCAGTCTTTTTGTCCCCAAAGGAAAACAGATTTGGATGAGTCCTGTGGTGAAGGGGGTGAGGAGGAGGCATGGCAACAAGGTGAGGCAGGCTCTCACCTGGTGGTGCTGGCTCAGCCCTGGCTGACCTAGTTCTCAGGGCCCCGCACGTATCTGCAAGCTGCTTCTGAGCTCTCAAGGCCCCCTGCTGGGTCCCTGTGTCCCTGGACTCCTGGGCTGGGGTGATGCCTGTCCTGCAGCTGATCACACCCTCCCCACTGCTGCTTGCTTCTGGACCACCAACAGGGTCATTCTCTGTTCTCCTCATTCTCACTACCCTCCTCAGCACCCTCTCTCTCCAAGGGAAACATTTGGTCCGTAGAAAATTCTTGCCTATTCTTTGGCCTGCTACCAGTAGACTGTGATATTTCCCAAATGCAGAAATGCAGCCCTTAACTCCCTCCCTCTCTCCCTCTTGCTCTACCCCATGCCATAGACCATTCCTGCAAGGGCATGTAAGGAATCTGTCCATGAGGGTTCCTGACCTCAAAGAACACATATTCAGCTTTCCAAGGGTCCCCTCTGGTAACCTCTCTGGGATTGAGAAGAGAAGAAGGTAGCACCCACCACCCTTCCCCATGAGGGAGGAGGGGTGAGATATACATGTATTTGTGCTCTCTCCAAATAAATCTTAACAATCCTTCTCTCCCCTCTCCACCCTCTCAACCCTTTCAAAAATCCTGTCCTGTCTTTCCTTCTTCTACACTTCTCCCTGATAATCTCACAGATGAGCACTATTCCTCCTTTGACCTTCTGCTCTAGCCCCTGCCCCATCCCAGAAACCATTTCTTGGTGCCCTGAGGTTAAAGTGACCCCCCAGCCACCCTGTGTGCACAGTAACCCCATGCTGAGTCCTACTATGGCTTGGCACTGTTTTGCAAGTCTATTAAACCATAAGGCCCTGAGGACAAGAACCATGTTTCATTCATTTCTGTGTCCCCAGAGCCTTGTGCCATGCCTGGCATACAACAGGGGTTCATTAAATGCTCCGATGATGGAAGATTTGGATGCCTCCATCAGAGGACTGGAGAAGCACAGGCTAGGAGCAGTGTCTCAGTGCGAGTTAATCAGTTTATTACAACCTTCCTAATTTTTCACCTTTTGCATTGCAAGCACCTTTCTAGTCACCATGCTGGTGAGGAATGCCTTCTCAAACTTGAGTTTGGAAATTGGAAGCATCACTGTTGCAGGCAAGGGGTATAAAGCTTGTGCCCAGGGGTCCATGGCATTGTACTTGCTTGGGATCTAGTGAGGAGCTCTTTAAAACAGGACTTGCTCGACAGACATTTAGAATTCTCTGGTTACTTTAAAGAGGCAACAATGTATGCAGTAAAACTTTCAGCCAATGGTACAGAATTCTAAAACATCTGAGTTTGTATTAGTTATGATTCTTTAGGCTGCAAGTAGCAGAAAGCCCAACCTAAGTGGCTTCGAGTTTAAGGCTTTATTATCTAAGGTACTAAAAAGTTAGAAGATAAGTAATTGCAAGGTTGGTTCAGTGGCTCAGTGTCTGCAGCAAGGACCCAGGATCGGTTTGTTGTTCTGCTCTACCATCCTCAGAGATTTTGCTTCATCCTTAGGCTTGTTTCCCATGCAATTGGGAGGGCTGCTACAGTTCCAGACATCACGTGTCACCCCAGCATTATCCAGCGGCAGAAGCCCATTTCCTCCTGTGCCCCTCTTTTTATTAGTGAAAAATCTTTCCTGCTAGTCCCCAGCAATCTTCTCCGTAGATAACGCTGACCAGGGTAGGGTCATGTGCCCCAGCTGTAAGGTATAATGGGAAGGAGATACTCAGCATTTTCAGCTCTGTGGGAGAAGGTGGATTCTGGCAGCCAAGAAGCAGGGATGGGTAACGTCTGTGGCACGGGCCGCCAACAGAGCTTGAAGATCACCGTGAATGTGTTTGCCAGGACTCTTTGAGTAGCAAGGGACAGAAAGGCAGTTCAAATGGGCTTGAATCAAGAGGACATTTTTGTCAACTCAGGAAGTGAAAAGTCCAGGGTTAAGGTGCAGTTGGATCCAACGACTCAATGGCTTCAGAAATCTGCCTCTATCTCTTGGTTCTATGTCACTTTGTTCTGATTCCTCCTTCCCAAGCAGTAGCAAGATGGCCCTAGGTGTCAGTCCTTTGGCCCAGGGAATGGGCACCTCTTGGTTGATATTCCCAGCAGAAGTCCTGAGGCTGCCTCTCACTGGTCCAGGCTTGGTTCGTGTTTCCTTGCGGACCCACTGAAGAGACCAGGGGGAAGTGGTACTCAGTTTGGGCAGATGAGGACCACATGTCCACCCTGGGACATAATGTAGAGTTGGCTTCACCCAAACCAAGGATTTAAAGTTGGGGGAGGAATGTTTCCCCAGAGAAAATATCACCTGTAGGTGCTGTTACCAAAAGGAAGGGATATAGACAGGAGAGATGTCATCAGATATCCTTTTCTACATATGGAACTTGAGGCCCAGAGAGGTTAATTGACTTTGCAAAAATCACTCAGCTAATTCACAGGAAGATCAGAGGTAACAACTATTTTTCTTGATTTCCTCATTCAGGATTATTGGACCATCTTCCTACTTCTGTGTTTCACATCTTAATTTGCTTTGTATAATTTTACAGACCTTTGAAGCTAAGGTTGAGATTTCACTGGGAAGGTATTTTCCAAAGATCAGTAGTACCCAGATCTTAAAATATCCAAATTACTGGAACCTAGTGAATCATGTAGAATAACCCTAAGTTCCTATCTTAATCACTATGCTTTAATTAGACATTAGTCATATTCATATTTCAGTATCTTCAGAGCATGTCAATTAAATGTACCCTTTCCATTTTTTAAACTTAACACTAACATTCTTTACAGATATATAGATTACAAAGCAATAGTGTATATATACACAGCATTCAGTCCCTCTGGAGCCTTGAGAAATAGGGATTTCTTTCAGCCTTTTTTATGGATGAGGAAGCTAAGACTCAGAATGACTAGCCTGCCCAGGTTTGCACAGCCAGTAAGAGGCCACCCCATGAGGCGCTGAGGCCAGCTCCTACCACCCTGCCAGAGCTGGTGATGCCCATCTCTTCTCACTCTGCATTCAGTGATATCAGCTCGGTAGCTTTCGTGGGAATATAGGGGTGGGCGAAAGTAGGTGTGCATTTGCTCATACGGAAAAAGACGTGTGGGTTATGATTATCACAATACCTTTATTAACTCTCTGTTTTGCATACTCACAATTGTAAACCTACTTTTGCTCAGCCCTGAACACCAGAGACCTGAGCAAACATTGCAAACACAAAACAGGGTTCCCCACTCCAACCTCCTCAACCAGCAGTTAAACATTAACAGCCTACAGCTGCATGCCCGACTCTAAATCTTGTGTTTTGTCTGCATTGGCAGCTGCATGCCTCTTTCTTCACTACTAAAGAGGTGCCTTTAACCCAGGGGTAAACATGATGGTTTTGCTTTTCACCACTTCCCCGTAACCTGAATGTGTGCTGTGTTCCCCTAAACCATTTCCAAAGACAGGCAGATCCCCCGGGGGCTCTTCAGCATACCTTCTGACTCTGTCCTTTGGCACCTTGACAAATACGAGCAAAGTTTGACACCCATTGCCACTGTGTGCCCAGCTCCTTCCAGTCTCCAAGAAACCTCTGGAACAGATGCTGAGGAAGAGAACATGAGTATTTTATTAAAACACTTAACCTCACAAAAAAAAGATGTCCAAGCATATTCTGTTTTACTTTTTGGTTCTGGTTTTTCAGTGTACTGGGAATCACCAATATTTCTTCTGCTTGAACATGGACCCCGATGGATTGAAATTAAACAAAGCATGTTCTCTATGTTAAAAATCAATAGTAAGATATCTAGGATGTGTACCTATCTTTTAGCCATCTTGGAAATTAAACAGCATACTTCTAAAAATATCAATGAATAAAAGAAGGGAAGGGAAGTTTACAAATTCACAAATCACAAGGGAAGTTTAAAAATATTTCTGCTCTGGTCAAGTAGTTCAGTTGTTTTGAGTGTTGTCCCATACACCAAAAGGTTGTGGGTTCAATCCCCAGTTGGGGCATGTGCAGGAGGCAACCAACCAATGTTTCTTTCTCACATTGATATTTTTCTCTCTCCCCTTCCTATCTAAAGTCAATAATAAAAAAATAAGTAAATGAAAATATTCCTAAGTGATAATGACAATACAGCCTACCCAAATTCATGTGATGCAGCTAAGGCAGTGCTCAGAGGGGAATTTATTTCTCTTAATACTTATATTAGAAAATAGGCCCAGGTTCTTTAGTTTTTATAGCAAGACTAAGTCTTCAATTCTTTGCTGTTGACATTGCTCATGCATGCATTTATTCAATAACAAAGACTTACTGTGCATTTACAATATTCAAGACTTGTATTAGGGGCTAGGGATACAATGGTGAATAAAAAGATGTGACCTCTGCCTTCAAAGGACCTTACTGGGTGCGATTAACAAATAAATGAGCATGTAATTAAGAATTCTGATGTGTCTAACTAGAACCAATAGGGTTCAATGACAGCAACTAACAGAGGGTGATCTAGCAAATGTAATCAGATGAGGACTTTTAAGAAGTGACATTTAAGTGGGGACCTGAAGATAAGACAGTCAGCTATGCTGGAAAGCAAAACAAGAGCTTTCTGGGTACATGGTGTAGAAGGCTCTGAGGCCTGTGTGGAGGAGGGGGAGGATGTAGGAGATTAGAGAGATGGACAGAAGTCAGATCACATGGGGTCGGGGTCTCATGTGCCAAGGCAAGAAGATTTGGGTTTTATTATCAGGCCATGGGAGACCACTGGGGGCTGAATGCTGCTGCAGCCTCATGTTATTCCAGGTCAAGCCCTCCGGGCATGAGCTGTTTAAAGGGTCCTACCAGAACTGACAGGGAACACCCAGTATGCTGGCTGCTCCCTCTCCCTAGGATCCACATGCTCTTCATTGTTGCCCAGCTCACCTTCACTCCTCCAACTTCACAGTAGCCCTGGGGCCCTGTCCTCTGGGGAAGCTTGCCCTGATGCCAGCTATCTGCTTTGTAGAGATAATAACTTGGCACTCTCCTCAGCACCAGACACAAGAGGAAGCACAGTACTAGTTTCTCTAATTTGATCCACAGCAGTCCCAGGAGTTAGATGCAATCCAACCTTTGGAGGAACAGAAGCTCCATGGGGCTTAGATACTGGCCAGAGGTCCCAGAGCCAACAATCCAGTCTGACATCTGGCTGGCCCCAAGGCCTACATTCTTAACTGATTGCCCCTCTCCTACATTCGCTTCATCTCCCTGGCCCTCTCTCCTGCAGTAGTTAAGACTCCATGGTTTTCTTTCTTTCTTTCCCTTCCTTCCTTCCTTCCTTCCTTCCTTCCTTCCTTCCTTCCTTCCTTCCTTCCTTCCTTCCTTCTTTCCTCTTTCTTTTCTTTCTTTCTCTTTCTTTCTCTCTCTCTCTCTCTTTTCTTTCAACTTTAATTTGAGATAGAGAGAGAAACATCAATTTGTCATTCTACTTGTAAATACAGGTCCAACTGCCTGCTGCTTCAAAAGCCAGTACTCGAGAGACACTCGAGTACTGATGTAAAAGGAAAGTGGTTTATTTATTCAGATGCTGGCCATCCAAAGATGGGAGACTCATGTCTCCAAGCCCATCTCCACATCTCAGTACAGGCAGAGATTTTTATAAGGAGGGGCAGGTAAAGCAGAACAAAGAGTTCAAGGGGAGAGGGTTGAAAAGTTCTCTGCGTGCAGATCAGCACAGTTCATTCTGATCAGACAAGTGATGGTCTGGTGTGCATCATCCTGGTTTAGTCATCCTGGCTTCACGTCATCCAGGCTCCATGGTTGAAGGTCAGTAAATCTTTCAGAGCTGAAATGCCTGAAGGTTGGTATTTGTATCTTTTGAAGTTAGTTCCTAGGATTCTTACATAAACATGCTGTTTATCTACAAGCTACATATTAGTCAAGGTCAGCATTTACAGAAATGGATCAAAAGAATGTTGGGGTGGGTTGCAATTCCCCACTGTTACAATTTCCACTATTACACATTTATTTATGTATTCATTGGTTGCATCCTGTATGAGCCCTGACTGGAAATCAAACCCACACACTTGGCATATCAGGACAACTCTCTAACCAACTGAGCTACCCAACTAGGGCAGCACTCTGTGTCTTAATCATTGGTTTCCTTGACTGTCTTCCCCACTATTGGGTCGGCCAAAAAGTCTGTAGTGGTTTTTTTCCCAATAAAATAAAGGACATATTTTTCATTTTTACCAATAACTTTATTGATTTAGACATATTAAGTATGTTGGCTATCTCCTGTATAGTATAACGCTGATTGTTCTCAAATTAATGTCTCAATTTGATCACTACCAACTTCAACTGGTCTACCCGACTGCGGAGCATTGTCCAAAGGGAAATCTCCAGCTCAAAATTTTGCAAACTACTTTTGACATGCTTGATCAGTCACAGCACCTTTTCCATACACTGCACAAATCTTTTTTGCATTTCAGTTGTGTTTTTACCTTTCTTGAAATAATAAAGCATAACATGCTGAAGATGTTACATATTTTCTTCCATCTTCAATATTAAAATGGCTACAGAAAAATTCACCAATTTTTATGTTTTTTTTTAATGCATGCTGATATGACAGCTGTCACAATGCAATCTAATGAAATTGTTTCAAATGAAGTTAAAAACATTAAGCACTACTGGAACCATCTTACTGGAAAAAAAACAACCCACAAACTTTTTGGCCAACCCAATTAAGGACAGAGGCCAGGTCTACATTTCTGTTTGTCTAGGTGTCAAGAACAGGGCCTGGCCCAGAGCAGGCTTTGATGACACAGTTGAACACATGGTGGACCCTTAGCACTGAGCCCACATTCTGACTAAAGTTACTTACGCAGCGATCTGTCCTGAGGGGAGCCAGGCAGATCAGACAGGGTCTGTCTCCATTCTACACCTTGGCACAAATTGCCTTGAGGTAGAGGGTAGGGTGCCAACTGTGGAGAGGGCTCTTACAAACCAGCTGCTTTTCCTGCAGAGAGATAAAAGGGATGTGGAGGTATATGTGGAACCTGGTCGGTATGTGGACCCTTTCACAACAATGACTCTGGGCTGACCGGACAGTGACGAGGATTTACGCTTCCAGTGGTCATGTGGTAGGTGGCCTGAGTTCTGGAACTGTCCTATCTCACCACACAGTGATGGATAGCAGTTAGCTTTGCTGTTCTTTCTTTTACCCTTCACATCAGCATGCTCATTCCTGACATTTTGTGTACCCTGTATACACCAGAGATTGCAAATTCCAATGGAAATGGGAGGTAGCAGTGGCAAACCAAGGTACGGGTGGCCCTGAAGGCAGGCAACAAGGAAATGCATCATCTGTAGAGAATGTAAGAACTGTAACAACCTTGATGTCTGCTTTTTGTATTATCACTACAAACAATGTCAGTGGTAAAATACTCCTCCCGTCTTAGGTGGATCCTTCCTTTCACCTCCACGCCCTTGTTTCACCACTGCGAAGCGCCTAGAAGGAGAAAGTGATGAGGCATTTTCTGACAAACCAAAATTGTAGCATCAGTGCTCATTTTTAAGAAATGGTTGTCCTCTTCCTTTTCGTAAGGCTATATCCTAGCTACATACACATTCTTTTATTTAGACGGGGTATTTCGATGACACCCCTCTAGAGAAGGTGAGGGCACCTGCAACCCTCAGAAATGGAAAAGTCTTCCCACTTTGACTTCTCACACGGCCAGGACTGAGCTGGGAATGGGTGAGCTCCACTCAGAGCCAGTGGAGAGGGAGCCAGGGGTGGGGACCCATTTCCCAGAGGAAAACCAGGGCATTGGTCAGAGAAAGAATGGATGCCTAGGAGCAAAAAACAATGGGGAAACACCACAGTAGATGCTGTTCGTGCCCTAGTCCAGTTTGCCCTGGTCAGTAACTGTGAGGTCTGACAGCCCAGCCCCTCTACCTCTGAGGAAGATATTTTCTGTGGTGCAACTTATGTGCTCCAGAGCACCCCGTGGGTTCAGGCTGAGGCTGGAAGCCGCCTGGGACTATTTCTTTGCCTAGTTTCATTCTCTACCCTATTCTGCCTCCTTCCCTCTCCTGCTGGTTTTCCCTAAGAGCCCTCCCTCACTAAATGACCTACACACACATCCTCATCTCAGATCCTGCTTCTAGAGAACCTGACCTAGTAGGATGATACCCTAACCCGGCTGGACATTGGATGTCTGGGCTGACCTCAGGGAAGCAAGCAGTGGCTGTCACTCATCTGTCACAGACAAATCTGAAAGGCCTCCCAGAGGTCAGAAACCAGTGCCCTGCTGAGGTCCAGCAGCCTGACTGTAGCCTCAGGTCCCCTGGGTTGTGCTCTCTTTCAGACCCAGCCCCTCCCGGCAGCCTGCAGACTCTGAAGATTTTGGCCACGTTCGTTAACCCTCCTTCAGAGCAACACCTCCACATTGTTGCCGAACAGCTCCCTCGGAATCAGTCACAGGTGGGAAGGCTCCCCTTTAGTCTCTTGTCACAGATTCGTTCTGGTGCAGAAAATGAGCCAGGACACACCCAGAAACCTTAAAATACGGGACTTCAGTGTAGGGTGGGGGCCATACATAAGCTCTGGTGAGAAGCACATCCCCACCGCTTTCTAGCTGGAAGACTAGGGATTTAACTTCTCTGTGCCTCAGTTTCCACACGTGTAAACCAGGTATAATAAAAACACCTGCCTTGAAGTTATATCACACAGGGTAGATGAGAAAATACCAGCGGTGCAAGCAGATCATTCTGGGGTCGTGCAGCCTGAATGCCTGGCCAGGATGATTCAGCACTTTTTACTTAAATCAAGCCCAGAACCCAGAGAAACACAGTCTCAAAAAGATAAATAATTAGGGTGAGAAGTCACTTCGGGTGGATTCCTTTGACTCAGTATTTCTCAAAGGGGCTCATAAACCACCCACACTGGGATAACTGGGGGCATTAATTTAAAATGCACACTCCTGAGTTTGCCCCAAACCTTCTGAATTAAGTCTAGGCCAAGGGATGAGTTTTAATTGATTCAGATTCTCTTTATGCTCAGCTCTTCCAGGTACACACTCTTTTTGAAAAGCCAGGTGATTATACCAGATGATGTGGGATGTCGATGCAGGTCAGCTGGGGGGGGGGGGGGCGGGGCGGGGCACGGGGCAGGTGCTGTGGGGGCCTGGAAAGAGCATGGTTTCAGGTGGGATCGGCCTGTTTCCAGATCCCGGCTGTGGCCCTACCTAACTCAGTGAGCTTGAGCAAGTCACTTTTTCCAATATACTCCCTCCTCACCAAAGCTCTGTGAGGCAGCTATTCTTATTAACGCCATTTTATAAAGAAAGGACTCTCAAAAAGCTTTTGTCCAAGGTCACCTGGCTACTAAGTGGCAGACCTGGGATTCAGGCTCAGGTTTATCTGAATCTCTTCCTCTGTCTCTGCCCAATTTCTCAAAGTGAGGTCCCAAGATGCCCTGCATCAGGGTAGTTATTAGATTTGCAGATTTCTGGGCTTACCCCTGCACCTCCAGAGAGGTCTGTGGCTTGGGATCCAGAGAGGGGCCTGGGAATCTACACATTCAACAAATTTCCCAGGTGATCACAAAGCATGGTGGAGTTTGTGTGAGCCACACAGCCCCTAGGCATCCTCTGTCTTCATTTCCCAGCAATGACTGGGCATGCCTACAGGGAAGACACCTATGTTACCAGCTCTCTGGCTCCCACTGAGGTGCCCACCTGCACCATTGCCCCGGAGGAGGGCACTGTTCTAACAAGCTTCGCCATCTTCTGCAATGCTTCTGCTGCCCCGGGACCCCTGGAGTACTGCTTCTGTCTGGAATCAGGTACTGACCCAGGTGTAGGCTCCTCCTTCGGCTTCTGGGCTCCTCCTTTCCCAGAACAGGGTCTCTCTCTCTCTCTCTGCAAAAATATGTTCCATGTGTGAGAGAAGTTTGCAAGATGAAGACTTCCCTAAATCGTAACCCTCCACCCCGTGGCAACACTGACCCACCCATGCACCTCAGATGAGAGCAGATCCCATCAGTATCTCCTCCACAACAATGGAAGCCAAGGCCCCCGTCCTGGCATGAGGGATTGGGGAAAGTTAAGCGGATGAGTATACACAGAAGCATGACTATGTGAAGCCACTACTAGGACACCATCCCCCAGTGCTCACTCGGAGTAGCCATGACCCCTTGGGACTCTGGAGGTATTCAGGACAGAGATAGGTCTGGTTTACAGAATTGCCTGCAGTTTTATTGATCCCACAGCAGAGAATGGGCAATGTCACAGATCATGCTGAACTGAAAGGAGATATTTTTGCAAAGGTTTGCAAGGGAGGACTCCATCCCCATTGCACAATACCCTGCACGGTGTCCTGGCACCACAACCCACACCCCAGGACGGCTGCAGGGCACCAGCAGGAGAGATGGGGTGGGCAGCCCGCACTGCATCTGTTCTCTCATTTGGGGGATAGCTGGTCCTTGGAGGGCTCATCTGTGTCCTTGTCTCATCCCAATGGGTTTTGGCATTTTGTGACCCTCCCAAGAGCTCTGAAAATATTCTAGTTAGATTGAAACTTTCCTCCAAACCTAGGTAACCAGGAGTGTTGCTAGGGAGCTAGCTCTCCAACATTCAGCATTGAACACTATAAAGATGTAAAGTGAATGCCTTGACTAGGGAAAGGTGGACATAAGCTATTCTGAGACCCAAGCAAGTGTGATTTTCTCAGGGTGTCCCATCAAACAGATGTGGGATGTGGGCTGTGACTCAGTCTCAGCCTGGAGAGAAATGCTTCAAGGAAGAAAATAGATTTCATTCCAAACTTGCGTCCCCTTAAATGGAGAGGCCAGGCTAGCTGCTCCAATTCTGACTGATTTTTCCTCTGTAGTACCTCCCCCTGCCTCACACAGGTGAGCATGCAGGCAGAGAAGTGTGATCACATATAAATGCAGTTCAGTAACTTCATGAGTAAATAGTGATTCCTTGTTAAGAATACAAAGGATATTTAGTCATTTATTAATTCATTCGGTTTTGCAATCAATGTGTATTGAATGTCAGACTCTATTCTAGGTACTAGATATACAACAATGAACAAAACAGAAGAAGCCCCTGACCTCAAGGTATTTACAATTAGTGGTGGAGATAGCTGGTAAACAATGACATCTGACAGGGGACACTGTTTTAGATAGAGCAGCCAGAGAACGCCTTTGTACAAGAAGTGACATCTGAGTGAGCTTAGAAATGTTTGGAGCTAATCGTTAAGTCCTTTTTCTTTTCTTCCTTCTCTTCTTCCTTTTTGTAGTCTGGTTTACAATCTTGAATCAAAAAAAAAAAAGCACACAACAACTTGTAAATGGGGAATATTTTCCTGAAAATTTTCATGGATTTTAGTAAAGTTAATCCAAGGTCCCAGAGGCATGTAATGACTTAGAGAGGATAGTGGATCAGTATAAACAGCGTTCTTCTCCCTAAGAGTATGGCATTCCTGAGTACTTGCCATGCCTTCCTGAGCTATGGCTTTTCTGTCCTTGTCATCAGGCTCTACTTTGGTGGGTTTGCAGTCTCCCTGGGACCTGGAGATGCCCCCCTAATTGTCTATTGTCCATTTGCCAGGTTCCTGTCAATAATGTGGCTCTGCACCTGCCCTCCCATCAGTTTATCTGCCACTTGGAAAAGAAAACAATGACTTTGTGCTGACAGTGGTCATTTCTCTTTCCAGTCATGCAGGAGACAGCACACCCATGCAGCAGTTAAGGTAGGTAGTAGCTATTGTTTCTTTATTGAGAAAACTTGACTTGTCAGAACTTCACTGAGAGGACGGCTGGCTATTGAAAGTCAGCCCTTGACACAAGTGTTTCAGAAAAAAGGAAAAAGAAATAAAAAAATTTAAAAAAAAATAATAAGAGGATGGCTGGGTTGAAAGGAGCCTAGGACATGACCAGATGAGTTGCTGATTCATTCATTTCTTCAACAAATATTTACTGAGCACCTAACTATGTGCCAGGCCCTGAGGAACAGTTGTGGACAAAACAGATATGGTATCTACCTTTGAAGGTCTTAGGATTAGTGGCCAGAATAACAGCAAGGTCCTGGGGGCATGGAGCAGGGGACCTGAGTGATTGGAGCAGAAGGACCCATGGATGAGTTAGGCCAGTGTACTTGAAGTCACGAGGAAGTAGGACCAAGATCAGCTAACAGGACTACAAGGCAGAGGCTGGATGAAATCCCAAGTAAGTGCCAAGGGTCAGAAACCAGTGGACTGGGAAGGGATTGAGAGCACTATGAGGAGGGCGGTGAAGGGTAAAGCAGTGGCTTGCCCAAGGCTTGTTTTTTTTTGGCCATCAGCTGCCTGGTGCAAGCAGTCCAGTGCCCTCAAACCTCAGGAAGTGCCTGAGCTCCCCACGCCAGGTGCAAAGGTTTCCAGGCCTGCTCTGCATTCGCACGTGAAGATCTCTGACATCAGGCTCTCATTCTTGAACAAGAACCAGTGAGGTGAGGTCTTCCCTGCACAAAGCATGTCTCTGGTTTCCCACAGAAGGGACTTGGAGACACTCGTGTTGAAGATGCAACATTCCAGGCTGCGGTGTCAAAGAACATTACTGCGGCTCTACAAAGTGAGCAGGGCCCAGAGCGGCTCTCCCACCTGGCAAAGTCTGTGTCCTCTATGCTAGACCAGGAGTGCCAGGGGCTGGGATGCAGGCAATCACAGAGAATGGATGCCAGGCAGAAGGTGCTTGAGATGAGCACTTTTATGCCTTCTGCCGGGGCCCCTGGGGTCTGTATATAGCTATTCAGGATGGGGAGCAGCGTTCAGGCATCTGTGAAGAAGCCCTTGGTGTCTCCTAACCTGTTGACATTATTATCTCCCTCTTTTGGTCCTTTCAGTAAGTGACATAAAATGAAGGCTGTCTCTGCTCTGCCTCATGGAGTCATGGGCTTCTAGGGTGGAGGGAACTTAGAGTGTCACTCCAGTCCTTCCCATTGAAGATGATGATACTAAGGCCCGAGGAGAAAAATAGCCTGGCTTCAGTCATGTGGTTGATGGTTTGGAGTTGGACTTAGAGGCTGTCCTAACTCTGTCACCTACCATATATATTATCACAAGCTGGTGACTGAGCCTCCCTAAGCCTCAGTTTCCCAGTCTGGAAAATGGAGATAATAGTATTCTCCTAATATGGCTATAGTGAGAGTTAAATAAGAATTAAGTTCACTGTAACTATAGGTCAAACATATGAAATTGCTCACATTCAACTAGTTTAAATCCACAAAATGTCCATATCATGTATTATAAGCTAATGTTATAAATTAACTATTGCAGAATGTATGATTACTTCCACTCCCAGTGCATGGTACATGAATATGGATATGCACTCCCAGGCATGCAATATTGCACCACACACAGCATCACACATACATGCTGGGCATGAAGAAGAGAAGAAAGACTTCTCTGGTTCCCTGAAAGATTGTCATGAAAGTACTTGGCACAGTGCAGGACACATGATAAGAACGTTTAATACAAAGAAGTGGTGGTTGTCAAAGTAATTAAGTAGAGAAGTAACTCACATTTTTTTTGAGCATGCACCATGTGCTGTCAGGCCCTGAATTAGGCTTTAAGGACATGTAACCCCCATTAAAACTCTATGATGTAAATGGCAAGATCTCCATATATGTTATAGAAGAAGAGACAGGGTAAGAATTTTAGTAGCTTGTCCAGGTCCGCAATTCTAGTAGGTGGTGAAGATGGTTCAAACCCAGGTTGGCTCTTCCCCCATCCGCCTCCAGTCCTCTCAGCCCTCTCACCCAGGCCTCTGCTTCACATTAGAACCCCCATATACAGATATACCCCTACCTGGCTCTTGGTTGCATTCACTCAGAGCATTACCTGTGGCACAGCTCCCTTTGGATGTCCTGTAGTCTCTGAGCACACAGACAACACAGGACTGCAGCAGCTTAGCCTGAAGTCACCAGAATCCAAAGGGAGCAGCTGCGTGTGAAGAGGGCTCCCTGGTAGGAGTGGTGGCTTTGAAGAATGAGGCAGTCAACCCACAGTGACCTGGCAGGGAGGGCACCGGGACATCAGCTTCTCGCTTTCTCTTCCTGCCCTCCATTCTCTTGCTGAATAAATCCATTGGCCAGAGGATCAGGGGCCAGTGACATCTCCATGTAGACAGCCTCCAAGATGGTGACAAGGATGGTGGGAAGACCTACAGAGGCAAACATGAGATTGGCCACTTTCTGAGTTTCCCTTCCAGAACACTCTGACAAGAGTCCCCTCATATACTGACCTATCTTTCCTCCATCCAAGCCCCAGCCTGTATATACCCTGAGCTAACAGGAGCCACACAAAAATCTGCAGCTGCCATGAAAAATTGGCTGACGGTTAGACTGATCAAGCTGTGACTAGCAGGCTGTGAGAAGGGCTGTTCATTTATATCTGTGTTATCCCGGCTGCCACTAGCCATGCCCAGCTACTTACATTTAAATTAAAATAAATAGCCCTGGCCAGGCAGCTAAGCTGGTTAGAGCGTCATCCTGATATGCCACGGTTGTAGGTTCCATCCTCGGTTAGGGCACATACAAGAATCAACCAATGAATGTACAAATAGGTGGAACAACAAGCTGATGTTTCTTTCTACCCCCCCCCCCCAAAACAACAAATAAAAATAAAACAATTAAATTAAAATGAAATAAAGTTAAAAATTCAGTGCTCCAGCTGTACTGGCCACATTTCAAAGGCTTAACCATCACATTTGGTGAGAGGCTACTTCTCTGGACAGCACAGGGGAGAGGATGTTTCCTTCAATGCAGACAGTTCTATGGGGCAGTGCTGAAATGATATTCTTAGATTTCTGTGCTGCTGCCAAAGCCAGTTGCTGGCCAGCCCCTCATTAGGGCTTGGTGGCTTCGAAAGCACATTCTTCAGAAGCCCCAGAAGGCTTGAGGTGGGAGTCAGTGGATGAGGAGGAGGCATCCTTGTCCCCAATCACTCCAAAGGCATACAGGGACCCAACCATGTTACACAATCTGCTATCCACATTGGGCCAGCAAAGCAATCTGATTTCTGAATACCGTGCCATTCTGGTCACAAGTGCCACCCTGAGGCACAACTTGTTTTGAAATGATGCCAAATTTTACAGATTTGATTTGAAGATTTGGAGAAAGCTGAGACATTCTATATTAGCGTCAAATGGCTGCTGTGACAAATTACCACAAATTTAGTGACTTGAACCAACACAAATTTATTGCCTTACAGTTCTGGAGACCAGAAGTTGGAAAGTAGTCTCACTAGGCTAAGGTCAAGGTATTGACAGGGCTGTGAACTGTCTGGAGGCTCTAGAGAAGGATCCATTCTTTGCCTTTTCCAACTTCTAGAAGTTGCCTACATTCCATGCACGATCTTCAAAGCCAGAAGCTTCATATCTTCAAGTCTTTCCCTTACTCCCTCCCCTCCTTTCTCCTCTCTTTTCCCTCTCCCTCTCCACCACTTCTGCCTCCATTAATTCGGACTCTTCTCCCTTCCTCTTATAAAGACCCCCATGATTATACCAGGTTCACCTGGTTAATCTGGGACACTCCAGCTCAGAATCCTTAAATTAATCAAGTCTCCAAAGTGATTTTGCCAGTCTCTTTTGCCATGTGAGAGAACATATTCATAGGTCTCAAGGATTAGGACCTCTTTGGGGAGCCATTATTCTGTCCGCAACACATTGTATGAGGCAAACAAAGGTCTATGGGCTTTGAAAAACCCCAGAGAAACCTGGTCACTTGTTCTAACCCTAAATCTTTCTAAAACTATTTCATCAAACCACTGGAATTACATTTCCTCTCCTTACCTTCCTCCCTGTGTACCAAGGTCAGAGAGCGTGTGCTGGGGTCGCTGTCTGCAGTCTCTACCACCCTGGGGGACATGGAAAGGGTGCAGGACCTGGCCCCGGTGAAGAGAGAGGTGACCCTTCCGAATGAGGAGCTCATGCCCTTGGCCCAGGTGAGTCGTTCTCACCCGCTGAGCCCGGCCATGGGACATGTACCTCTGCGGTGTCTGACAACTCACCCCAGCACAGGGCTGCCAAGACTTCCACTGTCTCTTTCCAAAAGTGCTACATGGGGCCTCCGACCCAGTGTAGGGGTACTGGCTGCCTTTCACACTGCTACTGACACACACATGCAGAACCACATAAGGGGATCCAAAGAGAGTAGCTTATTCTGATGGTAACACAGTCCTCCCTGGAGTGCAATAGACAGTCAGATACTCCTCTGACACAGACTTTCTCTTCCCTCCCGGCACCTCTGTTCTCACCTCATGGCCAGAATTCAGCCCCAGCGTTGGCAAGGCTCCTCTGTGCACATCGCTGCTGCCAGCTCTGTGACCTTCATCCTGCCTGCTGCCTCCTCCCTTGGCTCGACGGAGGACAGTCAGGAGCCTGTGGACATAAGGGTAACAACAGTAATAACCTGCTTGGGAACAGCCCTTTACAATCAACCTACAAAGCACTTTCACAACATTTGCTCAGTTATGTTAATTGATAACAGCCCTGCCAATTACATAGTATTATGATGCCCATTTTACAGATGAGGTTCCATGACTTGCCCAAGGCCACGAGCAAAGTGGGAGAGCTGGGATTCAGGCCCAGGCCTTCTGACTCCCAAATTGACTTCATTCCATCCCTAGGAAAGAGCAAACCCAGGGCTCTTTTCCATCCGCAGATTAATGCATATTTGACTCTTTGCTCCTTGTGTCCCAGTGAAAGTGAACAAACTTCTCTCAGAGACTTTAGCTTTGCCCGAAGAAAGACTCATCCTGTTTCACAGTCTAGTAACTGTTTGGCTGCAGCAAGTCTGATTGGGTTCTCTAGGCCCCGCTTTCAGAAGCTACAGCCCTGACTCGTAGACACACAGCAGGTAAACCAACAGCAGCTAAAGGCAGGGCCCCCAGTTTACCCCTAAGGGCAAGGGCCACTTGCCCAGCCCATCTTAGGAAACCTCATCATTAGATGTCATGTAGGGACCTGTTCACCTTCCAGTCTTTGGGGACCTGGGCCAAAACTCCTTGTTCTTGGTTTCAGATGATGAGTTTCCCAAAGAGCCCTTTCCCAGACCAAAGCCAATTTGATGTCAGTGGAACTGTTGGTGGCCTCTCTCTGACCAGCCCTAGTGGACAGCTCACACCCATGAAGAATCTGTCAGAGAATACTGAGGTAGACGCTGGGGGTGGCTGTCAGAAGTCAGGTGGCACTTCTGTCTCCTTCAAATAAAAATTGGATGGCTATGAAAAAAATATTAGGGAGGAGAATCAATCTTAAACATTTTACTTTAACTTAAAACTATAAAAGTACATCATTATGAAGTTTCGGGTGTATAGCTGAAAAGTTTCTTTAAATCTGTTGTTTGGAATTTTAATCATCTTCGTTACATAAATCAGCCCCCATAGCATAGCCTCTGAAAGGCCCAGTTAGATTTTCTTTAGGTAATGAAAAATGTAAGCACACTACAGTGCAATATGAGTTCAGATTTTTTTGAGATTTTAATGATTTTTTTTCTAATCCTTTACAGTTTTCTCAACGGCTAATTCAATAACAATTGTTAGCAACTCATCTTAATATTGTCTTCTCAAAATATTCAACTTAAGTTTTTATGCAAATTATCCTTTTCACATCCTACTTTGTCACTGTATGAAATATATGACTAAAATTGACCTTTAGAGTCACAAGCACAATGGACATATACAGGTTTGGGCACAAGCAGGTCAGACAGAACTGCTTATGGGTGAGCACATGACTTGACCCGTAGGAGAGAGCTGCCAGGATTACTAGAGAGATGTTGTAAGTTGGGTTCTCTAGAAGCAAGAGTTGAGAAAGAGTTTTCAGTGCAAGATGTTTCCTACAGATCAAATACCTAAGAAGAGTAAAGAAAGAAAACAGGAGTGGGCAGAAGTCCGACTATAATCCAGAGCTGATACAGCCTCAGTCAGCCCAGAGGGAGCTCTGCAGCATTAGCCATCTGGGTTGTATTAATTGTGTTTGTTATCTTCTGTATCTTATGCAGATACTCTGGTCTCATTTGTACTCATGGGATTAAAAGTCTTGCTGGTGGGGACAGACTGTCCCTCCCAGGGCCAGCCAGCTTAGAGATAGCAAAGGGCTCATGCCTTTCATACGCACGCCAACTGATCCTGGGTCTATATATACCCCAGCTACCCCCTTTATCTAATGCTCACAAACCAAGCCAGTATTAAACCTTGACCAAAATCACCCCAGGGCCAGGCACCAGGCAGTTAGAGACCAGCCCTGCAGCCTAAGTCTGCCAGAATTATTTAAACTGATCAATCCAAAATTGTATATTCTGCCCTGCGTTCCCTTCCTTTGGAAACCCCAGTAAAGGCCATGGCCTGGGCTGTGCATCTCCATGCCAGCTTCTGCCTCCTGATCTGGCGTTTCCCCTGTGGCCCTGCATGGCATGGAAGGTCCCTTCTCCTCAGGAAATGTATGTAATAATTCTTCTTTAAACAGCATTGGTCTCTCCATGTCATTGCTCAGTTGCTTCCATAAATTAAAATCCCATGAGTACAAATGAGACAAGAGTATCCGCATCAAGCCAATATGTCTGGACGTTATACCCTCCTCCTAGCTCAGTCACTGAATGCAGGTGGCCCCAGGAATGCCCTCAGGACAAGCAAGTCTGCAACAAGGACAGGCCCTGAGGAGCTGGGAGCTGGAGCCTGTCTATTGACCAAACTCCTTGGGACTGGGCAGCAGGTCCTTCCTAGAAGGGACAGCTGGGTGGTACATTGCTGCATCTACCACAGAGGGCCACCAAGAGTAAACAGTGTACAATAGGCATAAATCAGTCTGTTTTAGAAGGGGAATGGAGAGTATCAGTGAATCTGCAGAGCTGATTAAATGAAGAGAGCTTGCGAGAAGTTCTAATATAAGAGTGATAACAGAGTAATAGCAGCAACTAATTGTTGAATGTTACTGTGTATCTGGCATTTGGCTAAACATTTTGTACGCCATGTCATTTTCAATACTCTCAATGAGTCTAGAGTCTATATGTTCTATGGATGACAAGAAACTGAGGCTCAGAGTGGTTTATTAGTTGGCCAGAGGTCCTAGAGCTAACATAGGGCGGAGTCAAGTACCAAACAGAGATCTCTCTGCCTCTACGGCCTGTGCGCTATCTAACTTACACACACGTGGTCAACACTTTCATCACCACTGCTACCAGTTCACAGGCACCTTTGTGCGATTTAGGAAAAAGTCCCTGCTCTTTCTGTGCACTCCAGCCCCAAACTGGGGTGCATGTCTTGATGACCACAGTAAGTTGAATAAAGACCGCCAAGATGTCCATGTTCTCATCCCTGAGCCTGTGAATACGTCAGAAGGGACTTTGAGATGTGACTTAAGGATCCTGAGTTAGAGAGATAATCCTGGATTATCTAGGTGGGACTGATGTCATCAAGGTCCTTATAAAAGGGAGGCAGAAGGGGAGTTGACTCCAGAAGAGAAAACGGCAGAAGGTTACGGAAGAAAGAAGGCGAGGTGATGGGAAGATGGAGCTAGGAACCAACGGAGGTAGGTGGCCTGCAGAAGTGGGAAAAGGCAAAGAAGTGAATTCTCTCCGAGAGCCACTAGAAGGAACCAGCCCTACCAACTTTAGCCCCATGAAACTGATCTTGAACTTCTAGCCTCCAGAAACAGGAGATAAATTTGTGTTGTTTTAAGCCACCAAGTGTGTGATCACTTGTTACAGGAGCTCCAGGAAACTACTAGAACGAGCAAAGCACAGAGTGGATTCCTGTTGCCCAGGGGCTCGCCCTGCCCCGCTCTGTGCAGCAGCCCTGACGCTAACTGGCATTCCCATCCTGGTACAACCTTCGTGTGATTGTTCCTGATGACAGAGCCTGCTGCCTCAGCCTTCAGAAGGGCACGGCGAGCCAGCCGTCTTGAATATGACCAGTCCTGAAGCTCTGTGGGTGAACCCGACTTCAGAGGGGATGGCTTTGGGGATCCAGCTGCACGCAAAGCCTAACATCCTGCTCACACTCAGCCTGGGCTATGGCTACCACCCCAACGAGACCAGCTGCGATGCCAAAGCTCACCTCCCACCAATGGCTTCCACCAGGTAGTGGCATCCTCAGGTCAGTTTCTCAAGCTGCTTCCTGGGAATGTGACTGCCTCAAAACTTGAGAATCAGAAGCTACAGGGGGAAAAAAAACACACTGGCTACATTTAGTACTTATTTTTGTTGTTGGTATTATTATTATTATTACTAGGTGAGCACTAACTATATACCCTGAAGAAGCTGACAAGCACTTACAGAACTGACCTCACTGCAACCTCATTAACCTCATTGCAACCTTCACAACAACTCTCAGGGATGGGGAATATTGACATCTCCACTTTCCAGGTAAGAACAAAGAGGTTAAGTAACTGGTTCAAAGTCACACACCCAAGGAGGGACAGGTCCGAATTTGAGCCCTTGTCTGTCCGATTTGGCAGCCGCGCTCTGCACATTGACCCAGGAGAGCCTCTTCTATGCCCCTGGCCTCAGGAGGAGAGGGTACTCCTAGGACATTGGGGCAAGCATCAGGGCTGGCTTCCCTGCCAAGTCACCTCAGTCTCCCTCCTCCACATTAGCCCAGTCTCCACGAGGCTTCAGGCTGACCCTGAGCCCCCTTTTCTTCAGATGGGCTGTCCACATGGATCCTGAGCCCAGAGGACTTGCATTTTGGAGCAGGTGTCTACTATCTGACTGTGACCCCTGAGTCTGACCTGGAGCTGACCCCAGGCAGAGACCTCACAGTTGGCATCACCACCTTCCTCTCCCATTGTGTGTTTTGGGATGAGGTCCAGAGGACTTGGGACAACTCTGGGTGCCAGGTAAGGAAAGGGAGGCGAAGAAGACAGAGCATCTTGGTTGGGTGTGTCCCGCTGCTTTAGGGTCCTGTTGCAGTGCCTCTGGTGCTCCATCTTCAGCACCTCCATGGCCCTTTGCATGTGTGTCTGGAACCCAACCCCCACTGTGTGAAGTTAACTCCTCCTTCAGATACCTCCTGAAGTGTCATTTCTCCCAGAAACCTCTCAATGCCCTGGTTTGGTTGTATTTCCTACTGTGAAGTCTCAGATCACACAAGCCCGCCTCCTCCATAGACTAAGCAGGGTGGTAGTACTACATCCACTTAGGAGATCATTGCAAGATGTCTGTTCCCTCTGTGCACTGGGAGTCACATGGGACAGGAAACAATGACTACTGAATGAATGGACAAATGACTGGGAAGTCCTGTTGATTCTGGGTTGCTGAGAGGGGCCAGAGTGTCATTTCCAAGGAAATGAACTCATAGCTGAGTCCTTTATTCTATGCCAGGCGCTGTGTTCCATGCTTTCTTGTGTTATCTCATCAAATCTTCACAATGACCCTCTAAGACAGTTGGTATTTTACAAGTGGTAAAACAAAAGCTCAGGAAATTCAACTAACTTGCCCCAAATCTGTCACCTAGTAGGTAGAAGAGTGGGGACTGAAACACAGGTTTGTCTGTTTCCAGAGAATAAGACTAAGCAATGTGGGGCACTGATTCTCCATGGCCCAGCCCAGTCTCCTTGTGCCCCTGGGTGGCATGTGGCTCTATTAATCCCAATCAAATCCTTGTCTCAGGTCAGCTCAGCTCTGCCTCCAAGGAGGAAAAAACTGTGACAGTGTTCCTGGTAGCAGACATTGGCTTTGAGGCCATCAAAAGCCATGTCTGTGTCATCAGGGTCCCTCTTTCTCCTTCCATGCCATAGTATATGCTGTTCTCTCCCCTGGAATGCCCTTCTTACCTAGAACCCTTGGTAAACTCCTATTCACCGTTCAGTCTCCCACTTCAATGCCACCTTCCTTGGATACCTTCTCACATGTCTGGAGTCTCCCTCTGTTGGATTCCCCAGCATTTCATATCCTCCCCAAGAATAGCAACCTCCATATCTAGCTGAAATTTACTGCACATCTGTCTGCACCTGCAAGACCATAAATACCTTCTTTCTTTTATTTTACAAATAATCACCATGTGCCAGGCCAACTAGCAGAGATAAAAAGGTGAGAAAAACCAGTGAGCTTTCAGTCTAGCAGAGGACACAGACAGGAAGCAAATGGCACACATGTCAAATGATGACAGTCACAAGTAGTATAAAAAGCCAGGTTGCAACAGAGTCACAGCAGGGGACTCAGAGATGAGCTCCTTCCAGGTTTGTTTCTGCTGCAGCTTCAGCTTCCATGTCAACTACTGCCCTAGCTTCAGCTGCCACACTAGGGAGCTGCCCAAAGCTCCAGGAAGAGACAAGGACGCATTGAGATATCCAAGGCCTAGCAGGTTCCCACACTTGCAGCACAGGTCTTTGTTCCATGTGAATAAGACCCTGGTGTGTTGAGACCTTCTAGAGTCCTCGCTCCCAGAAGCTGTCTGATTCCCATGCTGCTGGCAGAGTGCCCCCTGGGGGCTGCCCTCAGATGCCCAAGGCTCAGGAAGTGGGAGGGGGGAGGGGCTGGCAGCACTGGCTCTGACATTAGACAGACTTGGGTCCAATCTCACTTCATCAATTCTGGCAAGATGACCTGGGAAGAGTTACCCCACCTCTTTGAGCATCTGAAAATGTACATAAAGGATACTTATAGCTCCTTATAGCTAGGGTAGGACATAGACAAGATTAGGGGTATAAAGTACTGTGCAGTTTCTAGCACACAGTGAGCACTCCATAGGTTAAAGTGATTGCTGTGTTAGCCAACCTGAGCATAGAGAAGACAAAACTGTATATAAAATGGAAACCAAGGAAACAATGAACATGGGATTCAGCATGGTGGTTGGGTCAGGGGAAGCATGGGAACAGGTTGGGGAAGAGCCACTTTACTAAATGTAAGTTATTAGAAAGTTCTTAGCTTTTCAGTAGAGTCGTGGATTCTCAGGGGGCTTATTATGTTACTAAAACTATACACCTACTAATGTGTACATATCATACATGAATGTGGAACTTACAAAGGTCATATGTGGAAGTGTGTCCACAGGCCAAAAATTATATTAATCCAATGTGGTGTACAAAGTGTGATATAGATACATAGAGATCACTGAGGACCATAAATAAGTAAATGGGATAATCAAGTTTGCACTGAAAACCATTACTGAATGTTCTAAACAGCTAAAGAAGGTTCCAAATCTATGGACTACAGACCTTGTCATGGGATAAAGGCAGAATTATTGCAAGGGGTCTGAGAACCATATTCTCACTACTTCTCTTCTCAAAGGATGCTAAAGGTGCAATTGGTGTTGCAAGGGGGTGCACAGAGTAATTTCCAATGTTCAAAGAAGCCCTCATGCTGGAAAAGGTCGAGAAAGCTGCTGCCCCCCGGCACATCCCCACCAAGGTCTTTGTGAAAACCCAGGAGGGCAAAGATCTTAATACTTAAATCAAATCTGGTCCCAAGGCTCCCAGCACTGAGGTGTTCCTGTCACTGGCACCTGCTTGGGTTTCTTCCCTGCAACTAGCCCCACCCTTTCTGGGTATGCCAAGTCTTCCAGTAAGCCCCATGGCTGCATGCCAAATGCTGGCCAGGATTGGGAAACAGTGAGAAAAACAACAGAGCAAACGTGGGACTAAGACCTGTGTGAAATCCATGAATAAACAGTTGGTGCCATGCCTGTGTGGAGGAGTCAGCTTTTGCTGGGTGACTCATTTAAGCGAAAGAAGGCCCTGGCTGGGTAGCTCAGTTAGCTAGAGGGTCATCCCGATACTCCAAAGCTATGAATTTGATCCCTAGTCAGGGCTCACACAAGAATCAACCAATAAATGCATAAATAAGTGGAACAACAAATCGATGTTTCTCTCCCCTCCCCCCGGCCCTTCTCCCTCCTCTCTCTAAAAATCAATAAATAAAAAAATTTAAGGGAAAGGGGGCATGTTTGAGATACAACATGTTCCTCCTCACCAGGCATTGAGCAGGTAAGAACTTTCTGTGTGCCAGTGTTTTCTGCTCCCTTCCACCTTACCGCCTGTGGTGGACCCTGGAATGAAAAGGCGGTGCTGCATTGCGGGGTTGAATTAAATCTTATTTACCCACCAAATAGCCCTGAGAGAAGGTTTCAAGCTGGCCCAGGGCTTTAGGAAAGGCCTGCCCCTAAGCGCAGTGTATAAATTAAGAGTGAAGCTAGGGTCCCTGTCCTCGTCCTTTCCTGTCTCCCTGCCCCAACCTCATTGTCCCATACCATATGGGCCTGCCTGCCCAAGCTCCATCCACATGCCCTGTCCCTAGGACATCTAGGTCAGCTAGAGTGGCACCCTTCCAAGGATACGCCCAGGATAAGGGCGCCAGGTACCTGGGTCTGAGGGGGGAATCTAGTTTAGGGAATACTCTCCTGGTGCCATCTTAGAATTAAACATTTGTCCTTCCCTCTTCTTTGCATGGTCCCCCCAGACTTGGTCTTCTTTTGCTCTTCAGTGTAAGATGACAGCTGGTCATCTTACCCTGCCTGGGCCTGAAGGGACTCCCAGGACTCAGGAGTTTCAGTCTGAAAAGCAGGAAAGTCCCTGGCAAACTGAGGTGAACTGGTCAGTCTGGATGTCCTCTCAGCACATTGCCCATTGCCTGGCCCAGCATTAGCGTTCAACAAATATCTGTACAATCAACGAGCGTCAGTGGGAGAATGGGCTGTAATGATGCACACCGAGTGTGATGTGGTTGGCTGTGGAGGGTGCGGGACAGAGGGGGCTTCAGCTTTACCTGCAATACTTATCTAAAAAAGGCAAAGCAGACTGACAAGATGAACAGTTGCCCATTGAGAATAATGTATGTGAAGATGTTTATTAAAGATAACAGTCCCCTCATTTTAAAATTATTTTTAAATTAAAGTTAAAAACCCAAATGGAACCCTGAAGCTGATCACACAACAGGCTCCCCAGCCCCTCCCAAGACAGTGTCATTGGTCCCCCCTGGGCTTGGGCAATTTAGGGGTACGGTCGTACTTCCACCAGGACCTCTTTGTGGTTGCAGATGGGGCCACGGACCACCCCTTCGCAGACACACTGCCTCTGCAACTACCTGACCTTCTTTGGAAGCTCGTTCTTGGTGGTGACCAATGCCACTGATGTCCACCAGACCAGGGAGTTCTTTGCCACCTTTGAGGGCGACCCCGTGGTTGTGACCACTGTGGGCTGTCTCTGCATGGCCGATGTGCTGGTGATAATCTGGGCAAGGAGGAAGGATGCTCAGGACCAGGCCAAGGTGAGACCGGACCGTCACGGGGATGGGGAGGGAGGAGCAGGTGGGAGCCCTTGTGGGCGTTCCAGGGAATGGGGCCCGGATGGGGAGCCAAGAGGCTAGTTGCAGATCTAGGCCTTTACCCCTGAATCATCTCAGGCAAGGCATCCCCTAGTCTCTTTATCTGTAAAAATGTCCTTTTTTATCACATCATCACAAGGATTTACTATATGCTAGGCCCCAGGACCACCCTCAAGTTCAATGATTTGCTAGCAGGACTCACAGAACTCAGAAAAACTGTTATACTAATGATTATGGTTTATTACAGCGAAAGGATACAGATTAAAATCAACAAAGGGAAGAGGCCATGAGAGATCAGGCGAGAGCTTCCAGTTGTCCTCTCCCAGTGGAGTCCTATGAGCAGACTTCAGGTTAATTCTCCTAGCAATGACATGTGACAATACATGTAAAATATTGCCACCAAGAAAAGCTCACCTGAGCTTTAGTGTCTAGAGTTTAGTTTGGGGTCAGTCACGTAGGTAGGGAGTGCCCACAAGACTGACTTTCATTACACAGTCTCCAGCAAACCACCCCCACTCCTGCCCAGGAGTCAAACATGGCCCACAGCCCTCACCATAAATCACATTGTTAGCATAGACCATCTGCTGTCGCCCAGGGCGCCAGGGATTCAAAGACACTCATAATGCCGGCTCTTCTGAGGACTTACGGGTTATCTTTCAGGATCTGGCCAAGAGGCAGTCCTTTCTTTAAAATGTGCAGGGTTTGGACAACCTAAACCTGTTGAGTTCACCCTTCACTGCACAATACCTGTATCATCTTACAGAGGAGGCAACCAAGGATCAGAGAGTGCAATTAGCTGGTAGAAAGCTACTCTCCTGGGAGCCAGAACTGAAACCCAGAAATGCCTGACAATAAGACAGGTCTGAGGATAGAAACAAGGTCAAACAACAAAGGCAACAACAAAGTTCTGATTACTTTTCCAATATATGTTCCCTGTCTGACACATAATGAGCCTTCAATCGATACTTGTGAGAGTCTGAGTGAGCACATAAATGAATGCAAATGTGCAATTGCAAAGCTCTGAAACGTTCTCCATTCTCTGTCCTCCCCACACACAGTAACACCTCTCGGATGCTAAGATGATAAGAAATAAATAGTTGCAGCACTTATACTGCTGTCTTTGTTTCCTCAAGGGATTAAACATTAATACTTTAAGTGCCTCAGCTGTAGGTTGGTTCCCACAAAGCAGACTCTGAGATGTAGTTGAGCATGCAAGGTGTTTTTCAAGGAGTGTCTGGGATCAGCCCATGGGAAGGGAGGGAAGGAGACAGGATGAACAGAGGGAGCTGAGCTGGTATGCAGCCTGCCAACAGCCCAGCCAGCCACATGGAGAACTCGGGAGTTCTCCAGAATTGGTTGAGATGCCCAAGTCTTGCTCACACCCAGGCACCACATCAATATGCCATTGGACACTAGCCTCCCCAGGAGGGTATACGACCTCAACAGAGGTGGCTCTTGCATCCCTGACAACAGCACCTCAGTAACTGGGTCAACGAGCCCTCCACTGACAAGAGATCTGGGTGGCTCATCACAGAATGCCCTGCAGTCTCTGGCTGACTCCAACTTTAAAATTTTTTTTTTGTGTGCTTAACTACCTTAATATTCATTCTTTTTAAATTCCCTTAGAGGCAGAATATGGTTCTCAATGCTATGAGAAATTATATAGAAACAGAGTTTGTATAATTCCACCAGATCAAACATTAACCATTCTCGGCTTAATACCAAACTAATTTCCAATTTGACTATTTTGGGACACATTTAATAACAAATGCATTTTGTACTTTTTATTTTAAAAGTTTTAGTTTTTACTCGATCTTCACCAATGTAATGAATAAACAGCACACATAATTTTGCTTTCCTTCTTTAATTGTCATAAATACCTGGCTGACTCTTGGCTGCTGTGCAGTGGATAAACCCCCTGAGCAGAGCCCTCCTAACTCAGTCCTTCTGTCCAGGTGAAGATCACAGTGCTGGAGGACAATGATCCCTTTGCCCAGTACCACTACCCGGTGACAGTCTACACTGGACACTGGAGAGGGGCAGCTACTTCCTCAAAGGTACCTGGCCATGCAAGATCCCTTCAATCAGCACGTTGCACTCAGCAAAGCGCTTGCCACTTTGTCATTGGGTTACTTTAGCACTGTGGATCTGGTACTATGGGTTTTTTAAAATTTCTTGCTTTTTTTTAATAGGAAAGAATCCTTTTGTCAAACAGAACATCACCCTAAATTTTTAAAAAGAAAAAGAAGTTCACAGAGACTTGGGGTCTAGCATAGTGCCACTTGTCATCTCTTTTACCCCCATCAAAGAATAACTCAGACAGTTAGTTGGTTACTTGCATGCAAATTTTGCATGTGAAAAAGAACAGTTAGTAAATTGATCAATGAATAAAGGAAAGTAGAATTTACAATAGAGAGGTGAAAAAGGAAAGAGAAAAAATGCCCACCATTTGAAAACAATGAGTCTTAAATTACATTTTTAAGGTGAACTGATTAGCTGGCATCCAGCTAAGAGGTCAAACTGAGCCCATCGTTCCTTGAACAGCCTGACTGAAGGTAGTAAAGAAACAATTTCACATATTTATGTGTTCTCCGAAATCCTTGAACATTTAGCTGTGAGGCATACAGCAGGTTGTTTCTGGACCTGTGGTTGTTTCTGTCCTGGAAAAACCTCCATTGTTTTCTCAAAAATGACATTAGACTTTATTCGTGCAGGGCACTTATTTGTTTACTTTTTTATTTTTTTAATCTTATTAATGTACATATTTATGTTATTTTTCTTTTAGAAATTGTTTTTTATTTATTGCTATGGCTTAGGTCTTCAACCAGCTGTCTAAAATAGAGTAAATGCCAGTAACTATTTGTTAAGTAAACAGAGGAATCAATTGCACCTGTCTAATGGAACGGCCATCTCACTTGTTTGACACTGAAGAGTCAACCTTAACAGGCAGTAAAACCTGTGATGCACAGGCCATTTCTCTTTGTGGAGAGCTGCAGTCACATTTCAATCTCATACTGTTTTAGTTTCATTTCCCCTAGCACAGTGGTTCTCAGCTAGCAGCGATGCTGCCCCAGGCAGACAGGCGGTGATGTTGGAGGCATTTTTGGTGGTCAACAATTTGGGAGATGCGACTAGCATCTAGTGAGTAGAGGCCACGGGTGCATCATACAATGCACAGAACAGCCCCCAGAGCCAGAAATTATCCAGCCTAGGGAATCTATAGTGGAGACATCCTGCTATAGAAGCAGATTCTAAAACAAGGATTCGAGTATAAGTAATTGACTTGAGAGGGGATCCTAGGATGTCCCCGCAGGGAAGTGGGAAGCAGACAGGGAAGGGAAGAAACCAATAAAGATTGCATTATTAACATGTTACCCTTTTGGGTACCTGGAGCCTAATCGCACTTAGGGACTCTGACAGACAGTGAGAAATGTGGGCTTCACCGTCATCCCAGCAGAGAGCTGAGGGAGCTGGGGTACTTATGCACCAATCCCATCAGTCACTGATGGAGGGTCACTTGCAGGGGCCATTCATTCTCTGGCACTTTCTGGCCCGCTACTCGAACAGCCAAAGACACGGCTGGGGAGAAACACAGCTGCCAGCAGTTGGATGTGAGCACAGGGAGTGCTGCAGTGATGAGGCTGAGGGATGTCAGCCGAGTCCAGGCAGCATCGACTGCAGCTCTTTTTAGCTTAGAAAATCAGGCCCATTAGCATCACCTGAATAGCCTCAGACACAGACTCCTGGACCCTGTCCCAATATTCTTACCTGGAAGGTGTGGAGCAGGGCCTGAGAATATGTATTTTCAAAATAGTGGGCACTCATTCATTCATGTCCCAGGGCCAGGCCCTCTGGCGGACACTGGGAATATAATTGGGTTGGGGGGGGGGGGGCGCGGGGACGACCAGTTCCTGCTCTACAGCCCTTATAAATATATGTATGGGAAGTTTGAAAAGGCCACCAGGAAGCATTTTACGAGTAAAACTCATCTTGAAGACATGAATGTAGATAGCGTCACCCCAAATCTTTACACAACTAAAGAATAACCAGGCAGGTCCAAGGTGGGAGGAGAGGAGAGGGAAAAAGGGCTATGCTTTGTTGATTTTCTTTGTTTTTTGGACACTTTTAATGAAATACGGCCAGCCAGTGGGTGTTGGTTACCAAGTGGAGTTGGCCACTCCTGGTCTCTGGATTTCAGGTGACTACCACCCTTTATGGTCTGGATGGAGAGAGTGAGCCCCACAACCTGTCAGACCCTGACATCCCAGTTTTTGAACGAGGAGGAGTAGCTGTCTTCTTACTCTCCACCCTGTTCCCTCTGGGAGAACTGCGCCTGCGGCTGTGGCATGACAACTCAGGGGACCAGCCATCTTGGTGAGTCAGGGGTGAGCAAACCATGAGAACCTACTAAGTGCTGGGCCAGGGCTGGGCACTGAGCATTTGCTGTGCTGCTGATCCTCACAAGCCTCTGCACGACACACAGAATGGATCCCTATTTCACAGATAAGGAAACTGAGTGTCAGAGAGGACCACCAGTCCAGGGGCCATACAGATTGAATTAGTATCTAGGAGAGAAACTAAAAGTTGCAGACCTGGGGTCCAGTGTAGCGCCACCCTTGGCACTTTTTCAGCATCAACCTATCATTTAACTCCTTGTTTCCCTCTCTGTAAAATGGAGATAAGTGCCTATCATGAAGACAAACTCCGATCAATAAGAGGAGACTAAATGAGACATTGAGCTGATTCTCTGCTAGAAGAAGCTGCTGCTGCTGAACATGAAACTAAGGTCATCTTCACAATGACTCTCAGGGATACATACTGTTATTATCCTCATTTAACAGGTGGGAAAATCTAAGCTCAGGGAGGATGACTTGTGCAAAGTCACACAGCTGGCAAGCGCAGAGCCAAGACTCCTCCCCATTCTGCTGAGGTCAAAGCTAGTGACCCAGATAAGTGGTTTCCAGCCTGACCACCCGTCATCAGCTGGCAGCTTTAGAAAAACACAGCATTTTTATTGCTGTCTCTGATTTACCTAAGGGGTTAAACATTAATACTTCAAGTGCCTCAGTTGCAAGTTGGTTCCTATGAAGCAGACGCTGAGTTGGAGTTGAGCATGCAAGGTTGTTATTAAGGAGTGTCTGCGGCCAGCCTTTGGGAAGGGAGGGAAGGAAGCAGGATGAACACAGGGGGAAGAGTTTCACTGCAGCCCAATGATAGCCCAAGAGCCCGGCTGACCCCCCAGGGAGCTCTGACGCTGTCCTGAATTGGGTTGAGATGCCTAGATCTTGATCATGCCCAGACACTGCACCCATCAGTCACTGGATGTCAGCCTCCCCAGGAGGGCGTGTGACCTCAAAAGATGTGGTTCTGGCATGCCTGACAGGGCTATCCTTCCAGAAGTGAGAAAATGCATGTTAAGAGCTTCCTACTACAGTCCCCATTATGCAGTAAGCGCTCAATAAAGAGTGGCTACTGATATCATTACTATTCTTATTGGCTGTAAGGCAACAGGGGAATTGGCTGCTTCTGGATCTGACATCCAAGCAGAGACAAGATGATTTCATTTCTCTCCCAGGCTTCAAACACCTAACTCGAAGTCCTGAGTCCCAGTTAGACGGTAGGCTCACTTTCTTGGTAGACGCTTGCAGGAGGATCACATTCTGAGTACTTAAGCCTGCATCTCCCTGAACACACACATTTAGACAACTTGGCTTTCCTCGCTTGTGTCAGGGTACTGGCCCTGCACTTGCTGCCCAGTGTTGGGGTTAATGGTTTCAGAATGCACCCTCTTGCAGCATATCTGTGAAAACATGGCAGCCTTCAACAGCTGGGCTCTCCACACGAGGCCAAATTCACCTACTGATTGGACATTTTGATCAAGGCACGAAGAACAGTGAAGAAAAATATAAAAGTCTCTCTTGACAGGCGCTCTTGTTCTTGGGCTCAGGTTTGCAAAGGTGTTAACTTTGTGGTGTCCAAAGAAGTCTTGTCTCCTGACCTTGTCCTCAAAAGTGTGGGTCCTTTCTCCAGCTACCTAAGCCGCGTGCTGGTGCATGACCTGGCGGTGGATCAGAAGTGGTATTTCCTCTGCAACTCGTGGCTATCCTCGATGTCGGAGACTGTGTCCTTGACAAAGTATTTCCAGTTGCCACAGAGCAGGACAGGAAAGAATTCAGGTACTTTTTTTTTTTTCATTTTAAGCAAATACTCTTTACTTTTTCTTTCATTTCTAGGGAAGTTGCATCACAATCCAGTCACAGCCAAATAAAAACACATTTCAGCTATCAGGGCTGGGTAGCTTTGAGTGTGTGACATGAATGAACAATCAGTTTTTCTTGTTCGGATTGAAAGGCCCTGGAGGGACATGGATCCTCCAAGATAGAATGCTCTTCAAGGTGGTGAAAATGTTTGAAACAGTTATGTGTATTTCCTTATGAATGTCACAGAATAATATTTTTGTATGTGTGAACAGTCTGATTTGAATGGTGATTCAATGTCTGGACATGTGGGGTTTTTTCTTCATGTTATGTCACACTAGTTGAATCTTTGAGCATTTGTCTCACTTTGCTTTACTTCCTTCCATGTCTGTCTCCAAACACATAAAAGCAGGTACAAATGTACGCATACATATAACACCATAGATTGTTGTTTATTTTCTCTCTTAAAATACGCCGTGTTTTTCTTTAATGATATAACATGAACATCCTTCCAGGAGAGTATGTTTAGATCAAACTTTTCCTTATTGGCTGCATAATATTCCATAGAATGAATGTCCCACAACACATTCAACCATTCTCTTATCAACGGACGTTAAGTCTGTTTCCAGTCAAGAGACTTCACCGAAAAAAGGGCAAGTATGGAAACGCTGACCCAGTGTTCCTTCATGACACCAGAATGCTGGACCAGCCTTCCTGTTGCAGGGACCATGTGCTCTCCTGTTTACCACAGCCCTCACCACGCCCTATTTCATGACTTCCAACCCACTTCACTCATTTACTTGATTTATTTACATCTACCTGGACCCCCTTAAGCATTTGATTTTGTGACCTCTACTTCAAATGACTTTTGAGTTAGGTTTTTAAAAAAATCTGTTTCCAGTGCATTTACTAAAAGCTGACTTTTCCTCCCAGCTGCCACTGTGAGCAGCAGCTCAACCTCCAAGGGAGAAAAAGTCTGAATCAGAGAGACCTGGATCCCAAGACCGATAACAAACACATGAGATGGGCTGCAAAGTCCCACATGCCCACTACTGACTTGCTGCATGACCTTGGATAAGTCCCTCACCTTTCCGAGTCTCAGCTTCCACATCTGAAAAATGAGTTGTCCAATGTGCCTATCCCTAAAGGGACTTGTGCAGGTCCCATGAAATGATGTATAATATGCTTAGCACAGTGAGCGGCTCAGAGTAAGTGCGCAGTTACAAGAGCAAATACTATCCTCCAATTGTATCAAAATGTGTGATGCCTGAAAGCTAGACAAGAGTTCTCTAAAGGCAGGACAGTGTCATTCCTCCATGAATCCCTGGTGCCCAGCAGAGAACCTGGCATGCAGCAACCAGGATCACCAAATACTCATTGAAGGAATAGAACAATCATGCGGAAATCATTGCTGTTGGCAACTGACCTCTCTCTTTATGTACCTTTACTCGGAGTCTAAGCCACCCACACACCCCAGAGTGACAGTCCCAGTATTGTACAATCCTGAGGGTGCTGGCACTGAGCAATAAGAACAGAGCCAGCTGGGAATATCAGCTCTGCGCAGTCTCAGGAGAATCTGGGCGCTTGAAGAGCTGCTGTGGTTAAACAAATTGTATTCATAGAGAAATAATATGGATGAAGGAGAATGTGGTACCATTTTCAGAGGTCCTGTCTTGTTAATTTTTATTCTCTCAAACTGAGTCTGAACCCAGAACCTGGAATTTTTAACCACTATTTTTTAATGCTCTAAGTATAACAAATGTAATAGTGTTATAGTTATATTATTACATTAAAAATATAACAAAAATAATCATTGCTTACACTGAAGAACACTCACCTACATGCCAGCTACTTTGCCAAATACTTTCCAAAAATGATAACTTTTCATTCTTTCAACAATTTGGTGAGGCAGGATCTGTTATTACTCCCATTTTAGAGATGAGTAAATTGAGGTGCACGGAGTAAAGTGACTTGCCTGAGGTCACACAGCTAGTAAGAGGGCAGTCTAGGATTCCAACCCACTCTGTCCAGAGTCCCCATCATTAACTCTAAGTGATGCTGCCATGAGGCTATATTTCTTTTACAATATAGAAATAGATGATAAATCATAGAAACAAATCCCACCCTCTCATCCCAAGGTTGTTCCAAAGAGACCAACCTTCTCCCATTCCCCTCTCCTTGACTGCCTGTCCCTCTCTCCCTGCCTGTCCACAGACACCTGTTTTTCATGAAGGCCTGCATGGGCTTCCAGGATGGACACATTTGGTATTCCATCTTCAGCTGCTCAGCCTGGAGCAACTTCACCCACGTCCAGAGGGTGTCTTGCAGCTTCTCCCTGCTCCTTTGCACCATGCTGACCAGCATCATGTTCTGGGGTGTCCTCAAGGACCCAGCTGAGCAAAAAATGGACTTGGGTAATCCCCACTGTCATGGCAGTCTGGGCTCGTGGCTGGTGGACCTGAGCTGTCACTGTCCTAGAAAGGCCACACAATTCCAGGGCTCCCGAGACCACTCCCAGCATTCAGTCATTCACTAGAAGGGCTCACAGAAGTCAGGAGCACCATTATAGTCATACTTATTACGGAGGAAAAAAAATACAAGTTAAAACCAGGGAAGGTTTTAGTGAGGCAGGGTCCAGGAGAGACAACTGTGGAGCTTCCAATTGTCTCCTCCCAGTGGAGCGGTGGACAGTGCTCACTCCTGATAATGATATGTGACAATACACACAGAGTACTGCCAACCAGGGTGCTCACCCAAGCCTTGGTTGTCCAGAGTTTTTTTGGGGCTTTCTCACACAGATGCGGCTGACCCCCTGCATGGCTGACCTAAGCCTCCAGACCCTCCAGGGGTTGAAGTAATACCATGTGGCCAAGGTCCCCATCATAAATTGCACTGTTAGCTTAGACTATACAGCATGGCCCAACACGCCCAATAAACAAAGCCGTACCTACTAGGCAGGACACCCCCAGGACTTAGAGGTCACTTCTCAGGAGCAATTCAAGGGCTAGACCTCTCCTCGGGCAAGTCAAACCAGGTAGGGTAAGGGGATGTAAGCTACAGGTAAGGGGACAGCCAAGTGGCTTACTGCACAGCCACTTCCATTGACCCTTTCCCTCCCTCTGCCCCAGGTAAAATTGAATTCACTTGGCAAGAAGTGATGATTGGACTGGAGAGCTCTCTCCTCATGTTCCCCATTAACCTCCGATGGTTCAGATCTTTGAAACACCCATCCTCGGGTCACTAAGGAGCAGAACCCTGGGAAATGGGACAGGGGGTCTCCCAGCCCAGCCCCCTCACCACAGCTCATGGAGGATGGCCTTCTGGCAACTGAAGCAGTGACCAAGGTATGTCCTCAACCTTGGTGGTATTGGAGGTACTCCAGCCTGGACGGAAGCTGGGGTAGGGACTAAGGCTTGGGGCTTGACAAGCCCATGTTGTCTGACAGCAACAGTCATCAAGATTCATCAACTGCATATACACATGCATGCATTTACACATGTGTACCTACACATATATGCATATACACACACCACAGAAACATACCTACAAACATGTACATGCATACAGGTATACACAGACACACACTTACATATATACACATTCACATATCTCCACAAGCATGCACACATAGACAAATTTATAAATGTTTACACATATGCACATAGATATGCAAATACCTACTATAAACACACATGCATACATGCACAATTTTGGGGTGTCTACCATGTACAAAATATACCTTTATTATAGATTACAGAGTGGAAGCCTGTAGAAGGAACTGCACTCATGCACTCAATAAGCATTTATTGAGCACCTACTATGTGTTACATTCTGAGAAATACAGCCTGGAATGCATCAGTTTAAATCCTAGGAGAGGGATTTTATAGGTGACAAAAGGAAGCTCAGGATGGCCCATCATCATTTCTCAGTGGGCAGAGCCGGGATTCAAACCCAGACTGTCCAGCCCCAGGGCGGATACTACTGACCACTTGGCTGCCCCCCTTACCTGTAACTTATGTCCCTTTACCCTACCTGGTTTGACTTGCAGGATATGTGGAGACTTGTCAGCTCCCTGTTGAAAGCTCTAAAGGTGCCATCCCCTGCCTCAGGCTGGGGCTTGATGGACATCAACCAACTTCTGGCCTTGCTGGAAGACATCATCTGTCTGCAGAACATGGCAGGGCAGATGTTCTGGGAAGAAGCCAAACAGAGAGAGGACCTGTTAATGTTCACTCTTGGGTCAGTACAAGTGAAAGGTAAGTCCTGATGTTTCTGTGCTGACAGGGCTTGCTGGAGCCAGATGGAAGCAGGACTGAGGGCATGTCTATATCCCTAAGGGGTCAAGAAGTTCTACCAGAGTCTCCCTCACCAGCCTTCATTCCAACCACTTGCCACTGCCTCTGTCTCAGTACCATAGGCACCCTGTTCTCTTCGCAATGCCAAGCTGCCTTCCCACTAAAGGCCTTCACTCTTGCTAGTCCTTTAATCTAGAATGTACTTTTTCCTCTGCTCACTTGGCTAAGTCCCACTCACACTATGGCCTGGGTTTAAGCATCCCTTCCTCAGAGGAGTAACTCAAGTCCCCAGCCAACAGCAGGGTTTCCAGCCACACGTTCTTTGGCCCTGAAGCTTCTTTTACATTGCTTTCACACTGCTTATTGCCAAAATACAAATTGTGTGTTCTTTGAAGTCTGCACCATCCTTCCCAGAACATGAGCTCTGTGAGGTGGGAGCCATGTGATTATCTTGTCTCTACTGAGTCCCCAGTACCTGGCCCCATGCAACACACATAGAGCATGCAACAAACACACATGGGATGACCACAGCATAAGAGGTCATTACAGAATGCACGGCAAAGAGCCACGTTCTTCCTCTGTATCTAGTTAAGAGGAGCACTGCCCAACCTGACAGCTCGGGCCACTCAAAAAACCATGTCTGGGTACTGGCTCTGCCATTCAATGAGCTGTGTAACCTTGGACAAATTACATCAGTTCTCTGTGCTTTAGTTTCTTTTTCTGTAAAGTACTTGGGGGATGCAAAGTCAAACCAGATCCATTTGCAAATGTGTGGGACAGGACACAGATCATACACAGGGCAGTACAAAAACGTTAAAAAACATTGAATCGCAGAGTGAAAAAGATGTTCCTTCTCCATTCTCTTCCCAGTCCTCCTAATTAAGTCAAGGTAAAGGTCTTAGTTTGGTATTATTGTGTCTTTAACACTTGCTAACCTCTGTTTGGCAGAGAGATAGCAGGCCTCAAACTCAGAGCCTTTTGAGACAACATTCAGTTAGAATGTGGTGGCATGGTTTCATTTTTATTTAGTTTTTTGTATGGCACATTATTCTGGTTTGAATTAGTCTCTGACTCCCCTCTTGCCACTTTCCTGTCCATCTTCTACCCAGATCAATGCTGCCAGTGTTTACACAGACTGTCTAATACAACTTCCTACAGTTCTTTATCTGTGCTGTCTAATATGACAACCACATTCACCACAGGGGGCTGTCTGAATTAAACTTAATTAAAATAGTGGAAGTATGGATCCACCTAACTCATTGGCTTGTTGCAAGGACTGAATCAGATCATAAGACACATGTAACACTTAGACCACAGCCTGACACAAAGCAGGTATTCAGTAATTAATTGGTGTTATGATTGGGAGTGATGGCATCTTTCAGAAACATTGCCAGAACTCTTGCAACAGGAAGGCTGTTGATGCTAGAGCCTTTCGCTGGAGCTTCAGCGAGGCGGTCCCAAGTCAGGAGGGTTTGGGAGGAGGCTTGGGTCAGAGGGAGGAGGAGCTGATGTTGCCCTAGGCCTTTACCAACCTCAAGTCCAAGCCAGCTATAGCCGCTTTTGCTTTCACTTCTCACTGGTGACTGGATAAGAATCATGGGGCGTGGATGCCTCCAGGCTCTTATTGCCCCAGGAGAATGCGTCCCTGGGTGGAGCCTCTGAGCTCAGGATCCAGGGTCCCAGGCCTGGCTGGTTCTGCCTAGTAAGGTCAGGTTTCCCTTAAAATGCACAGGAAACAATAGAAATGTTGAAAAAAAATTTTTTTTGCAATAAACATGTATTACCCCTTTAAAACAAAAACAAAAAAAAAAAAAAGAAAAGAAAGAAAGAACAAAAGAAAAATAAATCAAACAAAACAAAAAACAAAAAAAAAGTTTAAAAAAATTTTTTAGGAAGCTGAAATTTGAACAAAACCACTGTAGAGATCATAGGGTAAAACTTGACTACTGACTGGATATTTGATGCTATTAAGGGATTATCATTAATCATTTTAAAGACTGATAATGACATCCTGGGGTTTTTAATTATTATTGTTCAAGCATAGTTGTCTCCATTTCCCCTCGCCATTTCCCCCCATCTCTGCCTCCCACCCTGGTTTTTGTTTTTATTTTTATTTTTAAATATTTTATTTATTTATTTTTAGACAGAGGGGAAGTGAGGGGGAAAGAGAGGGACAGAAACATCACTGTGTGGTTGCCTCGCGTGTTCGCAGGGCGGGGCTCAGTTCACTGAGCCACATCAGCCAGGGGCTGGTTTTTGTTTTTAAAGAGATCTTATCTTTTCCCTGGCCTGGTGGCTCAGTTGGTTGGAGCACTGTCCTGTACACCAAAAGGTTGCGGGTTTGATTCCCAGTTAGGATGCATACCTAGGTCACCGGTTCAATCCCTGGTCATGTGGGAGGCAACATATCAATGTTTCTCTCTCACACTGGTGTCTCTCTCTCAGATCAACAGACATATCCTCATGTTAGGATTAAAAAAAAGAGAGAGAGAGACGTTATCTTCTATAAAAGCGTATTACAGTATTTAGAGATGCGACATGAGGCTTGGAATTTGCTTTTAAATAACCCAAATGGAGAGAGTGGGTGAAGTGCAGGTGAAACAGGACTGGCCATGAGTAGGTAATTTTGAGCAGTGGGTATATGCAATTCATCTCATAATTCTCTCTACTTCTGTAACTTTAAAATTTGTCATAATTTAAAAAAGTTAAAAACAAAAGATTAAGACTGACCATCTTCGGCACCAGGTGAACCTGGGTTCAAATTCAAATCTTGTGCATATTAAAATATTTGCAGATGAGATAACCCTATGCTTGAGATTTGCTTTGAGGTACTCCAGAAAAAGTTGGGGGCAGAGTGAAACAAGATTGGCAAAATGTTGGTAACAGCTACAGCAGGGTGATAGTAATATTATTTTCTTCTCTTCTATGTTTAAGGAAATTTCGAAAATGCCCTTAATAAAATGCTATATGGGGAACATTCAAATCCCTAACTGGCCAAATGAGCCTAGTACCTTACCCCATCTTCTGGACCTCAGATTTCTTGTGGCTTGGCACATAGTAAGTGCTTGATGCAAAAAAGTTGTCACTAACACTACTGTTTTATTTTACATTATTTTTTATTGTATTTTCCCGTTATCACTTATCCCCACCATACCCTCTTCCACCTCCACCCACCCAACACTATTCTTGCAGGGAGTCTACTCTGTCACTCAGCATGAGGGGATGCTCTCTCTCTCCCTTGTCTTCTAGACAAAATGCAATGCCTGCCACGTGAGGTGGGCTCAAGTGACTCTTGGAAGAACAGTGTGTACAGGCAGTGTCTCTACCTTCGGCTGGAGCATGTGGAACAAGAGCTGCGGATGGTGGGTCCCAGAGGCTTCCCCCATCGCCAGGGCTATACCCGGGCCCTCAGGCAGCTGCAGACCCTGAAGAGCTGCCTCAGGGGGCAGCTGGACACTCTGCCACCTCCAGCATATACCAGGTAATCCATTCCCCTGGATGCTGCCCCACCTCAGCCTGAGGCCTGTGGGGAGAGGACTTCCAAGTAACCCTGAAAGGATGCTCACCCAGCTCTCCCCAGGCAGAAAAGATTCAGGATTTCTGCACAAATTCTGGGACAAGGGCTTTGAACAAGAAGGCATTTACAGTTCTTTGTAAAGCATTTTGCAGTTCGTAACCATTTTAAGTGGGCTGTTTCCTAGCTGTGGGCCCATAGACAAGTCCTTCAACTTCTCTGAGCCACAGTTTCCTCATCTATAAAATGCAAATGAGAATGCCTATCTCCTGATTTGAACTTAAAATAAAATGTTTTTTAAGATAACCAGTGAAATTTGTGTATGGGAAATTTTTTTTTTCCTTTACCCTTCAGGGTTCTTCTGGCTAGTCAGATAATTAAATTGACATGATACAGATTAGCAGGGGGGAAAAATTAAGGTTTTGGGGTTTTTTTTCACATTAAAACTTTTTTTTATATATTGACTTGAGAGAGAGAGAGAGAGAGAGAAACATTTATCTGTGCATTCACTGGTTGCTTCTTGGATGTGCCCTCACCCAAGATCAAATCCGCAACCTTGGTGTATGGAGATAAAGCTCTAACCGAGCTACCCAGCCAGGGCCAAGTTAAGTTTTAATTACATGTATATCACCTGTTTACATGGGAGAAGCACAGCAACACTAAGTAACTAACCAAAATGGCAAAAGCCATCACTTTAAATACCACCTTCAGCTTAAGGCAAAAGACGTTATGGATGGGGTATCAGCTATGGGATTGGGGGGGCTACCAGGAAAAGCACAGTAAACAAGACTAATATTGTTATGCAGATTTAAGTCCTTCCTTCTCCATTGATAAGTTTCTAGAGATTCTCATATCTTCCTCTTCCTTGGTACAGTGAGGAGAACACCATTACAAATGGAAATTTTCCTTACAAATGTTAAAGTCCTTTTACAAAGGGTAACTTCTACTTGATTTTGAGAGCTTCTCCTTCATCTGCTCTTTCTTAAAAATAACCACTCTAAAATAATCAATATCCCCGAAGAAGTGTATTTTGGGGGTGGCAAACTCTGTTGCCCTTTATTTGAATATAGACAGGTTATTGATGACATTAAGGAATTACTGTTAATTTTGTTAAGTGTGACAACAGCACTGTAATTCAATAAGAAAATGATTGTTATTGAGAAATATTCTGAAGTGACGAGGGATTTTATGTTATGTCTGGAGTTTAATTTTAAATAGCCCCGTCAAAAAGTAAAAAATAAAAAAGTGGGGCTAGATGTAAGTATGACAAGGTGGTGATGGTTGTTAAAACAAATTGATGGGAATTCTTTGTGCTTGCTATTTTTGTATGGAGGAATTCTCATAATGAAAACTTCTAAAAAAGTATATAGTACCAGCCTTCTAGGTTTTCCATGAGGAATAACAAAGCAAGTCTGTGTAAAGCACTTCCCATGGGGACTGGCTCCTAGTAAGCACTGAATAAATGTAATTTTAATAGAATACACACAGTGTTAACCTAAAAATAAAAGGTCAAAGTGAGAGGTAAGCAAGCCTTTATTTGAGATCCAAAAAAATAGCTACTAAGGAAACACTGATTTAGGCAGAAACCCAAATAGCGTTCCCTTTAGGAGTTGAAGGCAAGGGGAATTTATAAGAAAGGGAAGTGGAATAAGTTCATGAATAGGAGGAATTTCCATGGATGTTAATAAGCTAAGGAAGGCATTTTTATAGATGCAGCTAAACTAACACAGTGATGCTAATTCTAAAGAATGTCTTTAATTTCCATGGCAATAGTCTTAATGTCTGCTTTCCTGTTTGTAATACAATGTTGCTTTACTTTAGGCCCAGTCCAAAGGTTATTTTGCCCTCTTTTAACATTCCGAAGGGTTGAGGAGTACGATGTGCAAGATAGATCCTCTAGGATGGCAACCCCGACTCCGCTTTGGAGTAGCTGGGTTTATATTATTAAATTGATAAGAACATCCTATGCTTGGTCCAAAAGGCCGAGAAGCGATGGGGTTTATATTATTTTCTATAATATCTATACAGGATAGAATATAGAATAGCCCTCTGAGGTGGGTACAAGGTATAGAGGAGGAGTTTGAGGATCTGAAAGACCAAGGTCTCTCAGCTGATGGTCTGGAGTGGGATTTGAACTGAGTCTGGCAGGTGGTGTCACTCTGACTATATCCGCTTTCCATTACAGCTCCCAGAGAATAAGCAAGCCTCCACAGGGCCTGCCCTGCTGGTGTGTCCTGGTGGGTTGGCTCCTGGTGGCAGCCACCCGTGGTATGGCAGCCTTCCTCACTATGCTATATATGGCCGGCACTACGGACGGACCAGCTCTCTCAAGTGGCTCATCTCCATGGCCATCTCCTTTGTGGAGAGTGTGTTTGCCACCCAGCCTCTGAAGGCCAGAACCTATGTGGCTGCCCTTCTCCCCTCTGCCCTTACTTTCTCTCCTGCCAGCTGCCCTGTCCTTACTTCAGCTGTTCTTTGATCTATTCATTCAACACAAACCTACATGGGACACCACGTCTGTGCAGGTCCCAGAGCAGGGGCAATAATGAAGATAATGACCATGACGACCCAAGCTCTTGGACACTCACTCTGGGCCAGGCTTGGTGGTTTTTATGAGATACTGGCATTTCATCATCACAATCACTCTCAGGAAGGACCCTGCTTCCATTCCATAGATGAGAAAACCTGAAGTTAAGAAGTTAAGGTCATAAACATCCTGCCTTAGGCTACACTTGTAAATAGGAATCATACAAAATATCCTCAATTCTAAGACTTTGATTGTAAAACAGACTAGTAATTTACCAGAACTTGACATTCAGATAAAAACTCCAAGTCATTAAATGTGTACAACAATTGGAAGATACACTCCTATTTCTGAAATGTAAAGTTACTCTTGGGGTGTAGGAAATACTGAGCCCTGGCCTGGAGTTCCGGGTCACAGCTTTCCCTACGAAAAAAATCAGGTGGAAGGAATACTGGGTCTGTGCGTGGGGGGAAGATGCAGAAAGGAAGGGATGTTTTCTGTGAATCTTTATGTCTATGAGATCCACCAAATCCCCTACCCCCATTCTACCCTTTGGTCCTCTGCCCTGTCCTGAACAGCCTTTTTCAGAAGACTTCAACAATTTCTGACACCTCCCCCAACTTAGTCTGAGAATTTTGAGAACAGAGTCCTGGGCCATTTTGTTCCCAACCAAACCACAAAATCCTACTACACTTGTATACAGTAGGTACTGTGGGGGAAGAAAACTTATGTCTACCCTCAAGGGTCTTTCAACTAGTCTAAGAGTTAAATCTATGTGAGATATATTAACATGAGAAAATAACCAAATTTAATACATACATATGCATGGGAACCTGGTATACATGAAGGAGTGAGAGAACCCTCATACATGAGAAGTTCAAAGCCAGAAAGGGAAAATGAGGTAGACGTGACATTCTGAGCTAAGGGTCACCTTGGGGCTTCAGAGGGAGGAAGGCCGTTGCAGAAGGATGAGCAGATGTTCAGTAATTAGAAGTTTACTCTGCCTTACAAATAGGTCATAACAAGTTATTTCTGGTTATAAACTCTTATTATGGGCAAGGCCCCTAATTTAAATTATTTAAGAAAGAGGTAACAATTTCTCAAGTTTGCATGGTCTTGATTCCATCGGCTCCAAATAATTCACATGCCAAAGAGAATTACAGGAGAGGCCTGTTCTGAACCCTTACAGAAGAGGTAATATAAGAGAGCTAATCGCTTAATGCAGTAAGAAGGGGAGGGAGGAGGGGAGAGTAACTCACCACACTAGGGGTGCAAACCAGGTGCCCGCAAGCCCTGGCCCTCACCCTTCATAAACATGTCCCCTCTTTGCAGAGGATGGGCTGGTTCCCACCTGACCTCCCCAGAGTGTGGCTCCTGTGCCTGGGACACAGATGTGGCCCCAATCCAGCCCCATCTCAGACCAGGAGTTGATAGAGAGTTCCCAACATGGGTTTGGGGTTCACAGTGGGTATTTTTCCAGGTGCTGGGGTTTGCTGCTTTCTTTGCTCTGGTCTTAAAGAGCATGGAGGATGAAGAGGAGCCTCTGGTCCCTCTCCCAGGACATCTGTCCAGCCCAGGTAGTGGTGCCTAGGTGGTGGTGGGGGCCTGGAATCTGATGAAGCTGAGAAAGCCCTAGAGAGCCCAGCCACTGGGGTGGGTAGTCCTGGCCTCAGATCTTTGCTCTCCATCAGGACTTCACAGCTGACTGGTGAACCATCACCAAACCATCCAGAAACAAGTGGCTCCTTCATTGTCTTGAACAATCTTATTCCTTCTCTACCTGGGCCTTTCTGACCCCTAACCATGACTCCCTGGCTATAAGGAGCACCTTGAGCGCCATGCTCTGCGTTAGCCGTCATTCTCTGTGTAATCCCAATCAAGCGACTTTCTTCTGCAAAGCTCAGGTCCCTGGTCTTTAAACTAAAGACCAAACAAACAAACAAACAAACAAAAAACAAGCTTGTGGATGCGCTTCAAAGAGTCACGGTAAGTTAGAGTTCTAGGACAAGAGACTGCAAACTATATATAACCAAGGGACCAAATCTAGCCTATCACCTATTTTTGTAAATAGTTTTACTAAAATATAGTCAAGATGAAACCTCTTGCAGGAGCCCACTGACCATGACCTTTCCCCTAATCTGATTTCTTACTTCCAAAGCAAAACTCCTGAGGGTGCTGAAAATAAGAGAAGGATAAAAACAAACAAGCAAACAGAACAAAATCAACACTCTAATAGTCTATGCAGAGAACTTGACCTTCAGGGAAAATAAAGCAGGCACTAGCAGAAGTCCATGTACCTACATCATTATGCAGTGTAGTTATTACCTCCACATGGGCCTGTATTCTTCCACTCTAAATTAGAGTTTTGGCTTTGCAGATCCTAAGGTCCATTAAAATCTTCTTCCCAAGACAAGAGTAATTTTTCTCTAAGGAGGGCCAGCCTCCAGACTAATTAAATATTCATTAAATCATTCCTTCGGCAATTATTCAGGAAGTACTTGCTATGTGCTAAGCAGTGTGATGGCCTGAGAACATAATTTACATAAAATCTACTCGTAATGTATAATTTATTGATTTTAGTAATTTATAGAGTTGTGTGACTATCACTGCAATTCAGGTTTGGAATAGCTTCATTACCCCGTAAGTTCCCTCTTGCCCATTTGAAGTCAACCCCTGCTCCCATCCCAGCCCCAGGCAACACAGCACTGGCTGATGGAACAGGTTGCTGCCCTTGGAATGAACAGCCCATTGGAGGAGACACATTAGATAATTAAATGCACAAGTAGACATATAAGTGTGAATTGTGATGAGAACTTGGTCTGGGCAGATAACACAGTGCAGGCCTCTCAGCTGCGGTGGTACCTAAGCTGGCTCCTGATGGGGGCAGAGAGAGTTTGCTCACTGGAAATGTGCAAAGGCCCTGAGTTGGAACACAGCTTGTCATTTTATAAGAATAAAATGACAGCGTGGCCAAAGTTTGGGGAAATGAAGGGAGAATGGTTCAAGATGAGGGCACACAGGTGAGTGGGGAGCAGGTCGCGCAGGACCTCGTAGGGTCTGGGTCAATGCTAGGGTTTCGAAGTATTTTAAATAGGAGCAGCATGGTCTGTTTATGATCTTAGAAAGATGGCTGTGGCTGCTCTTGGAGGTCAGAGGTATTCAGTCAAAAGTGGAAGTGGGGAGGCCAGTAGGAAGAATATTGCAATGGTCCAGGCAAGAGAAGACATGTGCTGGCAGTGGTGGTGAACGAAGGGCATGAATCCAAAAGATAGCTGGGTTAGTACACCCCTACTAGAATGGCTAAAGTGAAAAAAAGGAGTAAGATCAAATGCTGACAAAGACATGGAAGAACTGGAGCATTCATACATTGCTGGAGGTAATGTAAAAAGGATACAGCCACTCTGGGAAGCAGTTCAGTAGTTCCTTTCAAACCTAAAAATAGACTTACCATATGCCCGGGATTTGCACTCTTGGGGATTTATCCCACAGAAATGAAGACTTATTTTCATGAAGGCACCTATATACAAATGTTCATAGCAGCTTCATTTGAAATAGCCAAAAGATATTTGGTCACTCTTAAGAATCTCCCCAAGAGAAATGAAAATATACGTCCACACAAACTTGAATGTTTGTATGGACGTACTTGAATTTCATAGCAGCATTATTCATATTAGCCAAAACTAGAAACAATCTAAATATCCATCAATGGGTGAATAAAAAAAGGTAAGTATATCTATACAATGAAATACTAACCAACAATAAAAAGGAACTCACTACTCATACATACAATATGGATGAACCCCAAAACATGCTAATTGAAAGATGCCAGAGACAAGAAACTAGGTACATATGATTCCATTTATATGAAATAGCCAGAAAAGGAAAGCCTATAGAGACAGAAAGCAAATTAATGGGGCCGAGGGCTGGAATAAACGGAAAGTGGGGACTAACTTCAATGGGACATGAGGGAACTTTTGGGGGTGATGAAAATGTTCTAAAATTGGGTTGTTTTAAATTTACCATCAGTTTACTAAAATCATTGTGTTATAGACTTCCAATGGGTGAATTTGTGAAAATCACAACTCGTAATGTGTTCTGAAAAAGAAGATACTGGAATTAGACATGACAGGACTTTGAAATACTAGTTACGCTCATTCTTCCACCCTTCAAAGTTTTGGAAGTGTTGGCATCCGTCTTCGAGTCCAGGAAAACAAGGAAGGCAGCATCCAGGAATCAGTAACCCTTCAGGGAGGGGGAAGTATTTGCTTTCAGTACAAGGAGAATCCTCCCTCTGAAGAAGAAGGGATGGAATCTGGGCGCAGGAACAGCATGGGCAGAGCATGGAGGGCAGGGTTGGGAAATGCCTCCCAGAGGAGGAACTATGGATCCTGGTTACACCTGGCTGCAAATGTGGAGCCTGGTTCTACCACCCATGGGGGTAACGGCCCTTGTGTCCTTGCTTTCACAGACCCCTCTGCCTTGTTCCAAGTGCAGAGAAACAGCAAAAAGGATGTCTACCAGCCACCTCTGCCCACTGATATTGAAAAGATGAAAACTACCCATCTCAAGGAATAGAAAGTGTTTGCCGTAATCAGAGAAATCTTGGGTATGCAGCCAAGATTATCCATGTTTGTCCCTTACATTTAAAATCCTTAAAAAAAAATAGTGCCTCAATGGCCCTTCATGACCCTTAGGATCAAATTCAAATCCCCTACTGTAGATCCACCCACACCACGTCACCTCTTTCCGCCATTTGTGCCCTCAACTTGTGGCACAGGATTCTACAGCTTCTGAGACTCTGTGTTCCCTCCTGACCCCAGGCCTTTGTCCCAGCTGTCCCATGTAGTCTGCTGGAATGTGCTTACTCCACTTCTCTGGCTAAGTCCTCTCATTCTTTCATTTTCAGCCCAAAGGCTATGTCCTCCTACAGGCTTCCCCTGGCCCTCTGGCCAAGAGCTTTCAAGTCTCAATGCCTTAGTCTGCGCTCCCCAAAAGCAGATTTGGGAATGTACAGTTGTTTTGGGAGGGGATCCTGGCAAGCATTGGAAAGGAAGGGGAAAGTGCAGGGGTAGAGAGGAAAGCCAATGGAAAGGGAGGGGGTGAGTGGGTTCCACACGGACAACTGAGGCTCAGTGAAGATGGGGACCTCGGCAGGAATGTGTAGTACACACCCCCACGTTGTCATCCGCCAGGTCACTGGTGAAGCCTGCTCCTGAGGAGAGCACCGACCTTGCACTCGTGGCCTGCCTTCTCACTGGTGAGCATGAACCTGGCCAGAGCCGAGGGGTTTGTGCAGGAGGAGGAGCATGTGCACACTGAAGAGTTCCAAGGGGTGTGAGCAGAGCCATTTCGGCGAGACAGCAGCAGCAGATGCTGCCCTTGGTTACATCATTGCCCTCCTGATACTGCTATCATTGCCCTCCTGAAACTTTGGCATCTGCTCAGACTGAACTCCAAAATGAACATGATCACATCAGCTCTGCACTGTCCCTGGGGGAACATTTCAGGCTTTGTCACTGTCATCATGTTCCTGGCTTACTCCATTGTGGTGAGTGGCTCCTTTGGGAAAACCTCAGGGTGGTTCTCTTTGGAAGCAAAGGCTTCTCAGTGTCGGGACACTGGGGATTAGGGTTATGGGAACCCTGGAAACCTGAGGGAGATAGTGGATCTTCTGAGTCCAGGCACTTTCATTTGGGAGCTCATGAAGTGGACACTCCAAATGGAGACCTCAGTTGGGTAAGAGTGAGGAGGTATAGTCTCAAGACTGAAAGGGCCAAATACCTCCAGCAAAGAATTCCTTTCTGTATCTAGTCCTCGCCTGGATGTGCCAGTGCTCCGGACACACTCGATGGCTCAGACACGCACAGAACACGCTTCCTGCACTGGGGGAGGTGGCGATGAGTTGGGCAGTCTCTGTCCTTGAGCTGGGGCAGAGACAGGGAAGTAAGGATGGACCTATCTGCAGGCCATGTCAGTGCTTGGCCCTACAGGAGGCAAAGCTGACACCATTTCATTCAGCCCCTTAACACTGACAGCATTTTAAAACACATCTTTTGTATCTGAAACAAAAAACTGAACTATCAGCTTCTTTGTGTCAAGTAATGTGAGAAACAAAAACCCTCTGACACATCCTGATCTCCATCTAAATATGCCCCCTATCCTCTTCAAGTTCATGATTCTCCTCACAACCCTGGCTCCCACTCCTCCGACACCCTTCACTTAATCTTGACCTGTTCCTTAACCCAACCTCTTTCTGAATTCTCACTCTGGCCCCACCCAGTCTCCCAGTCTCTCACCTTCCACCATCCCCTAATCTCCCTACCATCCAATACTCTATCCCTTCCTAGTCCCCACTCCCTCCCCAACCCTCTCCCCATCCCTGACTCTTTCCCTATCACCTCAACCCTGGCCCCCAACTCCACCCCTGACCTCACTCCATCTTCTCACCTTCAGAAACAGGGTGAGGTGCATTGATGAAGTGATAGAGGGTATATGCTGAAAAGATTGAGCCTGCTGTTGTTAAAAGAACCCCATCCAACCCCTTAATTCATGTGGATTTATGCAGTCCCCCCGGGTGCAATGAATGGGCTGCAGGGACAATGCAGTGCCCTCTGGGAATAGAAGTCACTGACTCAGCCAATGGAATGCTGGGCTTCCCTGATACGAAACCCTATGGAAATCTTTGGGGTGGGGAGTGCAGTGGTGAGGGAAAAAAACGGTGGGGGGAGGTCCTGTCCAGGCAGAAGCCAATTGCCCGTCCAACCCAACTCTCCCAGAGCAAAAAGGATGGGGCTGCAGAGAGCCCAGTTTCATTACTGAGTCTTACAGCAGCTGTCTGAATGAATGCAGCAGTAGCCTAGTGCGTGGTACGTGAGCTCAAGAAGTGCGAATGCATCCCGTACAAAACTGGGTGTGTACTCACACCAACTTGCACACCTCTGTAGGTTCAGATAGCTTGGCCAGGACAGGTCAAGGATGTGGCTGACCCAGACTACTGCCTCTACTGTCAAACAACGGGCTTTAGGGTATTGTATGGTTTCTTTCTCTGTTCACGATGACTCTTTTTATAACAGTCAAACTTAATATTTGGTTGGAAACTCTGTTCCTACAAAACCCTCTTTGATGCAGCAGAAACGACAATCAGCTTCAGCTAGGAATCTTCAACTACGAGGAGGCAATGGGGGAGGGTCAGAGGACAAGGACCCTGCCATCTACATCAAGCCTTTACAAATATTAGAAAAAGCATTCCCCTCAAAGGCCTCCCCACTGGATATCATCCCTTGGGTTCATGATCTGGCAAGTGCAGGGCAACTGTGGACAAACAAAAAGGGTCCCCCTTCCTCCCGGCAGACAGCCCCACACCAGGGCCTGCAGATCACTCTGGGACACCAGCTTACAGAAAAGAACATCAGGTACTGGCTACTCAGGAGAGGACAGTGCTAGGGGGTCCCCGGAAGGGGATGCTCTTGATCCTCACCAGAAATGGTGCCCATATTGGAAATGGCAGCAGTGAGGAGCGGGGGTGCTGCCCCCTCCCTCTCTTGGCTGCCCGAGAGAACTGCCCATACTGTCAGCCCCCAGGCAGGGAAGGGTCTCTCTGGGCCGAGGCTCTGCCTAACTTTGAGGGTCAGTTTTCCCTCTGACGGTGCCTAGTGGGGGGAGGTGGCCAGTAGGACACAGGACCCCCAGGGATGACTCTGGATTTCTTTCTAACATGTCCTGGACTATAGCCCAGTGCTCAGCTCCCTTCTTATTGGGTCCTGCATTGTTTTCATGACATTTCTTGTGCCGAATCTATTTTTCTTTGTCATCCTGGTGGCCTTCAATGAACAGCAAAAATACTATCAGGTTGAACCCCTTTGGCCTATTCTTCAACAGTCATTGACCTTGAAATAGAAAAAGGCTGGATGAGCAGCATTAGACATTAGGGAAACTTGAGAGACCATTGTAGCTCAAAGCCTTCATTTCACAGGAGGAGAAACTAAGGATGGGAAGAAGGAAATGATTTCACCAAGATCACAAGCAAATGAAGGTCACACTAGAATTAGGTCTCCTGAATCCCAGTGTGGGACTCTGATCATTACGCCAGTGATTCTCAGCTCTGATTGCACATTAGAATCAGCCGGGGGCATCTGGAAACTCCTGCTGTTGCATCAGAGACCAATGAAAACAGTTTCCTGGACATTCCTGGGTGAATGATGCAAGCATGGTATTCTGAAATCTCCCGTGTGATTTTAATATGCAGCCAAGGTTGAGACCCATTAAAAATAACCAAAGATGATAATTTAGGTGATACAAATAAACTTTAATATTTTTTTCATGAAGTTGATCACTTCTCCATTCAGAGAACTGCAAAATGAGTGGAGGGCAGGAAGTTTTCACAGGATAAAGAAAAAACAAAAAGACTAGGGAGTGAAATATACAAAATAGTGGCTTGGCTGGGACCACATAGTTAACCTTGTTTGGGGTGAGAAGGAAAAAGAAATAGGTATGGATAGAGCCCAGAGGTGGCTTGGCATTTGGGGACTGGCTGACTGAATTGTACTGATTCCTGGTCAAGTGGAGGATTTACAGAGAAACAAAAGTTATCTAAGTTTTGGTTTGTTTACTGGGCACCCTGGGCAGGCACAGCTCCACTTCGGGCCTAGAAATTTATTTCAATAAGTTATATGGTGATTTTGATAAACTGCCAAACTGTTTTCCAAAGCAGCTACACCATTTCACATTCCCAGCAGCAATACATGGAGGCTTTGTACATAAATTCCTAACTATCTCTGATGGGGGTGGTGGAGAAATTCTGTCATTTTCACCAGAGGGTAAGAAGGGATCTCCCTACTGATACAGGGGGGGAGCACGCACCCTTGGGTTTCCCTGAAGGAGGTGAATCCCAACACAAAGCAACCCTGAAGAGCAAGGTGACTTTGGCAGGGACCAAGTTCCACAATAAAACCATGGTTTCCCCTTAAAAAGTTCCCAAAGAGGATGTACCGGTATCTATATCCATCATATGGTTCTTTCTCCCTCTGCAGCTGTCAGAGGAAGGAGAGACTGTTGATTTGCTGCTGATGAAAATATTCAGTTTCCTGGGCATTAAAAGTAAAAGACAGGAGCCTGAAAACTGCAGTGAGCAGCCCGAGCAAGTTGCTGTTAGAAGCTCAGCCCCGTCAATGTGCACCAGCTGCGCTGCGGGGTTAAGCTGTTCGCCTGTACACTATCATCTGTGGAGTCCGCAGAAGGCTAGAGCCTCGGGCCTACACTTACAGGGATTCTGTCCTTGCTCCAAGTCAATGTTTTCTGTGTCCATCAATGTTACCAAGCCTGGCAAGTAAAAGGACTAATAAAAATATGTATATACTTACACGTACAATTACCACTACTGTGATAGGCTTTTCAAATGTGTTTCTTTCTAGAAATAAAACAAATAGTCTGGAGTTCAAGGGAAAAAAAATGTCTTCTACAGACTATTTCACCTTCTCAATCAGTCAGGGATTGCCTTTGAATGATTCTGCAATAGTTCAGATAGTTCCTCAAACTATGCCTGAGAGAGGCTAGGGCAGCCAGAACAAAGTATCACAAACTGCATAGCTTAAAACAATAGAAATTTATTGTCTCACACTTCTGGAGGATAGAAGCTCAAAATTAAGGTGTCAATAGGGCCACGCTCCCTCAGAAGGCTCTATAGAGGAATCTTCTCTTTTAGCTTCTAGCGTTGGCCAGCAATCCTTGTCATTCCTTGGTTTGTATACACATCGCTCCAAGATCTGTCTCTGCTGTCACATGGTTTCACCTGTATATCTTTTTCTTTCTCTTTTCTTCCTACAAAAATACTAGTCATAATGTATTAAGGGCTCATCCTACTCCATTATGACTTCGCCTTAATTAATGACATTTGCAACAATTCTTATTTCCAAATTTGGTCACATTCTGAGGTCCTGGGGGTTAGGACTTCAGTGTAACTCTTTAGGGGACACCATGCAACCTGTAACAGGTGTCATGGTCCCCAAAATGTTTTTGGATCGAATAAATGTGGGAAACACTGGATTATAAAAGGCTGTACAAGTTCTTTAGAATGGGAATTTTCAGAGCTTTTAATATGCTAAGTGGGCATTGAGTCTCCTGGGAGGAGATGAACATGAGCAACAAAGTATTTAACGACTCCCAAACCTCTTCGCCAAGGCACCCAGTACTACAGCACCTCACTCAGGGCTAGTGTTCCTTAGATGATCCTTTGGGAACTGTTGATCTATACCAGTGGTTCTCAACCTTGGCTGCGTGCTAGATGCCTAAACTTCTTCCCTGTATATCAGAATCTCTGGGCTGGGACCCAGTTGCCAATATTTTTTTAAGCCACCCAGGTGATTCCAATGTGCAGTCAGACTTGATAACCATGCTCTAAGTTCTGAGAACCAAAGATGTAGATAGTAAAAGGCTTCCAGGTAAGTGCACAGTTCCCCTCAACCATGCAGGGGAAGCACCTCAGACGTCCTCTCCAGTTCACCCTCACACACCCACCGTCGCAGATTCTCTAGGCTGCCTGTCCCAAATCCATTCTACGCTTTCCTCCTTGCAAACAGAATCCCGACTGTTTCAGGGAGCCATCTACCCTTCCCCCATATACTCCTGCGAAGGTGACCTGTAATCACCTCAAGGTGAAAGCTGATTTGCCTTAGTAAATGTAATTCATTTCCCTTGACAGTGAGCAGTTTAGTGTGAACCTGACCCAGTGCGGACAGTGAAAAATGAGAGGTCTTTAGGACACTTCCAGGAAAGGTCTGCTTGCTAATAAGAAGAGACACATGGAGATGGGCTCTTATGCTGCTGGACATTGTCTAGTCTGAGTAAGACTCCTGGAACTTTGGCAGCTTCCATGAGACTATGGGGAACAATCTGAAGATGGCGGAGCAGAAAGATGAGGGGAGCACGCATGCTTGATGAGGTCTTTAAACAGCTGTCTGAATCAAGCCTGGAGCTGAACTACTGCCAGCCTTTATCTGAGTGGGGCTTACATGTCTTTTTCTGATCATTGAATCAGTATCTCACCCTGTCACCCTGCCAATCAAAACCCAGGATCCTTTATAGAGAGCCATGTGACATGCAATGTACATAAAACCTTGGCAATTTCATTTTCTGTCCACCCAAAAGCCCACGGCCATTCTTTATTACGTCAGATATGAACATAAGCTATATATGCAGAGATGCTCATCAAACAACCCATAGCAAGGTGTACATGTCTCCTGACAAACAGAAACCTACCCAGATACATACAAAACAGTCTGTCTGTTTTAAAAAGGAAATCTGGAGAAGTTGTATATTCATTTCTCTTTCTCATCTTTTCCATCTCTCTCCACTTCTCTATTGACTGTAAATATCAAACTGACAATTCCTTTGATCACATTATGTGCTGAGGAGAGACTGTCCCATGACGGTCACAACCTTGACCTGACAACCTTGAGTCAGCTAGATTCAGCCACGGTAGAGATTGCTTCCCTTAAATCTCCTCATAAACTATCTGAGCCATCCCTCCCACACGCCCCAAGGCTTGCTGGTTCCCTGGAACAGGTTGTCACCCTGCTGGGGGCATAAGGCATTTCCTCATCTGGGGTGGGCTATGTCCCAGCACACCTATTCACCCTGCCCTGTTCTATATAATTATTGCCTGCTATGTCCCATTTCACTCCTGGGCAAGTTAGTTACATTTTCTGAGCCTCCAGCTCCTCATCTATGAAATGAATTTAATACCCACCAGAAATGGGTTTGGAAAGGTTTGAAAAGATTGTTTGCACAGTTCCAGGCATATAGCAAAGGCTCAAAAAAACAACTATTATTTGCTCAGGTGAAAATGGAGCATAACAGCCCTTGCAAGGTACTGCACAGTTGTGCCAATAATCCCAATTTGATAAATGGGGCAGAAGCTCAGTGTGATTACATATGGGCCTTCCAAACATACACTTAAGGTGCTTGCAGTGTTTTTCATCCCAGTGTTTCTTTATTGATTCATGCCCACTCCACATAGCCTGTCTTCCCCAGACCTTAATTATTCTCTGTCTGCATGTATGGGAACAAGTCGTCTGCTCTTTTTGGAAGACCCTGGTTACACATCATGCTAAGTGTGAACTCTGCTTTTTCTTTCCTTTTTTTTTTTTGAGATGGAGAAAGATGAGAGTTGGTAGAAACAGGAAGAGAGAGGGAGAGAACAAGCAAGAGAGAGAAGAGGATGAGGGAGGGAGGGGAAGGCAGAGGCAGAGGGAGAAGGAGGGAGAGAAATGAGAGACAGAAGGAGAACGGAAGAGGGGAAGGAAGGTTGAGAGGGACACAGTGGAAGAGGGAGAAGGAAAGGGAGGAAAAAGAGGAGACAGGGAAAGAGAGAGAAGGAGAATAAGGAAAAGAAAAGAGAGAAAGAGGTAGTGAAAGGGAAAGTGAGGAGATAGGGAGCAGGTTGAGGGAGTCAGAGAGGAGAGGGAGAGAGGGCAGAGAGTGAAAGGGAGAGGGAGAAAGAGAAAGAAAGAGGGAGAAAGGAGAGGAAGAGGAGACTGGGAGAGAAAGAGGAACAGGAAGAGGAAAAGGAAGAGGGTAAGAGAGAGGGAGAGTGCAAAAGAGGGAGGAAGAGAGCGAGAAGGAGAAGGAGATAAAGAGGCAGAGAGTGAGGGAAAAGAGGGCAAGAGAGGGAGAGGGAAATAAAGAGGGAGAGAATTGGGGGGAGAGATGAAGAGAGAAGGAGAAAGAGACAAAGAGGGGGAGAGGGAGCAGGGGAGGATTGGGAGGAAGAGGGAGAGGGCAAGGGAAAGAGGGAGAAAGATAGACAGGGAGAGGGGAAGAGAGTAAGAAAAGGAGAGAGAGGAAGTGTGAGGGAGATGGGAAGAGGGAAAGAGGGAGAGGTAAGGCAGGAAGAAATGGAGAGAGTAGAGGAGAGGTGGAGAGAGGGAGAGAAGAGAGTGGGAGATGGAAAGAGCAAGAGAGAAATAGGCAGAGGGAGAGACAGAAAGGCAGAATGAGATACAAAGAGAGAAAAAGGGAATTAGAAGAAGAAAGAGGGAAAGGGAGAGGGAGGGAGAGGAAGGAATGGGAGAGAAAGAAAGAGGGAGATGGAGAAGAGAGGAAGAAAGGTAGATAGAGGGAGAGGGTAATAGAGGAAGGAAGAAAAACTGAGAGAAGAGAAAGTAACAGGAACAGAGAGCGAGGGGAGGTACAGGGAGGAAGAGAAAGGGAGAGAGAATTAAAAGGATGAGAGAGGAGGGAAGAGGAAGGAGAAAGTGAAATGGGGAGAGGAAGAAAGAGAAACAGAGAGAGGGAGGGAGAGAGAAGGAGAGGTAGGGGGGAGAGGGAGACGTAGAGGGAGAAGGAGGGTGAGAGCGATGTAGAGAAAGGAAAAGAGAGGGAGAGTGAGATGGAGAGGCAGGGGGATACAGAAGAGAGAGCAAGAGAGGAGAGGTAAGAAAGGCCAATAGCCAGAAGTAGAATAGGAGAACTAAGAAAGATAGGGCCAAATAGTTTAAAGCCATTAAGTAAATCCCAAAATCCTATCTTCACTAACCAAGGACGCTTAAGAGTAAATGGTCTACACTTTTCCCCCCACAACCAGAGTGTAAATAGCTTAAATCACCCTACTCATGGATATGGTAGAAATCTAACTAGTGCCATTAATGTCAACCACACCCAAGGACAAATGAAGGTAAGGGAATAAATCTCATTTTGGTGCATCAGTTTAAAGCTGATGAATATTCTATTGAGATTCTCCCCTAAACTCCCAGTCTTCAAAACCCTCAAGAGGAAGGACTTATGCTCTCTTTTGGGAGCATGCATACGCCTTTCTTCTCAGGCTGGCACCAGCTAAAATCTAAAGGTCCCCCCACAACACTTGCAACCAGGGGTGGCAATGAGCAGCAGCTTGTCCTGAGCTAACTGCCAGAAACTGCTCCCAAGGTCCCTTATCTCTGACTTTCCAGAGAGCCAAAGCAGGCCCCCCTAATTTCTTTCTTATAACATTTCTAGAGAGCCAAAGTTCTCTCCTATTGTTTTTTTTATCCTAAGCCCTTCTTTGTTTCACTGTCCCCAGTTTTAATAAATGTACTCTCAAAATCTTCTGGACTGGTCTTGTGAAATCTGTCCTGCACAAAGTCAAGAACCCACACACATTGGGCCTCCGGAGACAGGCCAGCTCCGGGCCTGGTTCCTATCCACTACGAGGGAAGGACACAGAGGGAGACATGTAGAGAGGGGGTGGAGAGGGAAGGGAGAGTAAGGGAGAGGGAGAAAGAGGGAGAGTGGGAGGGGGAGTGAGACAGACAGATGGAGGGGACCGAGGAGAGAGGGAGAGTTATAAGGACAGAGAGAGAGAAAGAGGGAGAAATAGAGTTAGGAAAAGAGATGGAAAGAGAGGGCAAGAGAGTGAAGGCGAGAGGGAGAGAAAGGGAGGAAAGGTGGGAAAGATGGTGTGGGTGAGGGAGAATATGAAGAAGAGAAAGGGGGAGAGAGAGAGGTTGAGGGTGAAGGCGAGAGGGAAGAGGGGGACAGGGAGAGGAAGAAGAGAGGGTGAAAGAAAGGTAGCGAGAAAGAAAGGAAGAGAGAGGAGAGGTTGAGGGAGAAGAGAAGAGGAAGAGAAAGGGAAAAGGATAGGGAGTGAGAAAGGGAGAGGACAGAGTTGGAGACATGGGGAAAGAGCAAAAGAGAGAGAGAAGATAGAGGGAGAGAGAGGAGGAGGGAGAGAGGCCAAGAAGGGAGGGAAAAAAGGAGAGTGGAAGGAGACAGAGGAAGAAGATGAGGGAGAGAGGAAGGAGAGTGGACGAGGGAGGTAGACGGAGAGAAAAGAGGAGGGGGAGAGAGGGATAGAAAACTGCCTTTTGATCGCTCCTGCATTAATTGCCTCCACTCCAGTCCCCACCAAGAAGCCAATCCTGATCTTTCGGCAAGTCCTTGCCCTTCTTGAGTTTCATGATTCTGTCGTTCCTGCTTTAGGGATCCTGAGACTTTTGGGATCTGTAAAGTAATAAAGTGGGTTCCTGGATTGTTTCCAATACTTCAAAAAGTAAAAGAGAAACTGCATTTGTGTCGACCCGCTCTTGGCCAACGCCCAATAACCATTTTCTGCAGGAATGATTCTGTTTGGACCTCACTATGAATCCCATTCTGCGTGACCTTGATCCTCCTTAGCAGGGTGGGACCACATCCTAACAGGATTGGGAGCACCCAGCATTTCCCGAGACCCCTGGACCCTAAGGCAAGGGAAGGCACTGGCTCGGCAGGGCCAAGACAGCCCACAGCCCTTCTCACCGCCCAGGCCGTTTGCGGACCCAGTTTCTGATCCAGCAGTTCAACTCGTCTAGCAGCAGCACCCGGAGGCGTAGCCCCACCCCTCCCTGAGGGCCCAGTCCCTCCGACTAGCAGCTCAGCCCGGCCCCGGCCTGCAGCACTAGTCCCCGCCCCTCGTCAGCGGCCGTCCAGACTTTAGGACCTTTCACGCCTCTCCGAGCCCAGCCTTCAGTCCTATTAGGCCCCGCCCCCGCCCCCGCCCCGCCCCGCTGGCCCGGGCGGCCGAGTTGTGCCGCAACCCTGACTCTTGTGAAAATGGCGCTCCGAGCGGCGCGGAGCGTGCGGGCCGTGGCCTGCAGCCTGCGCGTTCCGTCGGCGCCTGCGGTGCCCTGTGCGCCGAGGCCCTGGGGCCTAAGGGCGGGCGCCGTCCGAACGCTGCACACCGGCCCCAATCTGCTCTCGGGTAAGCACGGGTGGGCACGTGGGGCAAGCCGGGATGCCTGGCGGGGGGCGGGGGCCCCTCCCTCCTCGGCTTGATTCTTACCTCAAGTCCCCGCTGCGGAACGACCGGGTCAAGCCAGGCGACCCCTGCGCACACTTCTTTTAACGCCGGGATCTCTCATTGTATGGCCCTAGCTCCCCCCCGTAAGTGGCGTGGACGACTCCGCAGCTATTGTCCTGCGGGTTAGGGAGCCGGGGGAAGGAGGCCTGGAGCGCGCGCGGTCGCTGTGTCCCGGTTCTTTCTGGCTGGAGCGTCAGCCTCTTGCTACTGGAAAGTCCCCCAAGTGGCGCTAAGCTTCTTTGTGACCTTAGGTTATCCTGAATTTGTGGGCATCATGAACCCTATAAGTGGAGACAAATAGGTTTTAGTTTGCTCCACGGACCGTCACTGACAACTCTGAAGTAAAATTAAACAGTCTAGATTTTTACTAGCTAAAGTGAGAAAAAAAACTTTGTCAGTTTCCCTCGAGAAAAATGGAAATAATTGTACCTCCCAGGGTTTGGGGGATGATGAGACGATATAATGTAACTATTGTACATATAGCCTGACACGTAGTAAGTACTTGATAAATGTTACTTATTTTCAGTTCATAGAATCAAACAGTAAAAAACTGACCGATATTGATATACCGGATCCCAGAAGTAACGCCTGTGTTGAGTGTGGTTGGCAGGGTAATAATATAGGTGTGATAATTTAGAGTTTTAATTTGAATATTTCACCTAAAATGTCATATGGTGTGCTTGAGGGTGATATTGTTATGTTAAAAAATTACATGCTTGTGGTTTTGTAATAAAAAGCAGGGGCGTTATTTGTGCTAAACCCTGTGTTTAACTGACCATTGACTTTGAAAGAAAAATACAAACTTTTCATAAATTACTCAAAACATCGAATTTTGGGCCCAAAAGCTGTTTTTCAAAGCTCAGTAAGAAAGTAATTATTAACCTAATCTCCTATCCACTTTTTTCTGTTGGGCCAAGGGTTAAAGAATTGTACTAATCATTTTCTTTAGTCTAAATAGGATAGCCTAGAAAAAAAGACTTAAATGGACTTCCAGTCAAAGTGGACCTGGGTACATTCAGCTTAGTAATGTCTCTTCCTCTAAATTTTGGTTGGTCAGTTTGTAAACTGAGTGTGAGAGCAATTTCATTCCTAAGATTGTCTTTCCAGTTAGGTAAGATGGCAAGGCCAAAATCAGGACAGTAATCTCAGAGGAAAGTCATGTGTTTATAGTTCTCCAGTCCTTTAAAAGGTATTTTAGATTTAAGCTGCTAGTTCTAGAGTTGTAAAAGAATGTTAGGAAGAATTGAGTGTTGTAGCCAATAAGTATATACTAAATATTTTGTTTAGAATTCTCTTAAACTTTTAAAAATTACTTTACTCCAACTTGCTAAGTGCTTACAGTATGTCAAGCACTGTGTTTAAAACTGGAAATACAAATGAAATAATCTCTGGTCTTGCTTGTTTTGTACTTTCCTTGGGGAGGCTGACAAATGGGCTGTATCTGTAGCATGTTAAGTGCTATGAGTGTGTTTGCGGGTCAGAGTGGGAAGAGAGTAGGGTGCTATGCATGCTGAATGGCTCAGGAACCCAGGCTTGGAGGGCTAGACAAGGCTTCTGGCAGGAAAGAGCTTCTAAGGTGAACCATGAAATAGTCAAGAAAACGTGAAAGCCTGGGCCAATGTTGCTATCAGAACACTGAGTACAAACCTTAAACTTTTTTTTTATATTGATTTTTTTTTTGGTGGGGGGGAGAGAATCATCGATTGGTTACCTCTTAGAACAAGCCCAACCAGGGACTGAACCTGCAACCCAGGCAGGTGCCCTGACCAGGATTCAAACTGGCAACCTTTCTGTTTGAAGGAGGATGTCCAACCAAGTGAGCCACATGGCCAGGGGCAAACCTTAAACTTTTTAATGGAAACATCAGATTGATCTGAAGTGGAATGAAGTAAAGCAAATTCCTTTGTGACAAATTTTGCAACTTCTTCCACTGAAGAGTGTAAAATGAAAGCTTTTTATTGACTAGGGGAAAAGAACTTAATAAGCTATACTGTTTACATTCTGTTGCTTATCAGAGCTGTGTGATCAAAGCAGTTTAATGCTATTTTAAGTACAACTGTCTCCGGGTAAGGGGAAGAGTAAGGGTAAGGGGGAAGAGTAAATCAGCAAGGCTTACTTTAAAACAGTATTGGAATTAGTGAACCATTTTCCAGTTAACTTCTCATGCATTAGTTTTGGAAAAATACTTTACTTTGGAAAGATATAGATATATGAATGATAGCATATACTTTTTTAAAGAAAATTACTCCTTAAAGCAAGTACTTTTAACATTAAATCCTAAATAATTTTTTTCACATCTCTTGAACTTTGGTCAGTCTTTCTTCCAGGAATCCTTGAATAGTTCCACCATATCTTTGAAGAGAAGAAGCTCATAAAGCCAAGGGCTAACCTGTCCAATGAGTGTTCAGCAGAGCTTCATGTTCCACCAGTAAATGGCTTAGCTCTGAGGTGACTGTTGAGTTCTGATCTTGTAGTGCTGATCTTGCTTCTTTAAATGGTAGTGGCCTGTTTCTCCCAGGGCAAGCCTGAATTCCATTAAAATAGAACTTTAAGAACTTATTCAAATTATAATTGTTCCAGGTCAGTTTCACTCCTGTAAGATTCCAGCTTATAACCAAGTTGCAGTGAAGCTCTCTTATGTCGGCTCTGAAGAGGCATGCTATTATTTTTTAGGTTAAATAATTTATAAGTAGTCATTGCTCATCCCAAAACCTCATCACTCCCAATCTGTTTTCAGAGGGACAGACTTTTTCGGCAAGACAGACCAGTTAGTAGATAAGTGTACATTGGAAATGTCCTCCAAAATTTTTTGTATTACTTAGACTAAGTACAGTTAGAGCAGATGATCAAACCTGCAAAAGATGTACAAAGTGTTCATGTCAAGCCATCTTTGTCTAAGTGATACCACTGTTTGAAATCTACCATTTTTTCACATGATCTGTTTTCTCCTGGGCAGTGGACTATTGAGAGGCAGTTTCACTAAGTTACACACAAATACTGGGAAAGTTTTGCCTTTTAACAGCATTAATATAAAAAGTGCTTTTTAAGAAGTGATGCTACGGCTTTTCTGAAATATTGGTCTTCTATTTTAGTGCGTAAATTCACAGAGAAACATGAATGGATAACAACAGAAAATGGTATTGGAACAGTGGGAATCAGCAATTTTGCACAGGTATTGGATTGTCTCGAAATAGTTAAAACAGTCTGCTCTCCCTAAATTGGATGGCCTCTGCCTTTTAAAAATTTGTTCATTCTGCCATTAGTATTGGGCCCTTTACAAACCCTGAGAAAAACTTCAATCACAGGTGAAACAAGTAAAATATAACTTGGTTAGGGTAGTATGTGGTGTTTTAAGAGATACCAAAAGGTTAACATTTAAAATTAAAGGTAGGAAACAAACCTTACTCAAGAAAGAAATGTGTTTGTTTCATATTGGGGCAATTAAGGAAAGAGGGAGAAAAGGAAGAGTGAATAAAAGGGCAGAGAAGTGTCAGTGTTTTGTGGATACAGTGATATACACATGACCAGGGGAACATGAAGAGGAGAAAACTTAATCTGGCACAGATTACACAGAGGGAAACCTTTTATTTAACCTATTTCTCTGTTAACTCCCCTATTCCCTTTGATCCCATATTTGAAATACTGTGTTAAAGAAAACAAGAAGCCAGATAGCAGAATAGGTCAGTGATTTTCAACTGAATGTTTATGGGAATTGGGGCACTAGGGGTAAAGGGGATTTAACTGATTGAGATATGCTATTTTAGAAATGTTGGAATATCAGGTATTGAGAGTTAGTGACAACTATATCTTCATTGGCTATCTGTGTACCTACTGAAGCCCAGTATAAGGTGCTTTGTGAAATACTATATGTGTTGTCCTCACCTCCTGGAGCTTATCTATGTGTGTAATTACCTACATGGAAAATGACATACAAAACATTTCATGATGGATAACAAGAGTGGTACGGGGTGGAGTGGGGGTGGTCCAATAGACCATTTCTTATTGGAGTCAAGAACTACAAGGAGTATAAGGCATGAGGACTGATTTGAAGAATCAATGGGTAGGATTTCAGCAAAAGCAGTACAAGAAAGGCCTAAGTAAAACTGCAGAGGTGAAAAAGCACAAAGTGTGTTTGTTCTTGGAGGAGATAATAATCTTTTGGGGGATATATGGTTGTAACGGGTCACTACTGCTTGTGGGAAATTCAGCTAGTGGACTGTTTTTTGTTTTGTTTTATTTTTGCAGGTCCTAAGCTAAGAATAGTTTTGTGTTTTAAAGGGTTGTAAGACAAAAAATGTGGCCCATAAAGTGTAAAATATGCACTACTATCTGAAGTTATAGGAGGTTCAGTGTTTGGCTTATTCCTATTTACTTGGAAGTTTGATTTCTTAGAGGGGTTTTTTTGTTTGTTTTTAGGAAGCTTTGGGAGATGTTGTTTACTGTAGTCTGCCTGAAGTTGGGACAAAATTGAAGAAACAAGGTGAGTGTTTTTCTCATCGTAGTATGTCATGATTTATGCCATGATTTTCTTTACCTGACCTTTACCTTGAGTAATAACTTTTATGCACCCAGTATCAATTAGCATGCTTTTTACTCAAGTAACAGAAAACTTAAAAGTAGACTAATCAGTAGCGATGTATGTCTTATATGAGCCATGGACATAGGTGAATACAGGATTGGCTGAGTGGCTCAGTGAAGGTCATCAGGGACAGCACCTCTTTTGGTACTCTTTCTGCTTCCGTGTCACAGGTCACAAAATGGCAGCAAAATCTTATGAGCATCACATTCTCAAATGGGTGTCCAAAAGCAGACAAAGAAGGACAGATGGTCTTTTCTTGTTCTTTTATATCTCATTAGCCAGATCTGGGTTATATTTGTCACCCCTAACTCTAAGGGATGATGGCAAAGAGAATAATGAACACTTTTGGGCATTATAATGGAAGATAAGAAGAAGTAGAGGGAAATGGCTCTTGGCACCATCACTCCCCACTCCACACGCTCATGTTGTTGCAGTGTAATACAGTTGAGGTCTATTAAATTAATAAAGTAAATCTGTTTTTCTTTCGAGGCAGTAAAGAATACGGGCTTAGAGGGGTCAGAACCTGGTTTTTAAGCCTGGCCCACAACATATCAGCTGTCTTATTTTGGGGGAAATGCTTAATGTAGGTATCTATGAATAAGGATGATAATAATAGTGCCTACATTGTAGTTGTCAGGATTAAATGAAATTTAGCATAACATCTAGCATAAGATTAGTGCCTGATAAATGTTAGCCAGTTGTACCATCTATATTTATTAATGGATTCCTTGATATATAGAAGACAACCCTACAGAATTTAATTATTTTCTAAGTATCTTTGACAGTATTGGCCATGTCTTCTTCTGTTTAAATTTTCCCCAGCATTTTTCCTGCTGCTTGTCTCTCAATTTCCTGTTTGGTCAAATCGTCTTTTTGAAGGTCTTCCTAGAAACCATTTCTGATGTTGTAATAAAACCTTGTGATTAATAATCTTTTTTTCTGTACATCAAAGCACAGTTCTTGTGGTTTTTTTTAATTATATTTCATTGATTATGCTATTACCATTGTCCTGATTTTCTCCCCCTTCGTCTCCTTCTACCCAGCTCCCCTTACTTCTTCAGGCAGTCCCCCACCATTGTTCATGTCCTTGGGTCGTATGGTTACCTACTTTAGCTATTCCATTTCCTATACGGTACTTCACATCCCCATGGCTATTCTGTAACTACCTATTTGTTCTTCCTAATCCTTTCATGTTTTCACACATTCTCCCCTTCTCCCCGCCCATCTGGCAACCATCTTGTAACTTCTTTTCTCTTGCTGCTTTTAAGAGTCTCTCTTTACCTTTAACCTTTGGCCTTTTCATTATGATGTGCCTTGGAGTGGGCTCCCAGCATCCATCATAATTGGGACACTCTGTGCTTCCTGGACTTGCATGTCTATATCCTTCACCAAATTAGGGAAGTATTCTCTCATTATTTTTTTAAAATAGATTTCCAATTTCTTGCTCTTTCTCTTTTCCTTCTGGCACCCCTATGATGTGAATGAATATTGGACCTGTTTAAGTTATCCCAGAGGCTTTTATACCATCTTCATTTTTTTGGATTCTTTTTTCTTCTTGTTTTGATTGGTTGTTTTTTGCTTCCTTATATTCCACATCATTGATTTGATTCTTGGCTTCATCCACTCTACTGTTGTTCCCATGTAAATTGTTCTTTATTTCAATTAGTGTATACTTCATTTCTGACTGGGTCTTTTTTATTTTGCTGAGGTTCTTACTAAGTTCCTTGAGCATCCTTATAACCAGTGTTTTGAACTCTTCATCAGATAGATTGCTTATCTCCACTTCATTTGGCTCTTTTTCTGGAGTTTTGATTTGTTCTTTCATTTGGGCCATGTTTTTCTGTCTCATTTTGGCAGCTTCCCTGTGTTTGTTTCTATGTATTAGGTAGAGCTGCTTTGACTCCATGTCTTGGCAGTGTGGCCTAATGTAGTAGGTATCTTGTAGGGCCCAGTGGCACAGCCTCCTTTATCACCCAAGCTGGGTACTTGAGGTATGTCCTTCCTGCAGTCTTAGTACACCCTCCTCTTGTAGTTGAGCCTTGGTTGCTACTGGCAGATCAATGGGAGGGATTTACTCAGGCCAGTCAGCTGCAAGACTGGCTGTGACCACTGACCACCAACCTCCGCGCTGTGTGGAGGATCAGCTGTGCAGGGGCAGGGTGGTGGTGCTCTGATGTGGTCTGTAGCTGTCCACTGGGTGTGCTGGCCCTGGGGGTTCCCAGGTGGTGCGGGCCAAGGTCATCCCCCACCAGTGTTTTGCTTGGGGCATCCTGCCTAAGCTGTAAAGCAATTTGAGATGGCTGCAACTTGTGCTAAGCTTGGAAATTCCCAGGGGAAGCCATGCTGTGAATCTAATGGCTGGCACTAGGACTTACTGAAGCCAGCTGTTGCTTGTTTGATAGGATTTAGGAGCTTAGACCAGCTATTATGGAGGAGCAGCATGGGTGGGACAGAGCCTCTGGGGATCTCCAAGGGGGGTCAAACACTGTTAGCCAGATTGATGGAGTCTTACATATGGCACCAGTCTAGTGGCTCTGTGGGGTAGGGTTTAGAAAATGGACAATGGCCTCTGCTTACCTTGATGCCAGACACTTTAGTTTCTCTCCCTGTATACCACTAGTGCCTTTCAAGCTGCTACCCTGGTGTTGGAGCTCAGAGGGAGTGAGTCTGAGTAGGTGAGTCTGTGTGTGGGTTCTTTAAGAGTAACTGCCTGGAGCACAGGCAGTTTATTCCACTGACTCAATTCCCTCTGGTTTTTGCAGCCAGAAGCTGTGGGGGTTTATCTTCCTGGCACTGGAATCCTAGGCTGGGAGGCCTGGTGTAGGTCTGGGACTCCTCGCTCCGAGATATCCCTTCCGAATTTTTGTCCATATGTGTGTGGGACCAGCCCATTCTGCGTCTGTGCTCCTCCTACCTGATGTGGTTTGATGGATGTGGTTTCTTTAATTCTGTAATTGTCAGACTTCCATTCAACTTGATTTTGTAGTTGTCACACTTGCATTCAGATAGATTTCTGAGTGATGGTTTTTCTATATTTTAGTTATAATTTTGATGTGGCTATGCGAAGAGGTGAGCCATGTCTGCCCACACCACCATCTTGATAGAAGTCTTATTTTCTTTTTTCATGTTTATTTACTGTGTACCCACCCTGCTACTCTCAAGCAGGAGATCATAAGTTTCTGAACATCTCCTTATAGTAATTGAACAGCATGAACAATTTTGTGCTTAAGAAATTCTATTAATATAAATGTTGGGAAATATTTCTAAACTAATAAATGCCTTTTTAAAATTTTCTGCTAAAAGTATTTTTCAAATTGATACATATAATGAAAATGTATAGGTATTAAGTATACAATCCAATGAGTTTTGACAAACATATACTGTATAGACCTTTCCAATTAAAACCCTTCTCAATGGACAACCTCTTCTGATTTGTCCCCATAGTTTAGTTTTGCCCATTCTTCAACTTCATTTAAAAGGAATCACACCATATGTCTAGCTTCTTTTGTCCAGTGTCATGATTTTGAGGTCCAGTCTGTTGAGTGATCAGTGGTTCCTTTTTTAATTAATGAATAATGCCCCACTGTATGAATATAACACATGTTTATCCTTTCTCCTATTGATGGATTTTTGTGTTATTTCTAGTTTGGAGCTATATGAATAAAGCTACTATATAAACTCTTGTATAAATCTTTTTTGTGAACGTATATCTTCATTTTTTTTGGTTAAGTATATGAAGGAGTGAAATTTCTGGTTCAGTGTAGGTAATGTTTAACTTTATAAGAAACTGCCAAGCAGTTTTCCAAAGTGGTTGTGTCATTTTACATTCTCATCAATAGTATGAGAGAGTTCCAGGTGCTGCAGATCTCATTGTGATTTAATTTTGCATTTCCTTAGTGATGTTATTGTTGAGCTCCTTTATGGTTTTTTGCTCACATCTTTTTTTGTTAAGTCTCTAGTCAAGCCTTTTACCAAATTTTTATTTGGGTTGTCTTTTTACCATTGACTTTTAGGCACTCTTTATATATTCTAGATACAAATCCTTTATCAGATATATATTTTGTAAATATTTAGTCATTTAGCTTGTGGTTTTTGCATTTTCTTTAACAGTGGGTTTGTTTTTTTTTAATGAAAAGCTTAACAAAATTTTTTTTAAAGATTTATTTTTTAGACGGGAAGGAAGGGACAAAGATAGGGAAAGAAACATTGATCAGTTGTCTCTCACATGCCCCTGCAACTGGGGACCTGGCTTGCAACCTAGGCATGTGTGCCCTGACTGGGGAATCGAACCAGCAATCTGTCAGTTTGCAGGCTAGTGCTCAGCCCACACCAGCCAGGACAAAGCTTTTAATTTTTATTAAGTCCAAGTTCTTAATGTTTTAATTATGTATAGAACATTGTGCATTCATTTTGGTCTAGTGATCACTGTAAGTTACTGAGACAGTAAGGGAACTGTGAACCAAGAATGTTTGAGCAACTCCAGCTTGTAGCAAGATCACAAAGATCGCAAAGATCTTCTCCATGTTTTGTTCTTGAAACTTCATATAGTTTTAGCTTTTGTACTTAGGCATTATTAAAAATCACAGATTCTAATAGTTTTGTAGTTGGATCATCTCTATGTAAACAATAATGTAATTTGTAAATAGTTTTAGTTCTTCCTTTCAATCCTAATAAATTTTATTTCTTTTCCTTGCCATATTGCATTGGTCAGAGCCCTCAGTATAATGTTGAATAGAAATGGTAAGAATAGTCATCATTGCCTTGTTCCTGATCTTAGTAGAAAGCATTTAGCATTTCATCATTAGACATGATATATAGCAGTGGGGTTTTTCACAGATGGCCACTAATAGATGAAATGGGATCCTGTCCATAGTTTACTGAGAGTTAGCATTCATAGATGTTGAATTTTGTCAAATCCATTTTTTCCATCTATTAATATGATTATAGGGGTCCCCCCCCCCCTTACTCTGTTAATGTGATGAAAAAGGTTGATTTGTTTTTGAATGTTCAACCAACCTTGCATTTCTGGTAGTCATGGTGCAAAAATTATTTTAAAAAAATATATTGCTGAATTTGGCCCTGACCATATGGTTCAGTTGGTTGACTGTCATTCTGCGAAACAAAAGGTTGCTGGTTCTATTCTCAGGGCACATGCCTGGGTTTGTAGGCCCAGTCCCAGTGGGGTGCATGTGAGAGGCAACTGATCGATGTTTCTTTCCTTCTCTATCTCCCTTCCTCCCTCTCTCTCTAAAAATAAATTTAAAAAATCTTAAAAAATAAAATACAATTCTTTTAAAAACATATTGCTGGATTTTATTTGCTAGTTTTCACATTATATTCATGAGAGATGTTGGTCTTTCTATGCCTTTGTCAAATTTTGGAGTAAGTCAGATTTGCCTCATAAAAAGAGTTTGAAAAGGTTCCTATTTTTTAATGTGAAATTAATATTATCTTCATTAAATGTTTGATAGAGTTAACCAGTGAGATCTGAGCCAGATTTCTTTTTATTTATTTGAGAGAGAGGAAGGAAGAGTGAGCGAGAAACATTGATTTTTGTATTTCCACTTATTTATGCATTCATTGGTTGATTAATCTTTTGAAACATACAAACTTTTACTGTTAATTTTATCTTATTTTCCATTCATTAGTTTTGTTCATATTTCAACTTCCTCAGTTTTAATTTGCACTGGAATCTTGAGGTTTTATTCATTTTAGTACTTTTTTCTTTGACTTTTCTACTCATACTGTAAAACACTGGTTCCCTGTGGTGGGTGGGATTTAAAATCTTAATGTCATTCTTTTAGCCTTAGCCAGGACACTTGGAATCAGCCTTGTGCATGCATGATTCAGGGATCATTCAGAGACCCAGGCAGAGTTTATACACAGAATTTGGGACTCTTACTTTCAGTCCATCTCTTTCTTGGGATTTCCTATATCACATTCAAGTAGCTGTAGGGACCCCAAACTCATCTTCTAGTCATTTAAGCCACTAAGACTGAGATTTTCTTTCAGAATTTTGGTTGCCTCACACGACACAAATTGATGCCTCTCCTCTGGCTAAAAGCCATTTAAAAAATCAGCACTGTTGTCATTCCTTCTTTCAGCTGTTGCTTCTCCATAAACTGTTCTGTTCATTTTCTAGTGTCTTTGGAATCCAGGTCATTGATTTTAAGATGTTCTTTCTTTAAAAGATTTTTACTTACTTATGTTTAGAGATGGAAAGGGAGCGAGAAAGAGAGGGAGAGAAACATTGACGTGTAAGAAATACACTGACCAGTTGCCTATTTCACATCTCCAACCAGGGACCTGGCCCGCAACCCAGGCATGTGTCCTGATTGGGAATTGAACTGGTGACCCTTTGGTTCGCAGGCCTGCACTCAGTCCACTGAGCCATACCAGCCAGGGCTTAAGATGTTCTTTTTAGACCTAAAAAAGCTGAAGGTATTAATCTCCTATAAGTACCTTTTTAGCTATATCTCAAATAATTCAGTATGCTGTATTCTCATTATCATTCACTCAGATCACTTGATATTGTCAGCCTTAAAAAAAAAAAAAAAAAAAAAAGTTCTGTTCTTTAGCCCTGGCCAGTGTGGCTCAGTTGGCTGGAGCATCGTCCCAGAAAGGGAAAGGTTGTGGGTTTGGTCCCTGATCAGTGTGCATATAAGAGGCAACCATTAAACGTTTCTCTCTCCCTTCCTTTCCTTTCTTGTCTGTCTGTCTGTCTCTCTCTAAAATCAGTAGTCAGTCTATCCCACCAGCTAGTGCCCTGTGATTTTATTTTTAATTAAAGATATTTAGAATTTTATCGTGATTGTATTAGAGGTGACCACTTTTCCATGTTTTGTATTTTCAGGTCATTAACCTTTGACATTTAATATTTTCTTTTCATTTTCTCAATTTAGATGAGTTTGGTGCTTTGGAAAGTGTGAAAGCTGCTAGTGAACTCTATTCCCCTCTAACAGGAGAAGTAACTGAAATTAATGAAGCTCTTGCAGAAAATCCAGGACTTGTTAACAAATCTTGTTATGAAGATGGTAAGTTGTTAAGAATTTTTAAAAGGATTATTGCTGCAGTTAGCATTTAATCTAGAGTGTAAAGCAAGATCTAGCTGATTGTGACTTCATCTTTTAGCACTTCTTGGTAGTAGAGATATTCTGCCTTTATTTATATATTTTTTAATGATTGACTTATTGATTTTTTTGAAGAGGGGGGAGGGAGAAAGAGAGGGAGAGAAGTATCAATGCACAAGAGATACATTGATTGGTTGCCTCTTGCACGCCCCCAGCTGGGGACCTGGCCTGCAACCCAGGCATGTGCCCTGAGTGGGAATCTAACCACAGCCACCTTTCAGTTTGCAGGGAGGCACTCAGTCCACTGAGCCACACCAGCCAGGATGAGGTGTTCTGCTTTTACAAAGAAAAATACAGATTAGCTGAATGTCTAAGGTTATGTTTAAAGTCTTTGTTGATAAAAGTATTGCCTTTTTACAGGGTTCTTAGCGTCAAACACTTGCAAAATATTTATGTTTTCAAACATAAAGCATCTAAATTATGTGATGTAGATAGTAATAGAATAATACTTATTTCATTAATTTTCAGTTTCCTTACTTAATCATCTTTACAGTAACCCAGTGAGGTAGGCTAGTAGTAATTCTCTCCATGTTGTAGATTAAATGAGGTCCCAAAGAATTTATCTGTTAAGGTCACACATCCAATAAATAGCAAAATTAGGATTAGGTTGTAGTTCTCTGTTGCCTGTCACGTAGCCCTTCTAACTCTCTACTGTCTAATGTCCTTCACATCAGTAGTTAAGTGTTGGTGTTCCTTTTGTTAATGAAAGATATACCTGGTCTTGTACACTTGGATCCCTATGTAAAGTCTTCAGTGTCATCTGTCAATACTTATAATACTTATTGCAACTTAACAGGTCTTAATATGTTATAGTGGAATCTATTCTAGTTGTAATTTTTTCAGTTGTGATATACAAGGGTGTTAATTCTAAGGCTAAAATGTAAATAAAGCTCCTTTAACAAATAAAGAGTCATAGGTAAAAAATACTACATTAGTTTTGAGGCACTAAAAATTTTATTTTAAAACAAGTGTTGGCAAGGATGTGGAAAAAAGAGAACCCTGGTGCACTGTTGGTAGGAATGAAGGTTTTGGTACATCCACCATGTAAAACAGTATGGGAGTTCCTTAAAAAATTAATAATGGAACTACCTTAACACCCAGCAATTCTACTTCTGGGTATTATAATTCTAATTCTGGGTATGTATCACTAATTCAAAAAATATAGGCACCCTATATTTTTTAATGAATATAACGTTCATTGTGCATTATTTACAACACTCAAGATATGGCCCTGGCTGGTATGGCTCAGTGGACTGAGCGCCATACTGCAAAGCAAAGGGTCAGTGGTTTGAGTCCTAGTCAGGGCACATGCCTGGGTTGTGGGCCAGGTCCCCAGTAGGGGGTGTGTAAGAGGCAACCACATATTGATGTTTTTTATTTATTTTATGTTTTATGTTTATTAGAAACATAAAATCTTAAAAGAGAGATGGAAGTAACTCAAGTACTTATCAATAGACAAGTGTATAAAAAAATGGTGGTACATAATATACAATGGAATATCATTTGGCCACAAAAAAGAATGAAATCTTAACCATTTGTGACAGCATGGATGACCTAGACATGTCACATGTTAAGTGAAATAAGTCAGGGAAAGAGAGACAAATACTATATGACTTCAGTTACATGTGGAATCTAAAGAACAAAATAAATGAAGAAAATATTGAAACTAACTCATAGATACAGAGAACAGACTGATGGTTTCCAGGAGTGGTAGTGGTTGGGAAGCTGGGTGAGAAAATGAAGAGAATAAGAAGTACAAATTGGTAGTTATAAAACAGTCACAGGTGTATGAAGTACAACATAGGTAATACAGTGAATAATATTGTAATAACTATATATGGTGCCAGGTGGGTACTTGAAAATATTGGGGGAAACACTGTTTAATGTATATGATTCTCTCACTACAATGCTGTCCATCTGAAACTAATACAAAATAATGTTGAATGCAAACTGCAATTTAAAATAAAATTTTAAATAAAAGTATTTCACATACTTTGACTTTTTTGAATTTGACTTATACTCTTTAAAAGGTAATCTGTGATATAAGATACTTTTTTTTGGTTGCAGGTTGGCTGATCAAGATGACAGTGAGTAACCCTTCAGAAGTAGATGAACTAATGAGTGAAGAAGCATATGAGAAATACATAAAATCTATTGAGGAGTGAAAATGGAACTCCCCCCTAAATAAAGTAATATGAAATAACTTAATCTAGCATAGTTTTCTTAAATTAGTGGTGGATAGAATTTTTGAAATAACTTTTAGTCATACTCATGGAAAAACAAACTACAGCAATGGTATTGGAAGAAAATGCCCCTTAATTTTCTAATGATCACAGATAAACACAGTTTGCATCGTTTTTTTTTTTTTTTTTACAACACCCTATGATTTTTAAGCTAGACTATAGTTAATAATATTCAGAATTCCTGAGATCTGTGGTAAAATCTAGTTATCAATATTCTGTATTTCAAGGACAACATTGTTATCTTAAGCCTTATATAATATTGTAACTTTCTTATGTCAGTCTTTGGTTTGGGTCAAAATACTTAGCAAACTTTCCATTGGAAGTAATTGGCAGTGGAAAAAAGTTTTTGTTAGTTATGGTGTTAGATGATGAACAAAACTGTCTTAATTTCCCAATATACTAAGTTTGCTGGTGCTATTTTTATACAGTGAAGCAGCACTGGAGGAGAACAAAGTTTAATAAAAAAACATTCAACTACATTAATTATGTTTTTCTTTTTTCGTTTTGTTTTGCTGTTAATATTTGGTCACTCTGCTAGTATTTGTGAAAATGCTAATTTTGACTTATTGACTTATGGAAAGGTTTTTTTTTTTTTTTTTTTTTAAGGAAATTAAAGCCACAGCAATGAAAGTCCAAGAAAACATTTCCTTTTAGTCATAAATGTGTTTCTTATGCAAAAATACAATTGGCTGATAATATTAAGTACTCTTTTGGTTATCATTAATATCATGAAAAAGAAACTGTTGACATTATTTTTCTGTCGTGCTGAGTTAGAAAAGAGGAAAAACAAGAAAAGGTGAAAGTTTGATCACATGGGTGACATCCTTAAGAAAGTTAAACCAGCCTTGGCTGGTGTAGCTCAGTGGATTGAGCTCCAGCCTGCAAACCAGCCTGCAAATCCAGCAGGTTCAATTACCAGTCAGGGCACATGCCTGGGTTGTGGGCCAAGTCCCCAGTAGGGGGCACATGAGAGGCAACCACACATTGATGCTTGTCTCCCTTTCTCCCTCCCTTCCCTCCCTCTAAAAATAAATAAAATCTTAAAAAAAAACAACAAAAACCACATTCAGATTTCCACTTAATTTATGTGAATAGAAGTGAAACTGTAAGTCCAGACAGTGACTTAGACAGTGAATGTACTTTGTAGTTGAAGTGCTTTGTAGTACTTAAGTGAATGCACTTTGTAGCATATTTAGAGTGCCAAGTGGTATTTTAAGACAACTCTAGTAATGCTAACACTTTAAGGGGAGATATTATATACACAAAGATTTAAATATATGTGCACACAGCAAGAGCAGACAAACACCTCCATCATTTTCCTTGTTACTAGAGGAAAACAAAAGTATTCAGACTACCACCTTCTAATGGTGAATAAGGAAAAAATATGAGAACCTAGAGGAAGACAAATAATATATAAATCTTTCCTGCTCCTCAACAGAAAGAAACCATTCTTTACAAGACTGTGCCAATGGCCATATCACTGCTGAGCTGTATCTCTGCACCCTTATCAAGAAGGTATCCAAGATATCCTGGATGATTATCTGCCTGTTTGTGTAATTATTTATTCAGATTAATTAATTTGACTGCTTTGGAAATAAAGAGGGATGAGTTATAATTACATAGGTTTACTCTTTTGTTTTAAAGGTACTCTCATATATTACCTTTTTCGAGGTTCACAACAATAACCAGAGCTAGCTAGCATATAGCCATAGCTACCACCATTTCACAGATAAGGTGATGAAGAGGATAAGAGATTGTTAAAAAGCTGGGCAGTCATAGTTAGAATTTTCACATTTCCTGGGCCATTCTTCATCAGTTTCTTAACAAATGTTATAATAAAAAAAGTTTAAATGGGAATTGGAGGGGCAAAGGATGAATGTTCTAAAGGTGGGAAGCACAAATGGCCTTTCTAAAGTGAAAGTAGGTAAGTGATTATAGTCTGACAGAGATGGGCAGTTTTTCTATTATTCTTTCCCTGAAGACACAGACTTGCTTGGTCTGTTATACCCACTCCGAGTTTTTTCAAAGAGCAGAACATTATGAATGAACTTGCTCTTTCATTATTTAGAATATAGAGCCAATTCAACCCTCATTTCTATTATACTGCTGCCAAAAAAATTGGGCATTGAATGGGGACTAAACAATTCAATTTCTTATAATTCATATTCCTTTTGAATAGTTTTGGTCTTAATAGAGTAGTTTAATGAAGGCTTTGAATAATGCTTCCAAAAAATGGAACAGGTTACTCTGGAAGTGTTAAAAGGATTTCCTATATCATCTCAAAAATTTTTTTTGTTGATTGTTGACAGTATTTTTAATGAGGAAAAACCACTAGAGGGCTCTCTGCATAGGCATGCTAGTGTGAAAAGGAGGCTGGCATTTCAGAGCAACTCAACAAATCAGAAGTTTTGAATTTTTCTAAATTTCCCCAGTTTTTCTGGAGCTGCTAAAATGTACCACTTACCTTCAGTTTAAAAAATCATGCTAAATATAACTGCCCTCATTATTGCTCTACAATCTATTATTTCAGACCTAATCACCTATTTGCCTTCCTCAAAGAGGGTCCTCACTTTACATGAAGATTAAATCTTCTCCCTGCAACATGGTTTTACTACTGACCACCTACCCTTATCAGAGCTTTTCCCTTCTCCATACACCTCCTGACCCCATCTTTCTGTTTTGGAAACCCCTTTGCCAACTCTGAGATACTGCATCAGAACTGCTGATATCTTGATTCAGTCTATATAGGCTTATAAACACAACTAGCCAAATACACTTGTCCCTTAATGTTTCTACACAGGCTATCAGGGCTTTTACCTACTATTCTTCAGTAGTGATTACTACTAGCTCATTTAACACATGCAGGCCCCATTAGTGTGAAGGAAATCAGTTACTAGATCTTCCAACTTGCACATGTACAATACTTGGGAGAATACTTTCAGTGAAGAAGTTTAACAGTCATTTAGTAAATCTTAGTTTTAAGACTTTGGTATACTTCCCAGAAACAGAAAGTAGTTTTAATGACTGGATAACAAATACTGCTAGTCAGAGAGTTTCAAATTTTCTGTTTTCAACAGAACTGAGGGAGGATGGAAGCAAACTGTCAGCTGATAGACAATATTTTTGTTGCTGATCTCTATGTGATTTCTGACATGGAAAGGGGTTTTAAAAAAAGAGACTGCTATAACAAAACACCTTCATGTGCATCTTCATATGAACAAGGTATTTCATCTTACATCTATGAAAAAACAAATAAAATTGGAGTTGAATGCTCATTCTAATAATATGAAGTATTTATCCACAGATAGATGGAATATATTCCTATTGTTCATGAACTGAGTAGGAATAAAGGTGAACTATTTTAGTCTTATAGTCTTAAGACAATTTTTAAAATTTAATTTTCAAGTTAAATATTTTTGTTGCATAGAGAAATGAGAGTACTTAATAAAAGTAAATATGGCCATAAATATGTTAGAATAAATTTCCATGGAGGAAGCAGAATAAAAGTACAATTATGAATTTAAGGAGAAAAAGCAAAAGAAAAACTTCCATCTTTAGTTTATTTGTATATTTTTAAATGTTGATGAATATCAAATTGCCATTAAATTGACTTCAGTTCTTTTAAAAGAGTCATGTAACATTTTAAATGCCAACATTTATGATACTCTGGATATTATATCCTTGGCTATTTAAACTCAGGATTAAAAGTTTGTTTTAATACCAAAAAAAAAAAAAAGCAATGGGGTATGCAGTTTTGTGTACAGTTCTTTTTAGAAGCACATAGGCATACCATTCCTTCCAGGTTATGAAAGCCAACTTACCCAAATATGTATATTTTAGGTAAAGAAGTGATACCTAAAAAAGTAGTTATGTTTTATATAAGTACTTTTTTGTAATGTATTAAGGCATTATATCAAATAGTCTTTGCATGGACTTCAAAGCCTTTCTAATTATGTTCTATAAAAAGGCAGTAATGCCTATCTTTCCAAATGCCTTTTAATCTGTGATATAAAGGACTGACATCCTAATATTTTTCTACAGCAGAAATAGTCATACTTCCAACACCAGAAAGCAGAAGAGCTTTGGAATCAGACCTGAGCTGGGTCAAGGCTCTACCACCTAATGCCTGGGCAAAGGTTCCCACCCCTGGCTTCACCTCTGGATGCTCAAAAGTACCAGCAAAGGTGGGAGGGCATAGGAGGTATCCTTGCACTGTCTTCAAAAATTCCTCAGTTGATTAAAGGACATGAGGCTACTTTTCTGCATTAAAAACAAAACAAAACGTCAGTGCCCACCTCACGGAGTTCAATAACTGCCCGTTGGTATTGCCAATGTATTCAAACCAGTACTGACCAGTTACATAAGCAGGCGCCGAAAAGTTAAAGATCAATGGGTCCTATTAAGTTTTTGGCCTGCATCACCCTAGCAGTCATTCTCACGGGGAAGGGGAAATTTGGGGTCAGCTGGCAAAGTTGGGGACACTTTTGGTTGTCATCTCGTGCATGGAGGCCAGGGATGCTGCTAACCATCCTGCAATGAGCACGGCGGCCCCACTTAAGAAAATCTCGGCCCTACAGCCAGGGTGGCTGGTGAGAGGCCCTGGGTCTCTTGAGGGAAGCAAGTCCAAAGGGCTCTTGCTTTCTAACGTCAGGGTCCGGTGGGCACCCAGCTTCTCTTCCACTTCCCTGACTGATGCTTAAAGCTACATAGTACCTCACAACGCCACCTCAGACACTCGAAGCCGGCTGGAGCATCCTCACGCTTTGTGGAAAGTGTGCGGCAGCGCAAAGCCGGCTGACAGCAGAGGCTCGTGGTCCACCAGCGTCCCTTCCCGCGCTCAGTTTTGTTGCGCGAGGCGGGCCCAACGTCACTTCCGCTGTAAACACCCGCGGGCCCGCCCACCACCCCGTTTACAGAGCGTCGTAACCCAGGGCAACTGTCGCCCTCGGCCGGCGCCAGCGAAGACTAAGCTGCCGGGGTTTTCCACACGTTGGCCCCATGTGAGGGTTTGAGTGGCGGCGGCCGCTTCTCCGCCCCCGGAGCAAGGCCCCGCACCACTCGACGGGCGGCAGAGCCTGAGGCCCTGCCCAGAACGAGAGGAAGCTGCCTTCTTGGACGAGGAGGCAAAAGGAAGAGGTAGTGGAAACCGGCGTCGGAATTAAGGGCGGGGCCTGGAGAGTAGCGGCACGGAGTGGGTGGGGCAGTGGGAGGAGCCGTTGAAAGGGAGGGACAACCCTGTGGGGGAGGAGCCAATCGATGAAGCGGTGGGGCTTGGTGAGGCGAGTAGGGACGTTTCGCCGGTGGGGTTAGCTCTTGAAAGTAGAGAAGGCATCTATTGTGCCTGGGTAAGAACTGCTGGAGGAAGATGAGGAAGAAGGAAGGATCGTGGAAGGAAGGAAGAGGAGAGGAGTAGCACGCAGTACAGGGAGGGACTATTAAAGGAAAGGGAAGAACCAGGCATGAAGTGTCGGGGCCATAGGAAAGGCAGGTTGGGTGTGTGCGATTCATGACTTGTATTTTCACGTAGATTGTAAACTATGAGCTCTGGAAAGACGGGCGTTGCTTCATTATTTTATTCCCAGTGCTAGACAGCTAATAAAGTGAGTGAATGAATGGAAATGGAAGAAGTGGAAGAGTTGGAGTGCTTCGAATAGAAATGGTCTGACTGGAGGAGGGATAGCTGTAGGAACAACACTCCTAGGAGTCATTCAATGCACAGTCAAAGCTACTGTGCTCTGTGGGCACATAAGGATAAGACATAGATAATTAAAATGGGGAGATAAGATTTATACTCTTGAAAATGCGAACAATTTGCTCAAGTTGGGTGGCACATGTGCTTAACTTTGAGGCAAAGGTTCAACTCCCTATCGACCTGTGTTCCAAAACTGTGAATTAGATTGAAGTCCTTATGTCATTTTCCTTTAGATACTATATTACCAGTGATCAGCATGCCTAGGCCAGTCTTAAAGATCTGTTCAACCAGTTCATAGGTGTGGAGCTTAGCTTTGTATTAAGAAACCTAACTCCCACTACGGCTGTTTCTGTTGATTGATTTCTTTAACACTTAATGATAAGGGTCCCTACCCTAGGAACATCCATTCAGAATTCCAGTGAGGCTGCCAGAAACCCATCTTTCTCTGGCTGAAATTCTTTAAGCCTAAAACTTCCAACAAGATGGGGGTAGATGTGGGGACATGGTGTAGAGCCAGGGAAGTGGTGAGGCGTTTTGAGGTATTACAGCCTGCTTTTGACTCAGACATCATGGGCTTTATGTTTCTCCTGGCCTGTCAACCTTACCCCCACTGTTAATGATTAGGAATGTGTCAAACAGGTGTAGGGATCTAGGGTAAGATAGTTGTAGTTTGACTACGTAGAGAAGCAATGACAAATATGTAAAAAATGTGTTATGAACTTCCTTATTCGTTCCCTGACAGACATCCATAATCAATCACAGAAATCCTTCCTGTAGTGGTCAAGTCTTAAGATCCTTCTCAACATAACACTCTAGGTAGCCACTACTCGTTTACAACTGACAGTCTGGAACATATTCTTCATCCCTAATATAGATAATAAATGTAAAAAAAAATTAATAGACAGCAATGTAAATGTAAATTT